TAAGAGCTTTACTATATTTACTAGCTATAGTCCTAACCTAAGCTACCCGCCCTTAATATTCTTTTTAGTTAGACCGGCCTACTAGGCCTAATAATATACTTAGAGGAAGGTAGCCTTATTAATTAGCGCTATATTATCGAAAGATATAACTTTTTAAATTAACGTCGGTAGGTAGCCTTAATTAGCGAGAAAACTAAGATATTAAGAGGTTAAAGGATATAGGAAGAGTATACTAATAAAAAAAGAAGATAAATACGATTCTTAAAGTATTTATATTTAAAATTATTGGTTTAATAGCTCTTATAGCTATTAATAATAAGGAGAACGTTCCTTTATAAGTAGCGCCTTATTTAAGGGATAAATACCTACTTAAGCTATTAAATAGTAATAAAATCGCTTATCTAGCCCTTTAAGGAAGTAATAAAGTCTTAATCTTTTAGAAAATTAAGTTTATTAAGGAACTATTACTATTAAAGGTCCTAGCCCTTAAATATTATAAAGGGGGTTAAGGCCTAGCCTATTATAAAGACGTATTTAATAATTATAGTCTAATAATATAATCTAAGCCGCTTCTTAATAGCCTCCTTCTTTTCTAAGCTCCTTAGTACTAGCTTATTATAGCTAAGGCCCTTAAGGATGCTTATTTTATCTATATTAAAGCGTGATTTTAGTAGGATTGCCTATATAGCTAGTAGCTTAAGCAATTAAAACTATTCCTTAATCCCGCTAATAAAGGCGCTATTAATATAAGTAGAATTAAGAGATTTACCTTTAATTATACTAATCTCTAGGTTTCGGGCTAAAAAGTTTAAAACCTAGTATTTTTTAAGTAAGTAGGGGTCTCTACTAGCTACGATAATATAGCTAGCAAATTCCCTAAGTTAATAATATAGTAAAGGTAGCTTAAGGGCCGCTTAAGTTAGCTTACTTACTTAAGGGTATACCTACTTAAGGGCACGTCTCTATAATACTAACGCGCTAACTAACTTATATATTATAACTACGAATTCTTATATATCTTATACTTAATTATTATTAAAAGAACTTTATTTAAATTAGTAATATCTTAGCTTTTTAAATATATTAAAGATTAGCTTTAAAACGCTCTAGCTAATATTAAATTTAGTATAAGTTAGGTATAGGCTAGTCGGAAGTAAGGTATTTTAAGGATAATACTTTAGAAACGCATTAAAGGCACTTTGACGGTGACTGCGGCACACACCCAAAGACACACCCACGCCAACGGCAACAGCAGCAGCTAGATACCGAAGGACGAGGGGGTCTAAGGGGGACGAAGGAAACGAGAAAGCACTAGGCAGGGCAAGGCAAAGGCAAAGAGGGCCAAAAAGGTATATTGGCAAAAGAGGATATAGAAGAAGATAATGATGATGGAAGAAGATGATGTCTGCTAGCTAAGGAGGAAAAGAGACCTCTTTTATAGACCGAATTTTCCTCCTTCTTCCCTAGACGAACAGGGGCCAAGGGATCATCTGATCAAGAAGAGGGCTAGCCAGAGACTCTGCCAAGGATCCTGCTAAGGACCCTGCCAAGGACTCTGCTGCGCGGGCTGTGTGTTCCTTGGGGTACAGATGCCCCCGTCAAAGCACCTAACTAAGGAGAGAGGTATATAAATACTATTAAAGGCTTAGCTAAGAGTAAGAGAAATACCTCTAAGATTAGGTTCTTACTTAAGCCGCCCTTAGGCTCCCCCTAATATATCTCTAGCTAAGGGAATTCGCCGGCCGTATTATTATAGCTATAGGCGATACCCGCCTACTTAGAAAATACTAGGTAGTAGGCTTTTTAGCCTAAAATCTAAAGGTTAGCACGATTAAAGGTAAAGCTCTCGATTCTACTCGTATTAACGGCGCTTCTATAGCCCGGATTAAGGAGTAGTTCTAGTTACTTAAGCTCCTAGCTTTATAGGCTATTCCCCTAGAATTACGCTTTAATATAAACGAGATAGGTATCCTTAAAGGCCTCGGCTATAACGGCCTCGTGCTAGGGAGCTTAGAGAAAAAGGAGACGCTTAAGAAGCGGCTTAGGTCGCGTTATTAGACTATAATAGTAGAATACGTCTCTACTACTAGCCGGGCCTTAACTCCTCTTATAATCTTTAAAGGTTAGGACCTTTAATATTAATAGTTCCTTAAAGAACTCGACTTTCTAAAGGATTAGGACTTTATAGCCTCTCTAAAGGGCTAGATAAGCGACTCTATTACGATTTAATAGCTTAAGTAGGTCTTTATCTTATAAATAAGAAGCTAGCTATAAAGCAACGTCCTCTTAATTATAGATAGCTATAGAAGCTATTAGACTAACGATTTTATATACGAATGCTTCCTATATAGTATATATCTCCTTTTCCTACCTTTATATACCTTATATATTCTTTAACTTCTCGATATCTTAAATTTTTCGCTAATTAAAGCTACCTACTAACGTTAACTCTAAAAAATCGCTTCTCTCGACGATATAGCACTAATTAGCAAGGTACTTTTCCTTCCCTACTATTATTAGGCCCGGTAGGCCGGCCTAACTAAGAAAAATATTAAAGGGGGGTAGTAAAGGATAGGACTTTAGCTAGTTAATATAGTAAAGCTATTAATAAGCCGCTTTATCTTACCTACGCCGTTAACGCTATTACTACTAAAGAAGAAGAAGAATTTAAGCTTAATAGATAATAGCGATGCCCTTAAAACACCGAGACGATCGTAGGAAGTCCGTAGGCTTATTAAGGGGCTCGAAAATCGCGGTTAAGTTAACCGTACGATCCGTATACTTTTTAGCAAAGTTAGCTATAGCCTTAATCGTTAGAATACGTAGCTTATAACGGCATAGCTACGTATATAATAGCTTAAGTATTAATTATATCGTCTATAGCCTTAAAAGCAACGAAAAATCGCCTAAGATCTAAATAGCCGGTTTATACGGATTAAATAAGTTATTAAGACGAGGAAATAGCTTTAACGCGCCCTTAAGCTATTTACTATTATAATAGCTAATTAGAAGGCGGATTTTAAAGCTCTATATAGAAGCTAGTAGCTAGAATAGTAGGAAAACACTATAATTAAGTATCGCGATATAAAAACGCGGCTTTAATTGCTATTAGAATATACTATCTTAGTTATATAAGACGTGCTCTTAAGTAGGTATGCCCCTAAGTAGGAAAGCTAACTTAAGTAAGAACCTATTTATAGAGGTATTTTTCCTACTCTCGACTAAGCCTTTAAGATACCTCTTTTACCTTATTTATAGGTAAGGCTCCTTTAAGACGCGTTTAAAGGGTTATTCTTAGAATACCCTACTTACGACTAGCTTAGAGCTAAGTTATACTATTATTAATAGCTTTAAGCGCTTCTTAGAGCTAGTTTTTAGTATATTTAAAAAGACAAGGTATCGCTAATTCGAATAATATTTATTTTATAATTATTAAATAAGAGATATATAAGAAAACGCGGTCACGATATAGTAGGTAGTTAACGCGATAGTAATATAGGGAGGTGCTAGAAGTAGGGGGTGCCGGAAGCTAGGTGTGCTAACTTAGCGCAGCTTCCGGAATAGGTTTTTAACCCTTACTCATTCGCTTAGCGGGGACTCGCAACCTAGCTTATAACTATTAAGCTAGTAAAATACCGCTATACTATGCAAAATAAGGGCACCCCCGATAGAGGTGTTACTAACGCGTATTATAGGCCCTTTCTTGTCCTGACAGTCACCTAATTGTTGTCATAGAGACATAAGGACTATTATCTTTCCTAGCGAGTCGCAAGCATCGAGGCCCGACGACCTAGTCTCTGCATTCGCATTTAAAAGTGTGGGGAAACCTATCTACACCTCTCCAAGGACAAAACCCACTCTAAGACTGTTCGATGCCTCACCGATCCGTCTTCCCCTTCTTCTTTCCCGCATTCAGTATAGGCCCAGCGCTGGTTGAGTCTCAGCCCCTTTTAATCACACGGGCTGACTGTACTGGCTCCAAACTAGATGCACCTCCCATACGTTGGAGAGTCTCTACGCTGATCGCAGATCTTGCCTCTGGGACATTCCGATGATGAACGACAGGCTGAAGAATGGTTTGACTGTCAGCGAAGCACACGAGTTGTCTGTTTCGAAGCTGTACCTGAATGGGGACTGCCAGGGCCATCCAGGCAACCATGGCCGCAAGGATTTCTTGCCGAAGAAGACGCATGATGGTGGGTTAAAGTCTTGATTATGAAGGTTGGAACGTCGATGTTCAAGAATGTTAGCGGGATTAGGGTTGCTTCGAAGATGGACTGTGAGTTGAAATAGAGCGATGAGGAAGAATGGAAGAAAAGAGAGTGAGACTGCGTCTCTATTTATACTCAGAGACAACAGACATCAGGTGATATGAGGAAACCGACAGTCACTCCTTGGTATTGAAGGGCACAGTCCAACTCGACCGCGGAACGCCCTAGCTGATGCATGTAAGTTCAGGAGGTGCGAACATTCTTTCATCCAAGTGGCGGCCAGCAACGTCTTCGGCGGACTTTCAGAGCAGCGAGGACAAGTGTCTGTGGTCACACAGTAAGTCGCCATCAATGCGGGCATAATTCCAGGGAAGGGGTATCAATGGAAGGACTCGGTCTATCCGATGCATCGTCGATAAACATGTACAAGCGTGGATCGCAAGGCAAATCGGCCGATCCTTGGTCGTTCGTGCATCATGCAGTCAGCTGCACAAGCCGAGGCACCCCATCGATGGATCTGTGTTCCAACACAGAGGAACCAAACGCATAGCCTTGGTTTCCCGCTCAACTCCTACTGTCCGGACCTGCAGCCGGACTCATGGCAATTTTGAATACTAGTCCTAGCAGAGTCCCGCTCGACTTGGTAGCAGTAGAAGACTCTGGCTGGGAGGTGATAACCCAGGACGAGCTTGGAGTTTTAAAATTCGACATCCATAGCCCTAGTCACAATCGCTACATTGCATTCCCCAGAGCTCCAGCACCACACTTCAATTTGAGAAACATCAAAACATGGTTCAACCACTGGATAATCCCTTCATCCTCATCGACAACGACTATATGGTGGCTGTTCCCAAGGTCAACTACACCGACTGTATGCTGGCTGGCAACGCGGCTCGCAACGGGGACGTCTGGCCAGTGTACTATGGACAGCAGCGTACCCAAGCGGTCCTGCCAAAGCACAATCAAAAAGGGGGCCGAGTTGAGGTCGACCTCCAGCTCGAGGAGAGGAACCCAGAAACGGGCGATGTTATCTGGAGTAAAGATGGGACGGTGACCGATTCCTACGAGCCCTACTCGTTCATCAATGCGGATAATTGTCCCCGGAGCTTCATCGAGGACTTTCACTTTAAACGCCACGACATGTCCACCGACGCACAGATTGCGGGCAGCATCGGCGGAAGAGGGTTTCGCTTCATGTTGAACAGCGTCATGTGGCCACAGACATGGCATGGACACGACTGGCCGACCGGCTGCAACCTCTTCTTCAAGGTCGACAAGAGCGAGGCTACCCACGTTCAACTGTCGCCGCCGTACAAAGGCGAATATAGACTTAGGGCCGTCATGCTCTACACCAAAGATGACAGCCAGACGCAGAGCGCAAACTTTATGAACTTCACGACCTCGGAGCAAGTATACCCGGACTGGGAGGAAAACCACTTCTCGACCGACGGCATCAAGATCCGCAGAGGGGGGGAAGCCGTTCATACTCAACCCCAAGGCCGCCCTGGCCATCCGGAAGGAGGCCGGCGATGACACGGAAAAGTACATCTCAGCGATTCGAGCCATGGCTGAGGTCAAGGGCGACTTGGTGAGCGAAGTGAACCCCCTACCCACTCCAGGTGCAGGCAGTGCCGTTTGACAAGAAGCCGGCTGGGGGCACGGGGTGGAACGGCCGACCGCTCGAGTACGACGGACGCCAGATGCGCGACCACAAGCTCATGACGGTGGACTGGAAGGGCAAACAGATCTTTATCAGCAGCACAGGCAAGCTCCCGGAGGTCAGCCACGGCTTCGACGCGCTGAAGCTAATCACGCTCATGACCTTGACGTTTGCCCTGGTTGCCTCGGTGGTGACGGGGGACATCCCCGGCGGCATGGCTGCCGGGCTCGGCGTCGTCGACGCCATCGGCGGCCTCGCGATAGGCGCCGCCCTCACCGGGCCGATTCAGTCGGGCTCCCAGGACCTCGTCTCGGGCCTCTCGTCGATTGTGGACAAGAACGGGAAAAAGACGGACGCCTTGTTGAAGGACATGAGAGATTTTTCCAAGGAACACGGCACCAAGTGGCAGAGGAACCTCATCGGGCAGCTCATTGCAGCCAGAACGAAGCTGTGAGTCCGAGGCCAGCTTTGAGGTAAAGAAAGAGCTGGCTTGTAGAGCGCCTGATTTGAGGATCACCGGGTCATGTATTCAACGTATCTGGCTTCAATGTCGACAGCCCATATATATACTGTCACAGTAAGAATTGCAAAATGTAATTTGGGTTCTTCTTCCCATGTTTAAGTCGTTCTGTAGCAGTAATCGAGATTAGTCAACCGGCTTCGCATGGTGAAAGCTGAAAAAGAAAAAAGGAGGGTGGCTTGAATAACCATCGCCCGAATAGTGATGACTTGAAAGCATGTCGAGGCGGGCGCTTGAAGTCGTGGTAGAAATCCCCTCGCCGATGAAAAGTTCGAGGCTTCCTCCACCTTGTGGCTGATGCAGAAGACTTGAAGAATGGAGTGAATGGTGCGATACTTCCCATCCACCTTCAGGTTGCTGTAATTAACGATACTAATCTTGATGTGAACACCTAAGATATCAGGCGCCTAAGGTGGGAGGCTTCCGCTTGGCGACGGACTTTCTGCCTCTCTAACGGATATGTCCAGCTTTGTTTGTTGGGCGTAAACTCTTGAACTCGCACGATCAGCAGGTGGTTGAATTCGCGAGCATCCAATGTCCCAAGGGCAGGTGGTGCAATGTCGAGATTCGTCGATGTCTCCGTCAAGCCGATCATGGCACACGGCGGCGGGGATTAGCAAAGTCGGCGAGACGAAAGTACTCAAATATCCACATACTGCTCGGGAGGTGAAATGGGTCGGCTCGAAGCCAAGATTCTAAGTGTCCTCGGACGCCATCCTCGCATTGTCCAGCGTAAGGACCCAGTCAAGGACGGTCTTCTCCTGGAGTTGGCGCCAAACGGTAATCTCCACGACTATTTCATCGCTCACCCAGAGGCATCTCTACAACGACGTCTAGCCTGGTATATGCAAGCCATCGAAGCAGTGGCGTATGCCCACTTAAAACGGATCATCCACTGCAATATCTGTCACGATAACCTTCTGCTAAACGCCAATCTTGATCTCCAGTTTGCAGACTTCTAGGGCGAGCGATTTGGAGGAAGTGCAGGCAGCCATTGCTCGCGGCGAGACGCCAGACTTTAACCCCAATAAAGTCGTTCCCGTTCCGGATGGGGACGCTCTGCCACAAGCGACATCGTGGTTGGACGGCCTCTGCAGCGATAGGCAGGGGCTGAGGAAGCCGCTGCCGTATCGCAGCTCGTAGGCTTTGATTGAAGCACTCAACAGCCCGCTTTCAGTGGAATCCCGACGATTGGGAGTGAATCCTCATCAGGACGATGTCACGAAACTCTCCTCGCGGCAAGATATTGTACGCTGAGATAGTTGTTCGGTGTGTCTACTACTGTCTAAGACCTTGAACACAAAGTATGTGTCGCTTGCAAAATATGTCATCACAGCGCAGATACTCGAGCTTTTCTGCATCAAAGATGATGCATCGGAGCGATCCAAAAAGCTGATGAGGTTGGAATTGCCTAATTAACCAAATGAATCACCGGATCGCATAGCCTATGGCCGGTGAACGGGGCGGATGGAGCTGCAGACGTTGGAGGCGTTCGCTCATGCTAGATTGTGGCGAACATGGGCCGAACGCAGTGCTGATGAATGGTCGGTGCTTGTCACTATTACAGAAAGTTCCTTAAATAAAAAAATTATGACCTAAGACGATGCTGCAATGACACACTCATAAATCTCGACAGCCGTCCGATCTTGGCTTCATAGTTGCCAGCCATCGCAAAAATCTATAATGCTCATGAACGGTTTAGAGGTAAGATTGACTGCTGGTTTGCACCATCTCTTGCAGTACCGCACTGCTTGAACAAGCCGGTCAGTCCCTCTACATGCTTGTCGTCGAACGTAGGTTTTCATGCAAGATAATCTGGGACAAGCAAAGGCGAAATACAGTCAGGTCGAAAGAGCTGGCATGCTGCTGCCCTTTTTGCTTAAACGTTGAATGGCATTTGGGGAGCATCCACCCTGAGACTATAGAGAATGATCTCGTGCTTCCTCATAATCTTCTACACATATGTTATTTTAGCGCTACTAGTTTGTATTTGTATGCCTTTTGGACCTTTCCTAGCTACTCGCCTAACTGACTTTTGGCATATTAGTAGACTGACTTTAGCCTAATAACCTACTTGCTCCCTCTTACCCCTATTTCTCTAGCTACACAAGACCTCCTCGATTCCCTCCCTTTGACAGAGACATTAAGATCTTTCAGTCCTCTGATATCGATGCCAACCGCTTATCTGCTCGTGCTGTAGTAGACTGCTGCTAAGAAGGGAGCCTCGGTCGTTGTCCATCACGATATGGTAGACCATTGGGGTTGGATTCTAACCAGAGGTGCATGAGCCCATGGGCGGCCGTGGACGGTGCTCGACCTTGCCCAGAGTAGCTCGAATAAGGATACTGTAACGGGCAAGCCGCTTTAACGGCGGCTGCGCCGCCTAGCTTCTAGAACCTTCCATTGGCTCGAAGCTATAAAATGCTATTGTGCTCTCATGTAGTAGATTCTCTTTCTTTCTTTCTTTCTTCTCTATCTTGATAGTAAACAGCATAGGGACTAGTTAGTTGTATCAACTCACTAGAGGCCTTTCACATACTATCAAGATCACTGAAGACATTGAAGACACTGAAGACACCGAAGACACTGAAGACACCGAAGACACCGAAGACACTGAAGACACCAAACTGAGTCCCGTCGAACTATTAGCGTTCAGCGAAGTCGCGATGGCCGAAGATAACAACAACATGCAGCCGGACGTCCTCAGCGCCCTGGTTGCCGAGATACGAAGTCTGAGAGAAGAGAGTTCCCGAAGAAACACCCAGTTTGAAGAACGTTTTATTGCCCTGAACTCCAACAACACCAGCAAGCCCGTTCGTCTGAACTCCTAGAGCCAACGCCATCTGTCACCCCGGCTGTCCCCATTGAGGACACTCGTGTGGTCGCCACTCACAACCCTCACCCAACCAAGCGCCCCAAATTACGAGACATACCGAAATTCGGCGGCGACAAGGCCCAGTGGCGAAGCTGGAAACTAGAAACCGAAGGAAAGCTACGAGTCGACAAAGAAGCCCTTGGAGATGCAGAAGGCCACTTTATGTACATCTTCATGAGCCTAGAAGGCAAGGCTAAAGACAACGTGACCACATTTGTGGAGATGCAAACCGAGAAGAAAACGTTCAATGTTGCTGAACTACTCAACCGCCTCGAATTGCTGTACGGGGAGAGGGATCGCAAGCAGAGAGCTACACGCAACCTGCATTCGATTAAGCAAGGAGAGAATGAACCGTTCACGTCCTTTTACCCCGCTTTGAGAGGAGATCGCCAATGCCAACGCCGAGTATTGGCCAGATGACAGCAAGATTTCCTACCTCCAGGAGGCACTAAACGATAAAATGAAAGCAGCCCTCATAGGCTCTGACCCTCTGCCATCAGCAGCTATGTTGGGCTGGCGAGGAGGTGCGATTCGCTGAGCAGCCAGATGGAATTGTTGGGTCAGTGGAAAAGGCCTCGAGGCAACACAAAGAGTTCGGACAACTATGACAACCACCAGAATCATGGAGGCCAGGCTGCCCAGAAACAGCCTGGCCAGAAAACCGAAGTTAGACGAGAGGATATGATGGAATGGGAACCAACTCTACAAGCATCCGCGAAAGTGAACGCTGCGCGCACCCGCAGTGATAAGAACACATATGGTTACCAATCCAAGCGACCAGAAGACCAAGCGCTGTTGGGCAAGCGTGCCAAGTGGGTCGACCAGGCCGAGATGGACGCCCGTTACCGTGAAGGGCGTTGCCTCCGTTGTGGAAGAGACAACTGCAGAATCGAGCGCTGTCCATTGGCTGCGCCTATCCGACCCGCAAACACGACCCGACGCACTCAGGTCAATGCCGTGACCCCGTCACGACCAGCGGTCACTAAAGCCGAGGTCGCCGAAGACGATACTTCTTCTCATAACGATGAAGATTCAGACTAGGACACGCGGCGGCTGTGAGAGAATGGGATGTGAGCGGAAAAGCAAAAATGGACGGAGAACCGTTCATAGCAGACGTCAGGGTGAACGGCACAGACTTCGTGCCATCTCTTGTCGACTATGGCTGCCTCTGCTACGGCGCGGTTAGCAAGCGCACATTTCACTCTCTCCAGTTGCCACATATACGCGTCCAGCCGCGCATCTTGGAGAATGCAGCGGAGACGGCAAGGAGGTCAAAATCGACAAGATCACGTATGTGTCGATCGACCTCGATGGACATCAGCAGCATCGTGTTTTCATGTACGTCATCGACGATCTGAACTGGGATATGATCCTGGGTAAACGATGGATGGAAGACCAGGATGTTCACATCCATGCGAAGGAAGGATATCTCGAGATCGGGTCCAATGGAGTTCAAGTACGAGACCGACGACGTTACCAGCCTCCACAGCTAGATGTCTCTAATGTCATGGCCGCAACCTTTTAGCAGAAGCACGCCGTGACAAACGCAAAGGCGGCATTGGAGTTCACTCGGTCACGATGGCGGATATTGACAAGGCCCTAAGACCGAAACCGAAGACTGACGTAATGGAGAAGCTGCCACCACAGTACCACAAGTGGTCTCGAGCTTTCTCTCAGCAACTGGCCGACCAGCTGCCCCCTCATCGGCCAGGTGTGGACCTGAAGATCGAAGTGCTGAAAGACGAGCATGGCCGAGAGAAGCCCCTACCCTGGGGACCGCTTTACAGCATGTCCCGCGAGGAGCTATTGGTACTACGGAAGACTCTCACAGAACTACTCGACAAGGGATTTATTAGAGTCAGCAGCTCGCCAGCCGCGGCACCAGTCCTTATGGTGAAGAAGCCCGGCGGAGGCATCCGCTTCTGCGTGGATTACAGAGGTTTGAACCATATAACGAAGAGGGACCGCTATCCCTTGCCCTTACTGAGCGAGACCTTGCGAACGATAGCCAAGGCAAGGTGGTTCACCAAGGTAGATGTTATAGCAGCGTTCCATAAGATCAGGTCGCCCCGGCGACGAGGAAAAGACAACTTTCAGAACGCGCTATGGATCCTTCGAATGGCTGGTAGTTCCATTCGGCCTGACAGGCGCACCAGCAGCCTTTCAGCGGTACATTAACAGCGCGCTCCAGGATTACCTAGACGATTTTGTGTCAGCATATATCGACGATGTCCTGATCTTCTCCTCTGGAAGCCTGCAAGACCACCGCGACAAGGTCGGCAAGGTCCTCCAACGACTGATGGACGCCGGGCTGCAACTGGATATCAACAAGAGTGAATTCGAAGTCAAGGCTGTGAAATACCTTGGGTTTATCATCGAGGCGGAGTGTGGGATCCGAGTCGACCCTGAGAAGGTTGAGGCTGTGAAGGAATGGGCAACCCCGACGAATGTTAAGTCCGTGAGGAGTTTTATTGGATTCGCGAACTTCTACAGGATGTTTATGCCAGAGTTCTCGGTGATAGCGGAGCGCTAACGCGGCTAACGAAGAAGGACGTGCCATTCCGTTGGGATGAATTGTGCGAAGAAGCCTTCGAGAAGCTCAAGGACTTGTTGATCACGGCCCCGATCCTTGCACACTTCCATCCAGAAAGGGAGACTATCGTGGAAGCAGACGCTTCAGGATTCGCGTCGGGAGGCGTGCTCTTGCAGAGAGATGATAAGGATGGACTGGTACGACCTGTCGCATACTTCTCGAAGAAACATTCGGCAGCCGAAGCGAACTACGCTATCCATGACAAGGAGCTACTCGCCATTCTCAGATGTTTGGAGCAGTGGGAACCAGAGCTACGGGCAGTAGAGCACTTCAAGATCCTAACGGACCACAAGAACCTGAGGTACTTCTACTCGGAAAGGAGGTTGACAGAGAGACAAGTGCGGTGGTCGGAGTTCCTGTCCAGGTTCCAATTCGAGCTCGAATGGAGGCCGGGCCGCAAGGGCGGATTGCCTGACGCACTCTCTCGACGGGACCAGGATATGCCGGCCAACTACTCCGATGAACGACTAAAGGGACGCATTATGAGGCTATTCCAAAATGATCACCTTAGAAGGGTCCCAATATCGACATTGTCTACCAACACCGAGGGTGCCCAGGAAATCAACTTCGGAAAAGAGATCAGGATATTTGAAGATGAGGAGTTACAGCAGCTGTGGCACGCCGCACGGCAAGAAGACAAGCTTTATCAAGAACTCACGAAGCTGGTAGCAGATGGAGCGAAGAGTGTGCCAACAGACTTACAGAAGGAGAAGGTTGTCAGCATTTCAGAATGCTCATTAGACAATAGAGGCCTGCTGTGCTTTAGAGAACGCGTCTGGATACCCGGTTCGGAGCCGCTACGTACAAAGATCATCCAGGAAACTCACGACTCTCATATCACCGGACATCCTGGAAGGGACCTCACGTACTCGACTCTGTCGAGACGCTTCTTCTGGCCGGGTGCCGCTAGCGATGTACGTCGGTTTGTGCGCAACTGCGAGGTTTGCGGACGAAACACCATCTGGAGGGATACAAAGAAAGGACTCCTAAAGCCGCTCCTATTCCGCAACGCATATGGAGCGAAATTACCATTGACTTTATTACTGACCTCCCACCGTCGGGGAAAGATGGCGCGACGAACTGCATGGTGGTCACGGACCGACTCACCAAAGGCGTCGAACTCGAAGGATTGAACGATATTTCCACAGAAGCGGTTGCAAGAAGACTCTTCGAACGACACTACCCTGTCCATGGCATCCCAACGGCTATAACCAGTGATCGGGGTCCCCAGTTTGTCAGTGGTATGTGGAAAAGTTTCTGTCAGATGCTAGGGATCGAGCAGCGGTTGTCGACGGCGTACCATCCACAAACCGACGGTGCAACAGAACGAATGAACCAAGAGGTAGAGAGGATTCTTCGGATATGGACGAATTATCTGCAGGAGAACTGGTTAGACTTGCTTCCAATCGCGATGGCGACTATTAACGAGAGGGAAGCAACCTCCACCGGACTGAGTCCGTTCTTCTTCATGCACGGCTACCACAACGAGCCAATCCAATTAGTTGAGCATCGAAGAACGGAAGACACGACGCAGGGGGAAGCGACAGCGGAGGATTTTATTCAGAGACTACAGGACGCCACGGAGTTTGCGCAAGCAGCGATAGCTATGGCCCAGGAAATACAGCAAGCGCAAGCCAACAAGCACAGGACAGCCGCACCGAGATACGAGCCTGGGGATTGGGTATACCTCAACTTGAGAAATGTCAAAACATCGCGACCCTGCAAGAAGCTCGATTGGCTACATGCCAAATATCAAGTGCTCGCGGAAGTTAGCCCACATGCCTACAGGTTGGATGTGCCTGGGCGCATCCATCCAGTCTTTCACGTCGACCTACTCCGGCCAGTCCCCGGAGACCCATTGCCTTCGCAGAAACTCGATCAAGAGAGTGCCCCACCGGTGCTGGTGGACGGCGAAAAGATGTACCTTGTTGAAAGAATTCTGGATGAAAGAATGGAAGGTACGCATAAGAAGGTGCTCGTAAAATGGCATGATTACTCGCAGCCTACGTGGGAACCCCTTACTACTATTCGACACACCGATGCATGGAAGCAATGGAAGAAGCATAAAGGAGTGTCACCTTCTCAAGTCATCTTGCCACAGATTGCCACGACCCCGGAAGAGGAAACGTTGGAAGGGAGGGAGGTAATGTAACGGGCAAGTTGCTTTAACGGCGGCTGCGCCGCCTAGCTTCTAGAACCTTCCATTGGCTCGAAGCTATAAAATGCTATTGTGCTCTCATGTAGTAGATTCTCTTTCTTTCTTTCTTTCTTCTCTATCTTGATAGTAAACAGCATAGGGACTAGTTAGTTGTATCAACTCACTAGAGGCCTTTCACACAATCCACGTACAAGCTAGGAATGCTTGAGTTGAGTCATGATCTTGAATCATGTTGGATAGCATAGAGGGAATATAGAGGAAAGTGGGAGAGAGAAAACGCACAGAGAATGAAGACAAGGCCACCCAGCCATCCATAAGGTTGTATATATATATATATTGATCTGCGTAACTCCTGGCTCTTTGCATAGATAGAGCACCGCCTGGCCCTCCCACACTACATTCGAGGAAGAGAATCTTGTTGCTCGCCAGTTACAAAAATCAGCATGGCCTTCACCAGCATCAGCAAGGCGCTTTGCCTGTTGGCGGCGGCGCTGCCGGCCCTGGCCGCGACGGTGCCGCCGACTGATAGCGGTGCTGAACCGGCGCCCAAACAGGAGCAAGGCGTGATACAATTCCCACTCGAGGTCGAGGTCGAGGCCGAGGACGTGAGCAGCCGTGGACCGGCGATCGACGACTTGAGCCGACGCCAGGTGCCCGAAGCCATTCGCCCCTGGGGGAACCTTGACATTGCCTACACGTTCAGCATTCACGTAGGCACACCGCCTCAGAGGGTCATCGTCGAGCCTGATACCGGCTCCCCAACCTTCTGGCTGCCTTATGTAACCGATCCCAAAGACTGGAAGAACGGGTCAGCGCTCTTCCTCTGGACCGACGAGAACAAGCCGACCGACCCCGTGGGCAAACAATCGTACTCGGGCGGGGAGAGCGTCACCTTTGTGAAGACGGAGCAAAATATGAGCCTAGGTCGTAAGTGCTCCAAATCCCTCTTATCGCGCTAGGTGTAGTCTTTCGATGCAAGTCTCCAGACATAAGATTCAGTCAACTTTATATCGAGACATCCACCTGCCACATTCTGAAAGAATAACTAAATCTGGCCGCAGCTGTCGACCTTGGTCCCGTGCCCGTGGGACTAGTGGATAAGAACGGAAAAGACGTGCGTCTCGGCAGCGTCAGAGGCGTATTGGGTCTTTCACCACAAGGCGGCGTTCTCGATGTGCTAGAACGCCTTATCAGCAAGGGAGTCTGTCGATCCAAAGTCGTGAGCATCTCTCTAAGTCCCTTCCGCTACAATACCGGCTCCATCACCTTTGGTGGCGTCGATACCAGCCAGCTGCAGGGCAAGCTCGAAGAGTTTCCCTTGGTCGACCACTCCTACAAGACTCCCACACCTAAACCAGAGCCCTATGTCCCGAAGTGAGTACAGATAGCGGTCCCTTATGTTTCCAAGTTACTGTCGTTTCCTCCTACTTCCCGCCCCTTCCTTCTCTGGTGCTGCTCTCCGGGTTTTGAGTAAAACCGGTTTTCCTGCGTCCCCCTCAACCGTTAAAGTTGAGCCGCAAATGTTGATGAAGCATCATGGCGCGCGTTTCGGCTCGCTCCGCAATAATAAAAGCAAACACAAAAGACACCAAAACTGTATGCATACTCACTCCAAGCAACAGATACACGTTTGAATCGATTTCCTATCTGCGGGTGCGGAACGAGACGGCAGAGACGGCAAAAACGACTATCGATTTTCTCGACACACCCATCTCGCCGATCACCATCAACCCAGAAGGCCGTGTCTCGTTCCTGCCCAAAGACACGGTCGAGAAGCTGGCAAACCAATTCGGCGGGATTGTGGGGGGTTTCACCCAGGGCTACGAGCCTCAAATCAAGTGCGAGGACGTGGACGCCATGGGGCCCAAAGTCGGTCTCGAGGCCGAGGTTACGGGCATCAATGGCAACAACAGCGTCTTGCTCTCCATGCGGCTTCAAGACTTTGTCTCGCGACGAGGTGACCGCTGCTGGCTAGCCGCAAAGTATTCCACAAGTTAGTGCAAGATACCTGCATGGCGGATCCTCAACTTCAGTCCCAGCAAGCTCTAAATCCTTCGATCCCGCCCCCAGCACCGAGTGCAGCCCATGCTAACGCGATTTCTAAAAGGTCCAACAATGATGCTGGGGAAGCACTTTTGGGAAAACATCGATGAGAATACGCGGAATCTCGTGATCGAGAAGGGAAAACTCATTCCGGATCCGGCGTCCGTTCAAGCTTCAACGCCCGATTCGGGACATGTAGTAGCCAACCAAAACAGGCAGTAAGTCCGGCCATCCCCTTCACACGCTCACCTGTTTGTTTTTCCCCGTGCACAAGCAGTGTGCAGCAGTGTCGTCTTCTTGAGTTTGGCGATCTATACGCCCAGCTCTGCCCTTCCTTTGTGCACTGCTGACCATGTCGAAACGTCAACGTCAAGCTGGATTATTCGTCTCGATTCGCTTTCCTACACGGCAGCAGACGGCTCACAACCAGAAAAGCCGCAGGCCGCCCCCTCGAGCGACAGTGGCTCTTCGAGCTTGCCAGTAGTCATCGACACGGGCTCTCGGGCCTGTTACCTACCCCAGGATTGGATTGATAAGATCTTGCCGGCCTTCCCAGACGCCAGTAAGGAGGGCGGTTTCTACTATATAAGCTGCAACAGCGACCCCCAAGTCACTATTGACTTCACTTTGGGCAACACAACCATCAACGTTCCCGCCCGGGACTTTAAGATGGGGTTACCCGGTGAGAAGTGCGCCGTGGCTGTGCAAACCCCGATCGGAACAAATAAATGTAAGTCTTACCCTAATTCAAGTCTGAAAATGGAGCATCTCTAGCATAAAGCGCATATCTTTCATGTTCTGATTCTCCCCGACCAACCCTCTCCTCCCCGTCCCTCTTGTCCCTTGCATGCAACCTTTCAACCGCCTTCTTGCGACACGGCAATGATTAACGCGTTTATAACTCCCAAACTAGACAATGTACTGGGCTCGCCATTCCTCCGCGCAGCCTATGCCGTCTTCGACTATGAAAGCAAGTCCGTCCACCTTGGTCAATACAAGAATTGTGGCTCAAAACTGCGGCCGCTGGAGCCGGGCGCCACTAAGACGGCCGATATTATCGGCGACTGTTAGAAAAGGATTCGCCTTTATAGTTGGGCATTCACTTGGTTACCTCAAAAGTTCAAGTCCGTCCTGGGGTTAGAGTACACCTTAATGATAAGGTGGCGGAGTAAAAGGGTGCAGGGAGTGTTTTAACCTGCAAGACACCTCTGACAGAACACTCTCTCTGTTGGAGCATTCATGACCTCCTTTGAATGCTTTAGCAAAGGGAACTTAGACAGGAATCTGCGATGTTTTATAGTGGCAAAAATAGACTGTATTTAAAGGGTGTGATGCATGAAATCTGAAGAAAAAAAGGCTTTCCGCTCATAATTGCCGTGGAGAAATTCTCAAGTTGCGACCTGCTTCTTGAACTATTAGCTAGGCCGTAAAAATAGGGCTTGTTCCTCGCTTAGCCGTTCCCCATTGAATGCACGACGGGGTTTTGGACCTCGAGAGCGACGTGCAAGCCGGCTTGCCGGTTGCTGCTGGTCTCGAACAACAAGGTAATCGCCACGCGCGCTCGCATTTCCCACTTTCCGTCCTTCGTTTTTCATATAAACTCACCCAAAGGCAAGGGCTCCTTGCTACCGACACGTTTCGCAAAAAGAAAAGCAGCGTCGGAATTAAGGGACAAGGGCATGTTTATAACAGTATAATGCATCCCTCTTCTCTTGCCAGCTGACGAGCCTGTCCCTAGTTAGTGGGCCTTGTGTCCTCCTTATTTTATTTCGAGGGCGGGGGATTGCTTAAAGGTCCCTTTATCTTGTCTAGGGACTAGACGCTACGAAAGCTACAGAATCTAATTATAACGTACATTTTCACAACTAAGTCCGAGCGTATCTAGTTATGAAACCGACTTACGAAATATTCCGAACTTACCATCGAGACCTAGACTAGACAAGACTGGCTACTACGGTGAAACTCAGTGACATGAGTATTAGCAGGCCCGCCAAACCCGGCTGGTTTCACGGGGCTTATCTGATCTCGGGAAAAGAAGTCAAGCACAAACCGGGCAAGAAAGCTAGAAAGCACGGACGCCTAATCAGAAGCTAACCAACATTTCATCTCAGCGTCCTGTGTTTTCTGCAATGGCTGCAATGTAACTATCAAACTGGGATTTGCCGCTCGATCCAGCAAAATCAGAACTCTCGAGCAATTGCAGTACTATGTGGATTACACAAGCCCGAGTAAGATAGATATGGAAACAAGAAGAACCGGCAGGCCGTTTCCAGACCGTGCGGGCCCAAGCTGCACGACTCTTCAAGTGCACCGATTCAACTTGCAGAGCATACAGAACAAGACAGACTACGATGGAGAAGTAAAAACACGAAGCTAGAGACTCTATCGCCTATTAGAGAGTCAGGGGATTCTTCACTTGTCGCCGACACACAGGGTCCGCTGCATGATACGGCTGGCCAGGTCCATGCACGGCAGGGAACATGCCGTGATATTCCACTGCAGAACGATGGGAAAGGTGCGACCGAATATCAACGAGCTGTGAGGGAAAAGCTGCATGAGGCTTGAAAGGAAATGGGGCGATTCCCTCCCGCGGCATCTAAGCAGACCGTGTACGGCCGATCGGGCCTGATGTGAGCTGGAAATTCCTCTAAAAAAGGCCTCGGGGCCACGAGCAGCACAAGGGGTGAAAGGTCTTCTGACAGTGAGTGAAAGGCAGCCAGGGTTTGAAGACCGGCTTCAAAGCCAAGACACGCAATTAAAACACATGTAATATATACTTGAACATGGAGCCCAACTCTTTATGGAGCTCTCCACGGCGTTTGGCAAACGGGCTTGCCACTAAACTGTTCGGTATGTACGGCGTGGTAAATATATATACAAGCAACCAGTGCTCTATGCCGCAGGCGAAAATACAAAGCTTCAATGTAGTTTGCACTCTCCACTCTCAGCCATGGACTTTTGGCAGTCGACGAGCATCTTCAGCTGGTCGCTAACCTCCTGCAGCCGGCCGAGGACCTTGCGGTTGCCATCTACAAAGCCCAAGATGGAGTACGGGATCCCCGTCCCCTGGCAAAACTCCTTTACCAGAGTCTGGACCCTCCGGAGGTTGTGTCGCGGGACTCGCGGAAACAGGTGGTGAACTGCCTGGAACTGCAGGCCGCCATGGATGAAGTCGAGCCAGGCGGGGCAGTCGACGTCCATGGTGGTTCGCAGCTGTCGCTGCGCAAAAGACTCGGATTCGCCCAGATCAGACGTCGACATGCCCCAGTGCGACAGGTTGATCTGAACGTGCAAGGGCATGGTGACGATGTGCGACACAAGCACGAAGACGACGCGAACTGTCCACGTCGGCAGCGTGCGCCAGAGCAGGCAGTATCCGAACAGGAACCAGTAACAGCACATGAAGGCGATCTCTGTGGGGCGGATCCACCACGCCTTGCTGTGCCCCAGCGACGGCGCCTTGGGCGAGAAGACATGCAGCCAAGAGAGGACGTAGAGGTTGAAGCGGGCAATGGCCATGACTACGTAGTAGGTGTACTTTTGGTACGGAACCAGCAAGTCGGCGGCGGCGTCCCAGGCAATGACAAAGTTGTCGTAGTAGGTCGAGGTGATGGATTTGAAAAAGGAAGGGCTTATGGCGAAGAGGGGGAGGTTCTGGATATCCGGGTCGTGCTCCTGCAGGCGTGGGTTAGCCGCATGATTCATCTGCATCAGGGGTGCCGGGATGGCGAGAACGCACTGGTTGATTCGTAACAAGGTGGTGGACATTGTGGCTGCTTTTCCACCATCCGATGGACAGGCCACAGCAAAAATCGGCAATGAACATGCCAATGAGGGTGTCTACGGCAAAGATGTGGGTGATGGCCCGATGGCCCGCGTCATGCGCGGTAAACATGATCTGGTGCTGGAGCGACAATGTGAGCTTCGCATACAGCAGACAAGGGCAGGACAGCATACCCAGAACAGGCCCAACAAGACGGCCGAGGTCACGTACCACTCATGGTGGAGAGCGACGAGAGAGCCAATGAATAAGCACGAGTATCGGCCCATTTCTTTGGCGTACTCTTGATAGGGGCAGTCGTAGAGCCCCTCGTCGACGACCCTCTGATGCAGCTCTCGGTACTTGCCGACAATGTCTTGCTGCACAGCGAGGTCGAGGGACGGATAGTCGCGGAGGCCATCTTCGATGCCCTGCTGGACTGCCCAATCCACGTACTCGGCGGGACTCGTGGCAGATGGCTCGCCGGGGCCGTCACTGCCCTTGGCCATGAGGCGTCGTCGAACAGCGCCCTCGAAGTCATCCTTGAGCTCGAGGCCGTTGACGCTTGGCGACCGAGAGGTGGGCGGCGTCGGCGAGCTGTGATCGGACGTGTCGTCGCTGGAGCTGTCACCGGGCACGTCGTCGACAATGCGCGTGGAGTCCTCGGGGGTGTGGAAAATGCCTCCTCTGATTGGAGGTGTCTTGTTGATCCAGAGGCCCGCCGGCTTCCGGCCGATCCGATAGGCCTTCATGGTCCGCAATGTGGCCGCTGAGTGGTAGCTACAGGCATAAAGTGTCAGCTTTTTAGTTGCCCCCCTTGACTGGTCGAATGCACTATGTTTCAGGGGATAGCTGCACAAGGCTTTACTGAAAACGTCTGACGCCGTTGCAAGTTAAGCTCAAGACAAGACGGATCGGACCGTGCTTAGGCCCTTACCTTTTTTGGAGGGCGGACGGGCAGGGGGATGATGACGACGAATAATGTGAAGTGAGTGGGCTATTTACGCTGTGATTTCGTCGGTCGCGTCTCTGCCGACCATGTGCAGGATGGCCAGAGAGCCTCCAGGGTGCTTGGCGAGCCACGAGTCGAGGCGCAAGATGTAGTCTTGGAAAACAACAATGGTGTGGCCGTTGGCAATCATGGCCTCGACGGCTTGCTGCGACAAGACCTGGTCGCGATCCATGGCTGCGGTGAGGCGAGGTGAGGGAGGCAGACGACGGCTGGCGGATCGATGGTGGACGAGTTCTGGTGACTGCTGGCAAGGGAAACGGGTCGGAAAAGGGGAAAAGAGAACGGCGATGGGGGGGGAGAGTTTTGTGGCCTTGGGCGGCCAACAAACTGGTGAACAACAAAGGCCAAGAGCGCAAAGCCCACACAGCCACGAAATCAAGGGGTGGATACTGATTTTCACTGACATCATGTGATGAAAATTCAGGGAAATTGGCAAATACCTGGCGAGGCGGATGAGGGTACCTGGTGGTGCCGACAATCAGGGCCTCTCAACGCATCGAAGCAGGTACCTGCGGATGAGGGTGCCCCGTACCCTTGGGCCGGAGCGCATTTCTGCACAAGAGCCGCTCTCTCGACGACCCTCTACGTCGCTGGGAGGCCCTGTACTACTAATACTCTCTGCAAAGGCCTGTATTCTCTGCACGGGCCAGTGGGTGAATGCCCTGTATCTGCGCCACACGAGATCGCCCTGCATTGTGCTACCTACCGCGTATCAACCGCCATAACCTTGGCTCCCTCCTCCCTCCACGTGGACCTCGTACTCGGCATCTGACTGGGTGGCCAGCTCCTCCTCGTCGACCTGCCTCGTCGACCTGCCTCGTCGAACTGCCTCGTCGAACTGCCCCTTGCGGCCATTCTCGCTCCCAAAATACGCGGCCAACCAGCGCCCGTGCCGAGGCGGACAGCTCCGTCGTCCCTGGTCATCCCTGGTCATCCCTGTAGAAAGAGGGGCTCTCATCCTGCGGTGGTGGCTGCGCCCCGACCTCTCTCGTACGCGCCGAAGAAGGTTGCACACGTCGCCAAGTCTAGACTGGCCCATTCATTGTTGGGTCCGCGGTGGATGGAGAGGTGTTTGTCTGTCACGGGCTACAAATCCAGCCGCCAGACTCACAAATCAAAAGACAAAGTTGCCGCTCGTCTTGCCTCTTGGCTCTAGGGTTGCGCTGCGTGCCTGTCGACGACGTCTCCGACGCAAATGAGGCCATGGAATGACACGGATGAGCAAAGGGCAGATCCAGGGTCCTCGACAGCGGGGCCTGAGACGCGCGGCTCCACGTCACGAGCCGAAGCCGAAGCCCACCACTCAGTGCAATGCTGAGCCACTAATCTAATAATACGACGCCGCCCAACTCGGCGTCGACGGGCTTGCTACGGTGCAAGTCCTGCCACCCTGAACCATATTCGTCGTGGCAGGAAATCAAGGGCCGAGAACGCGCCGCCGGAGTGGGAGGCTGCACACACGCCTGCCCTCCGATTTCAGCCGGCTTTAGCCGTAATTTAACCCATCTCTATCAAGCACCTGCATATCAATCAGCCGCGTCTCCATGGACTTGAAATTCCTCTACGTACCGTAGACGGGTTCCTGAGTAGCTTCCATGCAAGTTCCATCTCACGTCCCCTACCTCCACTTAGCTTCCCCATTCAGCCTCCCTACCAAGGGTCCCTGGGGTTTCCCTAGGCCAGGTCCCCACAGGCGCCTGAGCGAGGGGCGGGCGTGCAGTGCGTGGTGTCAGGGAAGGGGGCGGGGGAGGGGGAGGGTGACAACCAAGAACCCAAGAAAATGCAGATTAGGAATGCCGAACGGAGGTTCTGCCAGCACTGAGAGAAAAGCATAGTAGATGGTAGCGAGCGGTCGTCTGTGCCTGCGAGGAAGACAACAGAAGCGCCTTGAGCTGGCGTCAGTACCGCAGCCAAGACAAGGAAAGAAAAAGGGAAAAGAAGAGAAACGAGGGTCTGCAGGCCCGCCTCCTTGGAATGCCATCCCGACATTCTGGTACGTATTGGCTGCCAGCATCAAAGACACACGGTTGCAGGCATAGCAGAATGGCATCGTGTGTGCGCTGTAATTCGGTCCACGCACAGCACAGAGGAGAGAGTTAGGTGCCGTGAGGTCACATGATTCGCAAGCCGCATCGGCCAACCGAGATTTGCAGCCGCCTATGCGCGGCGGCGGCTTCCATGTCGGGCATATCTCTTGATGGATTTGAGAAGGATTGGCTTGCTTCGCCTGCAACAGGGCTTGTCCTGGCCGGCGACACGGGGCATGCCTTGGCTCAAGCATGACTCGTCTGCCATCCATCCATCTTTCACCACACGACCACCTCTCTCTCTCTCTCTTTCCCTGCAAGAAACTTTCTCTGCAAAAAAGCAGGCAATCCCCGGCTTCCAGGCCCGGTCAGTGTCAACTTGCCAAGCCCGCCAGTGTCATTTCGGACGGCTCGAGCCGCCTGGTGTCTGCCGAGAGGCAATTAACACCTGCTGATTCAGCAGCTCTTGCAACTATGTGTTGCGGGCGCTGAAGCTACCGGCTTCTCGGAGGTGACGATCCGGGCTCTGTCAGACAGCTCGAGCATCGGCTATTCGCTGACATGGACGCAGAGCCTTGTCGAGAGATGCAGCACCCAGACGGCTCCTTGATTGACGCGCGCGGCCTGTTTCTCGCCAATGTTACATCCACGCGCGCATGAATTCCGCTCTTCCGCGGCCCAAATCCACGACGGCACGACGATACTACATGCAACAATGCCGTGTGGAGGTCTCCTCCTGCGCACACGGAGCTCATGGCCTGCATTACAGACCCTATATGTGCCCGTTGATAAAGGCAGGGATTGGTCTCCGCGAGTACCAACACACACACACGTTTCATCGTGTCTGCTCGCGGCCAAGACACTTGCCAATAACTTGGTCCCGGGATGGACGCAGTTCGCAGAGTCACCCTGGACTGCACACAAACGACGCTGCCTTACATGGAGAACCCGTATCGGCTTGGCCACATGGCCTGAACCAAGATTTCAGCATGTTCCTCAGATCGGCACCGCGGCCTTGTTTACCTACCAGGGATGTGCCATCTGCACAAACCGGATCCCCTTGGATCGACTCCCCGCCCTACCGAGGCTAGAACGCTCATTTTCCCACGAGATCTACCTGCAGGACCCAGTGGCCGAGCGTTGGGCAGTCGGCGACCTCGGTGCAGAGCTTCCCGGCTCTCCGTCTTGATTGGCGCCCAGACAGGACGGTAGAGTTCGGGGTCAAAGCCCACGAAAGAACGACCGGCAGGGCCTGCCACCCACCTAGCATGGGCATTGGCCACCGGAGCCTCGGGTATTGGCCACCGTAGCCTCGGGCATTAACTGAGTTGTTCTAATAGACTGGCTGACTTCTGGGGCGCTCGTGCGTTATGTGTGGAGCCCTGGCTCGTCGAGTGCCGGCCGATGACAGACACATGTAACCTGTCAGCCTGTAAGCATGGGTTTGCTTGCTGCTCCATCATCCTCCGTTTCTGACAGGTTCCAGGTTAATCGTTTTTGACAGGTCATGGCACGGCGTCGGCCAGCATCAAAAGAAGCTGCTGGCCTTGCATACACAAACACGCAAGCAACACACATGGGGTCGCTGAGCTTCAACACGCTGCGACTGCGAGGTTGCGCCGCGATTGCCAAGCAGGTTAGCCGTGCGAATCATGAAACCGGACCGGGAGGTTCGCTGGCCGATCGGTTCCGCAACCATCGATGGCCTTTACCACAATGAGCATCATGGTTTTCACGCTGGACCCCCATCAGCAGCCGGTTTGTCGCACCAAAGTAGGCCCTGGACTGGCACTAGCATTTCTTCGACGCGGCTGCAGATTAGCTGAAATGGTATGATGAGGGAAGACGCAAGGGCCTTGGCTTGCTTCTCAACTGATACGTGCCGCCCCACAAGGAAGAGCCTTGCGGGAGCCGCTATTCCATCGAGCACCACGTCGCCATGGGCCGTCGAAACGTAGCCGGTAGTTCTAATTGCTTCGCCTTCTTGACATGACGCTCTGCATGCGCCCGACGCTCTCGTACCAGCCACTCAGGTGACGACGTCGAGGCCAAGTTGTCGACCACGACAACGACGCCGGCAGCTTCGTCTTCCTCTTTTACCTCTTTTACTACTTTGTCCCCGCAGCCCGCCAGCCTCACCTGGCATTCATTTCCGCGGACAGCTCGGGCCGCGTCCATCTCACCAGCATGGCCTACGGCGGCAAGCCGTCGAGGGGCTGCCAGATGTGCAGGATCCGACGAATCAAGGTCCGTCCGTCGTTTTCCGGGTCCCCCGCGGCGATTGACTGACGTGCCGCCTCGCAGTGTGACGAGACGAAGCCGACGTGCAAGCAATGCGCAAAGGCCCGCCGACAGTGCCCTGGATACAGAGGCGCCGACCAATCGGGCGGCAGACATGATGTGTCGCGGCCGACGAGAGCTGACAAGACTTTGGCGCCCAGCTCGGCCAGCTCGAGCGATGACGGGTCCTCGCCGCCGACATCGCCTCCCGACGACGGCATCCCCTCTCTCCTGCGGCCGCCGCTCAAGGACGTGGCGTCCTGCCACTTCATCTCAAACTACGTCCTCATTCCCCGCCAGGGCTTCACGGCCACGCGAGGCTGGCTTGAGTTTGTCCTGCCGCTGCTCAAGCAGGAGCCGCCCATCCCGCACTTCAAGCACGCCTTCAACGCCTGTGCCATGGCCTCGCTCAACAACCGCGTCGGCACGGGCAACGACTTTGAAAGGCAAGCCCTGGGCCACTACACGAAAGCCCTCGCCACCACCTTTACCGCCTTGAGAGACCCGGACATGGTCAAGCAAGACGCCACACTTGCATCCATCCTCCTGCTCAGCCTATTTGAGAGCATCACCGCCAAGAGCCTGGGCATGTTTGCCTGGAGCTCACACGTCGAAGGCGCCATAGAGCTTGTCAAGACGCGGGGCCCCGAGCAGCTCAAGACGAAAACCGGCATGGACCTGTTCGCCGCCGTCCGGATTCAAATGGTATTTCCTGCCCGCCCGTCCTCTTGCTTTTGGCTGTTGACAATGGACTGCATAGATTATCCATTCGCTGAGCACAGGCAAGGCGCCAAGCTTGGGCATCGAGTGGTGGGCCAACGACCCCGTCTGCAACGGGCACACGGCCGAATTCCAGCAGTTGAGCGGCCGGACCGGGCTGCTCAGGAACGAAGTCAACAGTCTACTCGGCACCCTCGCGCGGACACCGGAGAATACAAAGCTGATGAAGGAGTTCATCCGGAGGTGCCGGGCCCTGGACAAGGAGGTGGTGGACTGGTTGCAGGGGCTGCCCGACATCTATCGGTGGAAGACTGTGGCCTGGGAGGACTACAATCCCAAGCGCGACTACGCAAAGGCCGAGGCGTTCCCGGGCCGCGTCGACCTGTATCGAGACCTATGGGTGGTCAACATGTGGAACGTGATGCGATGCATGCGCATCGTCCTGGCATCCCTCATCATTCGCCTTACGGCCTGGATCATCTCGCCTGCCGACTACCGAACGACGCCCGAGTACGCGGCCATTTCGAGGACTTGCGGCGAAGCCATTGCCGACATCATCGCCTCGATCCCCTACCAGCTAGGCTGGTTCTCCAGGCGCAAAGACCTGCACGTGGCGGAGCAGCTCTCGGGCTTCGCGTGCGGAGAAGACAACACCAACAAGAGTCTTGCCGGCTTCTTCGCCATCTGGCCCCTCGTCTGCGTGCAGGGTCAGGACTACCTGACCGACCTGCAACGTGTATGGGTCAAGGGGCGGCTCAAGTGTATCGCTAATGAGCTCGGCGTGCGCTACGCCGATATGCTGTCCCAGCTCAACGTGCGCATGCCGTCCATGCTCATCCTTCGCGACCGCCTCAAGGGCAACCCGCAAAACATACCCGTCGACGTGGGCGGCGCGTCACCGGGCAAGCAAGGCAGCGGCGGCGGAGGTGCAGCGGTCGCAATGCCCGCGCCGCCGGGCTCTTCTCCGGAATCGGTCAAAAAGCAGGAGGCGGCCTATCGCAAGATTATCCAGGATCAGACGGAGCAGCTCAAGAAGCAGGCTGTGGAATCAAACGGGGTCGTGGACGACTGGACGGTCAAAACATGGTTGCAGTTATAGGTCCGGCGGAGTTCAACGCACAAGGGAGGCAGCGCTCTTTTGACATGTTTACGATTTGGCGTTGTGAGGAATTTTGCGTTTTTATTACGCGTCTCGTTGCTCGGCATGGATCCCGCTTGGCACCAGTCTTGCCCTGCTGTTCTTGGCAGTGACGGTCAAGGCAAAGGCGGAGCAAATGTTGGGGTGTTCTGGTGTTTGGGGAGAAGCGCGTTGAGACATATATTCCCGGGCAGCATTCAAAAATTTGTACCTTTTCCTTCCATCTGCGCCAGGCTTCCCATCTTCTATTGTTGAATGAGCCAAGATTTCTTTCTTTAGCGAAGGGGCTTTTCATGTTCACCGTGTTATGACTGAACGCTGTATTAGAAGATAAACCCACGGGCAACGCCAGCGGGTTGAACGGCCCTTGGCATCCTGATAGTTGATGTCGGGAATTGAGGTGTTGAAAGATGCGGATGTCGGTGGCTGTCATAGATGCAATAGAGCATCGTGCGCAAAAGTGGGACAACGTGAGGAGGACTTACGGCAGGGCAAACGATAATACAATTTTCACAGCCCTTGACATAAAGTTTCCTCCTGTAGTTAGATTAGATGAAGTGCGCGAATCCCGCTTTGTATAACTGAGCGGTAAATCGATAGTATGGAACTATAGAGCAGAGAACGGACTTATAATACGCGTTAATAACACATCCAATGGGAATGCCCATATTTTGCCTGGTATAGCGGTATTTTACCAGCTTCACAGGAACTGTCCTAGGTAAGAGCCTCACCAAGCAGCCCAAGTGGCACCATCGCCACCCAAGGCAGCAACACACCTATGAATTCAAGAACGTGCCATGGATAGATTAAACGCAACTATAATCGCAAGATAATAGAAAGCTATCCGAGACACTGCGGAGAAGAAGTCGAGGAGCATCGATATATAAAACTAGTATCTGTGAAAGGCCTCTAGTGAGTTGATACAACTAACTAGTCCCTATGCTGTTTACTATCAAGATAGAGAAGAAAGAAAGAAAGAAAGAGAATCTACTACATGAGAGCACAATAGCATTTTATAGCTTCGAGCCAATGGAAGGTTCTAGAAGCTAGGCGGCGCAGCCGCCGTTAAAGCGGCTTGCCCGTTACATTACCTCCCTCCCTTCCAACGTTTCCTCTTCCGGGGGGTCGTGGCAATCTGTGGCAAGATGACTTGAGAAGGTGACACTCCTTTTATGCTTCTTCCATTGCTTCCATGCATCGGTGTGTCGAATAGTAGTAAGGGGTTCCCACGTAGGCTGCGAGTAATCATGCCATTTTACGAGCACCTTCTTATGCGTACCTTCCATTCTTTCATCCAGAATTCTTTCAACAAGGTACATCTTTTCGCCGTCCACCAGCACCGGTGGGGCACTCTCTTGATCGAGTTTCTGCGAAGGCAATGGGTCTCCGGGACTGGCCGGAGTAGGTCGACGTGAAAGACTGGATGGATGCGCCCAGGCACATCCAACCTGTAGGCATGTGGGCTAACTTCCGCGAGCACTTGATATTTGGCATGTAGCCAATCGAGCTTCTTGCAGGGTCGCGATGTTTTGACATTTCTCAAGTTGAGGTATACCCAATCCCAGGCTCGTATCTCGGTGCGGCTGTCCTGTGCTTGTTGGCTTGCGCTTGCTGTATTTCCTGGGCCATAGCTATCGCTGCTTGCGCAAACTCCGTGGCGTCCTGTAGTCTCTGAATAAAATCCTCCGCTGTCGCTTCCCCCTGCGTCGTGTCTTCCGTTCTTCGATGCTCAACTAATTGGATTGGCTCGTTGTGGTAGCCGTGCATGAAGAAGAACGGACTCAGTCCGTGGAGGTTGCTTCCTCTCGTTAATAGTCGCCATCGCGATTGGAAGCAAGTCTAACCAGTTCTCCTGCAGATAATTCGTCCATATCCGAAGAATCCTCTCTACCTCTTGGTTCATTCGTTCTGTTGCACCGTCGGTTTGTGGATGGTACGCCGTCGACAACCGCTGCTCGATCCCTAGCATCTGACAGAAACTTTTCCACATACCACTGACAAACTGGGGACCCCGATCACTGGTTATAGCCGTTGGGATGCCATGGACAGGGTAGTGTCGTTCGAAGAGTCTTCTTGCAACCGCTTCTGTGGAAATATCGTTCAATCCTTCGAGTTCGACGCCTTTGGTGAGTCGGTCCGTGACCACCATGCAGTTCGTCGCGCCATCTTTCCCCGACGGTGGGAGGTCAGTAATAAAGTCAATGGTAATTTCGCTCCATATGCGTTGCGGAATAGGGAGCGGCTTTAGGAGTCCTTTCTTTGTATCCCTCCAGATGGTGTTTCGTCCGCAAACCTCGCAGTTGCGCACAAACCGACGTACATCGCTAGCGGCACCCGGCCAGAAGAAGCGTCTCGACAGAGTCGAGTACGTGAGGTCCCTTCCAGGATGTCCGGTGATATGAGAGTCGTGAGTTTCCTGGATGATCTTTGTACGTAGCGGCTCCGAACCGGGTATCCAGACGCGTTCTCTAAAGCACAGCAGGCCTCTATTGTCTAATGAGCATTCTGAAATGCTGACAACCTTCTCCTTCTGTAAGTCTGTTGGCACACTCTTCGCTCCATCTGCTACCAGCTTCGTGAGTTCTTGATAAAGCTTGTCTTCTTGCCGTGCGGCGTGCCACAGCTGCTGTAACTCCTCATCTTCAAATATCCTGATCTCTTTTCCGAAGTTGATTTCCTGGGCACCCTCGGTGTTGGTAGACAATGTCGATATTGGGACCCTTCTAAGGTGATCATTTTGGAATAGCCTCATAATGCGTCCCTTTAGTCGTTCATCGGAGTAGTTGGCCGGCATATCCTGGTCCCGTCGAGAGAGTGCGTCAGGCAATCCGCCCTTGCGGCCCGGCCTCCATTCGAGCTCGAATTGGAACCTGGACAGGAACTCCGACCACCGCACTTGTCTCTCTGTCAACCTCCTTTCCGAGTAGAAGTACCTCAGGTTCTTGTGGTCCGTTAGGATCTTGAAGTGCTCTACTGCCCGTAGCTCTGGTTCCCACTGCTCCAAACATCTGAGAATGGCGAGTAGCTCCTTGTCATGGATAGCGTAGTTCGCTTCGGCTGCCGAATGTTTCTTCGAGAAGTATGCGACAGGTCGTACCAGTCCATCCTTATCATCTCTCTGCAAGAGCACGCCTCCCGACGCGAATCCTGAAGCGTCTGCTTCCACGATAGTCTCCTTTCTGGATGGAAGTGTGCAGGATCGGGGCCGTGATCAACAAGTCCTTGAGCTTCTCGAAGGCTTCTTCGCACAATTCATCCCAACGGAATGGCACGTCCTTCTTCGTTAGCCGCGTTAGCGCTCCGCTATCACCGAGAACTCTGGCATAAACATCCTGTAGAAGTTCGCGAATCCAATAAAACTCCTCACGGACTTAACATTCGTCGGGGTTGCCCATTCCTTCACAGCCTCAACCTTCTCAGGGTCGACTCGGATCCCACACTCCGCCTCGATGATAAACCCAAGGTATTTCACAGCCTTGACTTCGAATTCACTCTTGTTGATATCCAGTTGCAGCCCGGCGTCCATCAGTCGTTGGAGGACCTTGCCGACCTTGTCGCGGTGGTCTTGCAGGCTTCCAGAGGAGAAGATCAGGACATCGTCGATATATGCTGACACAAAATCGTCTAGGTAATCCTGGAGCGCGCTGTTAATGTACCGCTGAAAGGCTGCTGGTGCGCCTGTCAGGCCGAATGGAACTACCAGCCATTCGAAGGATCCATAGCGCGTTCTGAAAGTTGTCTTTTCCTCGTCGCCGGGGCGACCTGATCTTATGGAACGCTGCTATAACATCTACCTTGGTGAACCACCTTGCCTTGGCTATCGTTCGCAAGGTCTCGCTCAGTAAGGGCAAGGGATAGCGGTCCCTCTTCGTTATATGGTTCAAACCTCTGTAATCCACGCAGAAGCGGATGCCTCCGCCGGGCTTCTTCACCATAAGGACTGGTGCCGCGGCTGGCGAGCTGCTGACTCTAATAAATCCCTTGTCGAGTAGTTCTGTGAGAGTCTTCCGTAGTACCAATAGCTCCTCGCGGGACATGCTGTAAAGCGGTCCCCAGGGTAGGGCTTCTCTCGGCCATGCTCGTCTTTCAGCACTTCGATCTTCAGGTCCACACCTGGCCGATGAGGGGGCAGCTGGTCGGCCAGTTGCTGAGAGAAAGCTCGAGACCACTTGTGGTACTGTGGTGGCAGCTTCTCCATTACGTCAGTCTTCGGTTTCGGTCTTAGGGCCTTGTCAATATCCGCCATCGTGACCGAGTGAACTCCAATGCCGCCTTTGCGTTTGTCACGGCGTGCTTCTGCTAAAAGGTTGCGGCCATGACATTAGAGACATCTAGCTGTGGAGGCTGGTAACGTCGTCGGTCTCGTACTTGAACTCCATTGGACCCGATCTCGAGATATCCTTCCTTCGCATGGATGTGAACATCCTGGTCTTCCATCCATCGTTTACCCAGGATCATATCCCAGTTCAGATCGTCGATGACGTACATGAAAACACGATGCTGCTGATGTCCATCGAGGTCGATCGACACATACGTGATCTTGTCGATTTTGACCTCCTTGCCGTCTCCGCTGCATTCTCCAAGATGCGCGGCTGGACGCGTATATGTGGCAACTGGAGAGAGTGAAATGTGCGCTTGCTAACCGCGCCGTAGCAGAGGCAGCCATAGTCGACAAGAGATGGCACGAAGTCTGTGCCGTTCACCCTGACGTCTGCTATGAACGGTTCTCCGTCCATTTTGCTTTTCCGCTCACATCCCATTCTCTCACAGCCGCCGCGTGTCCTAGTCTGAATCTTCATCGTTATGAGAAGAAGTATCGTCTTCGGCGACCTCGGCTTTAGTGACCGCTGGTCGTGACGGGGTCACGGCATTGACCTGAGTGCGTCGGGTCGTGTTTGCGGGTCGGATAGGCGCAGCCAATGGACAGCGCTCGATTCTGCAGTTGTCTCTTCCACAACGGAGGCAACGCCCTTCACGGTAACGGGCGTCCATCTCGGCCTGGTCGACCCACTTGGCACGCTTGCCCAACAGCGCTTGGTCTTCTGGTCGCTTGGATTGGTAACCATATGTGTTCTTATCACTGCGGGTGCGCGCAGCGTTCACTTTCGCGGATGCTTGTAGAGTTGGTTCCCATTCCATCATATCCTCTCGTCTAACTTCGGTTTTCTGGCCAGGCTGTTTCTGGGCAGCCTGGCCTCCATGATTCTGGTGGTTGTCATAGTTGTCCGAACTCTTTGTGTTGCCTCGAGGCCTTTTCCACTGACCCAACAATTCCATCTGGCTGCTCAGCGAATCGCACCTCCTCGCCAGCCCAACATAGCTGCTGATGGCAGAGGGTCAGAGCCTATGAGGGCTGCTTTCATTTTATCGTTTAGTGCCTCCTGGAGGTAGGAAATCTTGCTGTCATCTGGCCAATACTCGGCGTTGGCATTGGCGATCTCCTCTCAAAGCGGGGGTAAAGGACGTGAACGGTTCATTCTCTCCTTGCTTAATCGAATGCAGGTTGCGTGTAGCTCTCTGCTTGCGATCCCTCTCCCGTACAGCAATTCGAGGCGGTTGAGTAGTTCAGCAACATTGAACGTTTTCTTCTCGGTTTGCATCTCCACAAATGTGGTCACGTTGTCTTTAGCCTTGCCTTCTAGGCTCATGAAGATGTACATAAAGTGGCCTTCTGCATCTCCAAGGGCTTCTTTGTCGACTCGTAGCTTTCCTTCGGTTTCTAGTTTCCAGCTTCGCCACTGGGCCTTGTCGCCGCCGAATTTCGGTATGTCTCGTAATTTGGGGCGCTTGGTTGGGTGAGGGTTGTGAGTGGCGACCACACGAGTGTCCTCAATGGGGACAGCCGGGGTGACAGATGGCGTTGGCTCTAGGAGTTCAGACGAACGGGCTTGCTGGTGTTGTTGGAGTTCCAGGGCAATAAAACGTTCTTCAAACTGGGTGTTTCTTCGGGAACTCTCTTCTCTCAGACTTCGTATCTCGGCAACCAGGGCGCTGAGGACGTCCGGCTGCATGTTGTTGTTATCTTCGGCCATCGCGACTTCGCTGAACGCTAATAGTTCGACGGGACTCAGTTTGGTGTCTTCAGTGTCTTCGGTGTCTTCGGTGTCTTCAGTGTCTTCGGTGTCTTCAGTGTCTTCAATGTCTTCAGTGATCTTGATAGTATGTGAAAGGCCTCTAGTGAGTTGATACAACTAACTAGTCCCTATGCTGTTTACTATCAAGATAGAGAAGAAAGAAAGAAAGAAAGAGAATCTACTACATGAGAGCACAATAGCATTTTATAGCTTCGAGCCAATGGAAGGTTCTAGAAGCTAGGCGGCGCAGCCGCCGTTAAAGCGGCTTGCCCGTTACAGATTGCACCATCATGGCTGGAAGCCAAGCATAACTTACCCGTAACGGCCACCCACTCCCGCTATTCGGCCTAAAAGTGGGTGGGTTAGTGCGGCTTATCAAGCCGCAGCGCCCGGCTTTCCCACCCGTACGCCTGTATCGCGAACAACCACCAAGGAGTCGCCCGGGAAGGTCTTGTTGCGGCTCCATAAAGAATTGCGTAAAGCATTGTAGTGGAAAGTTGGCTGTGTAAGGCTTTCCTGGCCGTATCTGCTTTGGAGCTGCTCCGTACGTACTGTGGAGCCCGTGACCCGGCACAGGTCTTACCACAGCCAAAGCGATAGTGACGAACTAGAGGCTGCGATACCTTGAACAACACGGCGATGCGTATAAACCGGGCGTATTAACAAGCTACTCGCACTACAACTGTCTCTAACGATGATAATAACTGGTCTGTCTCTGCCTCGTCAGGTTACAAGGCTGACACATAAGGCAAGATCATCGCCACGATGCCCTTATAACAACTTTCACGAAAAGAGGATACACGATGGGATAAGGTAGAGGCAGAGGTTTAAGAGTGAACAAGAGGCATAGTACAACATGTAGGGAAGGGGGAGCTTCTTTAGAGACTGAGGAAGCCACTGTGTTGTACAAGCAAAAGTGAAGTGACCCTCCTACATATGACCTGAAACTGGACTCTATACGCCATGGAGGTGCTGGTGGCAGCTGACAGAGACGTACTCCGTATATATTGCCATGTCGCTAAGGCGCCTAGTATACTATTGTAAAGCTGGTAAAACACCGCTATACCAGGCAAAGTAGGGACACCCCTATTGGAGGTGTTATTAAAGCGTATTATAAATCCTTTCTCTGCCCTGACATAACCCCCCTAGGTTGATGGCTGTACTTATATGGCCAGTGAGCTAATTACCCTCATAGCCTAACATGGGCCAATCTAGCAAGACATAAATTAATTAAGTTACTATAAGGTTTAGGAGGCATAAGTTATGTAACCCCCTGACAATTAGATTAGACACCATAGTGCATTAAAATCCCCCTAGGGGTTGGTTAAACAGTGGACCGACCAGCTAATATAACTTCCGGGATGCGTTTTTAACCCTCGCTGATCTGCCCAGCGGGGATCAGCAACTGGGCTCATCATTATAAAGCTGGTAAAATACCGCTACACCAGGCAAATAGCGGTACCTGAGGTATTATTAATGCGTATTTTAAGTCCTTTCTCTGCTCTGACAACTATTTTCTATGTATCGCGATAATCTTACTTCGCTATGAGCATGCATTGGTGCGGGCGGGATTTGTTGCAGTCTCCGACGTACGGGTGGGGAATACGCGCATACAAATTGGCGCTGCGCGCCTTGACAAGTCATACTAATCCATTTTTAGGAGGCAGAATAGTGGGAGTGGGTGGCCGATTAATGCGGCACTATACGCACCTTGACCAGCTACACTTTCTTCACATTTGGTCGGACGATTGGGCAGACCGGTGGGATGTTTCTTAGTCTAGGCCACCGGATATCATCCCCCCACTCGTTTCAGTTCGGTATGCCTGGGACATTTCAGGGCTCTGCATTTCGTATGTCGTGAGATGCAAAAGCTCTCGCAAGGGAGTTCGCAACCAGCCGAGTCCAATATATCTCTTATTCAGAGTAACAGGATCCAGTGACCAGTCGATCAACACAAAGCCTACATCTTTCAATCAATGTTCAAATGCTTGAATTAAATCTCTTAGTCTTACCTATGTTAGCTCTGCTGCATCCACGGCAAGAAGCCGAGGCTGGAGCCGGATTATAACTCAAGGAACGCAGATGGAGAACCGGGCCCCGACCGAGAAACAGGTCAGACCTGCTCAAGAGTGCTCAGAACCCGGATGAATGGGCCAGGTTCAGAAGCCCCAGATCGAGACATTTCGCGATGCCCTCACAATACAGGCTGCGGTGATTCATCACGCCTCAAGACTAATGAGTTCTATATAAGATATCGTTCTCACAAGGATCATACCCGACCGAATGCCGTCTAATATCCGAGAGCTCTGAACGAATCCATGACCATTAGGTGGCAACCCTTGCTGCGGTGAGCCACCCCTACGGTGCCTATATAGTTCAATCTGCAGGATTCTTGCACGTCAGAAAAATGCAGACGGCAATCAAACTTCACCCCACCGGTTTCCACTGCGGTGATTCATAAACTCGCGGGAACGAGGATTCAGTGGTCGGAGCGAGCCTGATATGCCGCCACAAGGACTAGGACCCGAGAACTTACCATGTGCCCTCCTACCATGCTTGTGTAGTGGCTCATCATCTGGATCTCGCCTTCCGACATGGCCGACAAGTCTCTAGAGGCATCATCCTAACATGGTCAACTTATCTGGCCATCGCACAGCTTCTTTGCGATCACGTTTGCTAACAGACAAACTCTCGCCACTGCTGTGATTGTTTGAGCAAGAACTGTCTTCGGCCGGGCTGCACTTATAGTTTGAGTTTCAGGTGGTCAGTATCCTTTCTAGCTCCATAGTTAGACTAAAGGACAACCTGCCAATACCAAAGGCTCTATAGGGACTAAGTTGTCTTTTCAGCATCGATCAACAAGTAGTTGGGACGGCACGCTGACACTGGGATGATTGCAGTGGGTAAGTTGTTTCTTGTACTTGTAGTAATTACCAGGCCACGGGGCGTCGCGCTGATACGAGGGCCACAACACTGGGTAAGTCGTTCCCGCCTATTTCCAAGACCAGGGCGACAGAGAACCGCACTGCCAGTAGGGCGGCTGGGGGAGATCACGTCAAAGCATTAATCTAGCAACAAGTAAAAGACCGATACATCGGCGCGGCAACGTCATGGCGACTCGAGGTGATTGATGTTCTCCCCCACAAAGACAAGCTGGTTAAGATACCGAGGTTGATGGGACGCAGGCTGTATGTGCTATGCTTAAGAGGCGACGCACCGAAACCTCGAGGGCCATTATTTGTGTGCCGTGAGTGTTCTGCCTGACGTGGACGAGCAAGCACAGCGCCGACGCTAGGATGATTATGGCCTCATTATATTGAAGCCATCCCTGGCATTAGCAACCGCTCTGGTGAGACGGCGGGCTGATGTTCGAGATAATTGAGTCACTGGGGGATGACAGACTGGACTGGAAAATGAAAATAACCTTCAAGCTATATAAACTCGCTGGCTAATATACGTGGACCTTGTCATTAATAGTGAGCCTTTGGTTGTTGTAGAGTCTTGACAAAATGCTTTCTGGAGTTACTCATCGACTTCCCTGGGCATTTGAGACTTAGCTCGACATCACGCGCTGCATGAGGAACCATTCAAGCGATAGACAACGCTCGTTTGCTGCTTCGTAAATCCATCCATTAATTTCCCCTGGAGTATGGACCATATTGGTTGTATTATCAGGTTCTCAAGGATAAGGTTCGCCTCATGCTGGTGATATGATTGGAGTTCAAAGAAACAACCCAAATTAGGGCTACGAAGTAACCAAGAAAGGAAAACGTTGACAATTGAGTGACGAAACAAGCTACGAGTCTGCCTTTCCGAGTACCTTCTTGGCCTCCTCGGCCACATTGTATCTGACCACGCCAGCGAGCGACTTGGACATGAAGCCCGGGAAACATCCTGCGTAAGATTAGCCTCCCCTCGGTGGCAGCAGCAGGGGCACCACATGACGGACACACCTAGAATCCACAAGAAAATATACATCAAGTATTCCTGGAAAACAGTCATGTCCCGCTTGGAATTCTGCATTGTCTGGGCCTCTTGCAGGATCTTGGTGACGCGGGGAAGGCGCAGTTCCATGTATTGCTTCGCAGCCACTTTGATGACCTGCTTCCGGCTGTTGGCGTCATAAATCTTGTGCTCCTGGTACGCCTTGCGCAAATAGTGGCCGAGGAAGAGGGCAAAGGCCTCTACGTCCTCCAGGGCCTGCGAGGACCCCTGTCCCGAGGTTGGGGGTAGGGCATGCGCTGCATCACCGACGAGGACGACTCCTTCACGTTCCCACGTCGGCAGCGGCGGGACAGTCCAGGTCGGGTACATATTGTCCACGCGAAGGGACCGGAGAACTTTCTGCACGACGGGGTCCTTCCAGTCCTGGTGGCGTTCTCGTAGCTGATGCGTGACGGCCTCCACGTCAAGCGTGCCCGGGGTCGGACACTCGTTAGCAGTGAAGGTTGACCACCAGGCGAGACTTTTGCCTGGCTCTGAGACGTGGAAAGGCGAGTCACGGTTCGGCGACGACTCGTCACTCTCAGCAAAGAAGTAGCCGAAAAAACCATTGCCACCAAAGACAAAGTTCATCGAACCCTTTTCCACATGGCCCTTGACGTCGGAGGAGGGAATGAACCCGCCCACTCCTACGAGGCCCCTATATCCTGGCGTTAGAGTTGCATTCTCAGGGAGCGTCTGTTGCGGATGTGTGGGACCTACTCATAGCGCGCAGGGAAGGGGTCTTGGTCTGCCTCCGGAAACAAGGCGTGCTTGGTGAGGCTCTTCAAGCCGTCGGCGCCAAGCACGAGATCCGCCTCGACGGGCGGACTCCCGTCAACGAAGCTGACCAGGTTGCGGCCGTCGGGGTTCGCGGTCACCTTGGCGACTCGCTTGGTCACAATGGCACTATCGGGAATTCGCAGGCGCAGGCATCGCCAAAGCGAGTGGCGGCTGGTTGCGACCATGCACATGTCGTTGGCTGCGCTTCCGTCGCCGGACAAGGGTGAGCCCGTGGGTTGTAGGCGAGCCAGGACGGTGCCATTTTTGCTCTTCATCATCATGGTGGGCACGACATATCCACCTCGGACGACATCGAGGAGGATATCCTCGTCAAGACGCTTCAGCACATGAAGGCCATTGGCGCCAACGCCGAGGCCGCCGCCCACGACGAGCGTCGACGAGTGGGTCGCTCCGTGGCCACGGTCTGACGAGGTCGTATCCTTGTCAGTGTCGTGGGCTTCATAGATGGTGATGGAGTGCGGTTCGGCCGACAGAGGCTTGGGCAGGTGCTTTTTCAGCAAGAGGTAGGCGGTGCATCCCGAGATGCCCGCGCCGATGATGACGATTTTCATGTTTCAAGTAGGGACGAGATTGGGGAGAGACTCGAGAGCAGAGATGCTTGTCGGCTTGCTCAGCTTGGGGAGCCCGATGACGGCGAGGCCAGCCCACGCCAGGCCACCCGATGATGCCCGGGATGGATGTCTCCTAAGTTAGGGATCTCATGAGGGCTCGGCATTCACGGCACGAGCGGTGTGGCCTCTAGCGCAGGATGGGCGTGGCTGCATCTCTGGGCGTCCTCATCGAGCAAAGGCCATGTCGTCTCGAGTGCGAAGAGGCGTGGCGAGCCCAGCTCGGGAGGCTGTGCTGCGCGGTAAGCCGGCACAACGATGATGCGCCAGTGCTGTCAACTCCATCGATGCATACAGTATGTATGCTTGAACTCGGGTGGCCTGGTGCGACTTGAGTTGTATCGACGGAGAGACGAGGGCGAATTGGGTTGCTTCCATTTCCAACTGTGCGGGGAACCGGCGCCATCGTCGCTGGCGGGGGGCACGTGACGGCGCTTTTCTGACCAAAGTCGCTAATCCGAAAACTGTGATCAAGAAGCAGCCGTCATCGCCCATCGCACCGCAATTCCACCAAACTCGCCCCCCTTAGCCTGCCCGGCTCTACGACACTCCATCTGCATCCCCGCCCACGCCCTGCCGGCTAGATGCGCATGCCCAGCCGGTAATCTGTCTGGGCGATCCAACGAACCGGGAGAGGAGAGTTCTCGCCACTTCGCCGACCCTCGCAACGGCCTTCAAGGTGGCTGGCCCAGGTCGCCTGCGGTTATCCGCACGAATACCTCACAGCCCATCGCGATGCTGCCGAGGTAGCCCTTGCGTGGGCCGGGTGGCCGTGCGATGCTATGGCACTGTCGCGTCCCGCTCCGATGGACGCGCATCCACCGCGCCTGTCTTTCCGCAAGAGGTGACGGAGAGCATGCGTCGCAGTCGGGCGGAAGCGCTACCTGCCGGCTCCTCAACCGATTCACGGTCGCAGCACCCCCAGTTCCACCTGCCGGCTGTTCTTCTCCCCCCCGAAGCCGCCAGGTCGCCCACTGTGCACAAGATTCACATCCTCGGCGAGGACGAAAGATCCAGGTTCATTGCGCATGCCCTCTCGGGCGTCTACGACTCGATCGAGCTGCTCGGCTGGAGGACCAACATGCCGTCGAAATATCGCAATATTCGGAAGTCGAGACACAGCGCCAGACACGCGCCGAGCATCGTGGAAACCAACGCAGGCCTTCCGCCCCAGCCACGAGTCGACACCAAAGACGATCGTATCGACCAGCTGCTGGTCACCGGCCGGGCACACGAGGTCGTTCGGTCCATCAAGTCCGTCCAGGATCGAGTGGACGAGAACACGACCATCTGCTTAATGCACGAAGGCCTGGGGGTCTTGGAAGACGTGAGGAGAAAGTTTTTCGAAGGCTCCAACCCGAGCCCTAGGTTTATACTCGGCCACATGAGCCACCGGCTCGCCTTTCACAGGAACTCAAACTCGGTCCGGCGTCTCAAAAGCGGCGACACGAGATTGACTCTGGGCCTAAGTAACGACCAGGAGGCGGACACGTCCCTTCCCATGGTGAGGTCACTGCGAGAGTCCAGAGACCTCCGCTCAACCATGACACCCTACGATCAGTGGCTGCGGTTCAAGCTACCCTCGGTCATCTTCGACACCGTCGTCGAGCCCGTCTGCGTCCTGCTCGAGATGTCGTACCAGGGCTTGCTGCAGAACATGCCCGCTCAGCGAATCATGCACAGCTTGTTGACGGAGATTATTCGTGTCGTCGATCAGATGCCCGAGGTGGAGGGATCAGCCGTCATCCGAAATTTCATGCACGGCAAGAGCATCCACAAAATCTTGCACGAAAATATTCTGGCCAAGCGCTTCAGCCCGAGCCAGCTAGTCCTCCGCGTTGACAAGGGCCTGCCGACAGACATTGACTACCTCAACGGATACTTTATTCGACGAGGTCAGGAGCTGGGTCTTGACCTCCGCGTCAACGCCATGGTGAGGGACATGATCAAGGCGAAGCACTCCCAGGCCATCGAGAGACTGAACTCGTATGTGCCCGTGGAGGAGATGTCGGTACCAAGTCACTTGACGCACCGGTATCGCACAAGACCTCATGACAATCAGTGATGTGTAGGATAGAGGTTGGTGTTTTCCGCCCCATGGTTAGCTGGCAAGGATATGCATAGACGGGTGGCTGGAGCTAGAGGCTTCTGCTCTGTACATTATTATTACTACTTTGCACACCAAGAAGAGCTTGGCCGTCTTTCGATGCTGTGCAGGTCATCATGCATGTAACTGGTGCATGGCTTCAAGTACGTCAGTCATGCTCACGTGATGCCTAGAGCTGCCCCTCCAAGTCCCCCTTGTCACTGTTGACTCAGCCGCAATCGGGGATTTGCCGTCCCAATCCAAAACACCAACGCTCCGTCGTAAGCAAAGCAGCCATGGACGACTCGGAGCTCGAGCAGGTTCGCCGAGCGCGCGAAAAGACTCCATACTCAAGCAGGCTGACCCTCGCCAGATTCGAAAAGCGCGCCTGGACCAGCTCAAGGCCCAGCAGGGCGGCGGCGGCGGCTCACGCAGCGGCGGGCAGCCGTCGTCGGCGGGCGGCCAAGACCAAGAGCAGCAGAAGCAGTACGCCTCATCGCACTCGCCCGTTGGCTGCAGCTCACTAACAATGGCCGTTTCCCTCCCGCAGGCAGCAAGACGAAGCGCGGCAGCACATGCTCAACCAGATCCTGCACCCCGAGGCGGCGGACCGGCTCGGGCGCATCCGGCTCGTCAAGCAGCAGCGCGCGACCGACGTGGAGAACCGGCTCATCATGCTGGCGCAGACGGGCCAGCTACGGCAAAAGGTGACGGAGGCGCAGCTCAAGGACCTGCTCAACGCCGTGGCGGACAACAAGGAGGAGGAGAAAATTGTGGTGAGCAGGCGCAAGGGGTGGGATGACGACGACGACTTGTTGGACTTGTGAGCGCCCGTGTGGCCAGCCGGGCATATGGGCAGGAAGATGAGGATTGGATGATACCAAGAAAGGGCTCGATGAGCACTGGGGCATCTGTTCGCGCGCGGTGTTTGTACATATGTGGATTGCCCGTGTTCCACGGTGCAAAAGGTTTTGTGACGACGGCTGTCACCGTACACGAGGGGATGTGCTCAATGGCATACAAGATAGGCCCTCAAAGTCAGACGCGGGCTTGCGCCTCCTTGTGCCGATTCCTCTCCTCGCGCTCCCTCTTGCGGATGCTCCTCAGGTCCGGTGGCCTCTCGATGCCCAGCTCGGCGCGCAGGTCGTCGACGTCGCGCTCAAGCTGCTCCTCCCAAAACACGTTGATGACGTCGCGGCTCCTGGCACCGTTGCGCAGCGCCCAGGGCAGGTATATGGACCAGAAGCGCTGGCGCTCCCGGGGTTTGAGGGTGGCGACGGCGAGCGTGCTCAGCCCCGTCATGGGGATGAGGGTATTGGCAAACTCAAACGCCTTGAGGGCCACCTCGCCCTCGCGGACAACGGGCAAGCCGGTGAGGGCGTGGAAAAAGTCGTGGCACTCGCGGTAGCGCTGCATGACGTAGGCGCACTCCTCGTCGTCGATGTAGCGCACGGCGGAGCGCGTGTCGGGCGAGACGCCCTCGCGGTCGAGCCAGTCGACGTAGGCGCGGCCGAGGCTGTTGCTCGGCAGGGCACGCAGGGCGGCGACGGAGAGCGTCTGCGAGGTGATGCGCGGGCGGAGGCGGAGGATGCGGCGGCCGGTTGGGTCGGCGAGCATGGCGTCGCGGAGGCGGTAGATGAAGTAGGGCGTGGCGGTGGCCTCGCCGAGGGCGGCGATGAGGTCTGCGCCAGCGAGTTGACTCCACGTCAGCTTGGACTCTTTTGGCTCCGCCATCTTCCGTGTCCAGGGAAAGAGAGCGGGAGCGTACCGTGGCGGTAGGGGTCGATGAGCGACATGACGCTGGACCCAATGGCCAGGCCGGCGCGCTCCACCGTGGTCAGGGGCACATGGCCGGGGTAATTCGGCGGCGGGCGGTTGAGGGCCGAGAATGCTCGGCGCGCGGCCAAGGACGAGAGTGCGGCAGAGGAAGCAGAAGGAGGCGACGATGGCGATGACGATGCGCACGCGGCGCACGTCGCAGCGCGCACGGCGTGCCGAGCTGTGGACACTGGCCGGAGCCTCGCCAGAGCTGCGTCCATGGCGGGGCGGGTCTTTCTCCGGGCTCCTCTGCCGGTAGATGCTTCGGTGTTTCGGGGCGGGACGGTCGAGGGGGTGTCGAGTCTGGGGGGTTGTGTCATGAAATGAAAGCCGAGCTGCCGGAAGCTGTCTGGGCAGAGGTTCTGCGCCTTACCTAAGAGGGGACCTGTACCATGTACAAGCATCGCTTTACGGTGGACCCGAGAGAAGGGGGAGCATTCAGCATCTGATAGGCAAAGCAATGGAAAACAACGACGCAGCCAGACTGTAGGCGCGTCTCTTCATTCTTCATGATTGTCAGTCAGAGCTGCGTCTCGGTACTAAGAGTGTGAAAAAGCACGATTCATTTCTTATTCCTGCGCTCCTACGAGGCTCGAATCAATAACAAGGTGCCTTGTTATGCTTTGTACATCAATATATTCAGATGCGCTTTTTCTTTCCCGCCAAGTCACCTCCTCCTCCCGATATCAACGGCTTATCAGTCCCTGGGCCATCAAAAGTCTTGGTTTCGTCTTCGTCTTCATCAAGCTCGTCTTCCAGGTCCTTCCCGGCCAATGACTAGAGCTTTGGCTCGCTTACGCTCGACGGCGGCTTGCTCGAGCTTGATGGTTTTGGGACGCCTCCGCTCGATGAGGGTTGTGGCTTGCTCGCACTTGATGGTTTGAGGCTGATTGCGTCTATTGGTGAGTCGCCTAATCCGCCCGAGGTTCCGGCTGGTTTTGGTCCGCTCGAGGTTCCGGTGGGGCTTAGTCCGCCCGAGGTTCCGGTGGGGCTTTGTCCGCCTGATTCGCCGGATCCGCACGGGGCCTTCTTGATGATATCTATTTGGGCCTGGAACTGGCCCTTCATTTCCGGCTGGTCCTTCATCAGCCCCTCCAGTTTCTCAACCTCTGCCTTCCACGACTCCGACATGCAGTCAGGGTCGCCCGACGCCTTCTCCTTGGGCTTTCTGTCTGCAGCGGCGCTGCTGGTTGTGTCGCCGTCGCCGAAGCGCACACGGGTTTCTGTGTTATTTGGTTTGGCCTCGGGGAGGACCGGCTTCTCGCGCTGGACGCCTCCAGCGCCGCCGCTGGGTGTGCTGGCTCTAGTGGTGCTGCTCTGTGTGCTGGCTCTGGTGGTGCCATCGGGTGAGAGGCTGGGCTCGGGGTTTTGTAATTGGGGCGCCGCCAGCGAGGTTACGGCACCTGGATTCCGTGTTAGCAATGCCGCGAGAGAACAGGGCAGGACTCCAGAGACGATGGAACACGTACAAGCCAGAAAGGCAGCAACAGCGATCCGAACCATTTTGAAAGTTGGTTTAAGAAAGTCTGGGTGCTGTGGGAATATGCAAGTCGGGTCTGGCTGGGTGTCGACGAGTGAGTTGGAAGCGATTGAAAGCCAACGTCTGGTCACTGGATGATGAGGATGGCTGGAGCATGAAGAAGCCAGTCGAGCAGAGCCACGGGGATTCTTATACCCTCCTAGCAAGCCCGTCTGCGCCATCGTCCAGTCTGCGCCTTCGTCCCGTCTGCGCCATCGTCCCGTCGTGGTTTCCACAGTTATCGGCGGTCCACCGTCATGACTTGCGCCTCGCATAATATTTGGCCAACTTCGGACTCCAAGTGGCAGCTGTACGCGGCGAAGCAGCGGCGGGATCACGATTCAGAATTAGACTATTCGGCCGCTGATCCTCTGGTCGATCGGCGACCCATGTCTAGAGCATAGAACAGAGGGGTCGAGAATCGAGTCTGAGACGTGGTGAAACGCGCTCTGTCTCGAAAGAGGCAAAGACAGGAATAGAAGGAATAGGGCCCGTCGCCTCGGAGCTTGCATAAAGACATGACTGGGCCCTGTCCACGATTCCATTGGCCTCTCAGCACGCAAACTCCACAAAGAGCTGACGAGTATCTGTCATTCTGCGCCTCAAGCCCAAGTCAGTGGCGGCTCTGCTAGATTACATATGTTTCCCGAAGGCGGCGTATCATTACGCAGCGAGGGATGAACAGATGACAGGTATGGAGCAGCACATGGTTGCGAGTTCATGCAACGGGCGGCCGTTGTTTCCTGGTCATAGAATGGAAGTGCGCTGAACCCTACAGTGATGGAGATAGGGCGGCAGCTTAGTGGCTGTTGCTACTCAGGTGAGAGGAAATACCTGGCCAGGCCAAAGCGAAACTCCACAGCAGTTGCGTTGTTGACGCGGCCTATCGAGGTCGGTGTTGCAGACAGTTGCCCGCCGAGTGGCCACGTTGACGACTTTGACTTCGATGCAGGACAAGGGCCGCCTTTTCGAGACCTGCAGAGTCGCCCGCTTCGTATAGGTGCAACAACGAACAGCAGAAGCAGCGCGGAAATGCAGCCGTTGGGCGGTTGATGCATTCACGGCTCGCACGCTGAAGCGGTTGATGGCTTCACCAAGCGAAAGACTGCCAGATGGGAAGTTGTAAGTTGTGGTAGCTTATCGTTATCGCTCTTGACAGTTGAGACGTAAGCAGCGGACCTCATCCGTAGGCGACTTTGCCAAGTTGCTTCCAGGGCCGTCTGCTTGGGCCTCACCGCAAACACCACCAATGGCGCCCTCTCACTCACTCTGAGCCATGTAACAGCCAACGGCGTCAGACCACCACCGCCCTCCTGCAATGCAAGCAACCGAGCGGCTGCTCCAGTGGGCAACGGCCCAAGGCGTCATCCTCAACGGCGTAGAGGCCAAGCCGCTCCCCGGCCGCGGCATTGGCATCGTCGCGACGAGACCACTCAAGGTGAGGGAGCGACCGAGATGAGAGACGAGCCAGGGCCACGGAACCCGCGCCCTCTGTTCCTCGGCTCACCTACTTGCAACCCCAGGCAAAGGAGGATGTCCTGAAGGTCCCATGCACCCTGCTGCGCTCCCTCGCCACCACGCCCAAGCCCGTCGCCCGCAAGCTCAAAGGCGCACCCGTCCAGGCCCTCCTCGCCGCCGCCCTGTGCCTCGACGCAGACGACGACCATGACGCTGCCTGGCGCGCCGTCTTCCCCTCGCGCGCCCACGTCGAGGCCTCCATGCCCATCTACTGGCCGCGCGAGCTGCACGCGCTGCTGCCCCCGACGGCCCGGCGCCTGCGCGACCGCCAGCGCGCAAAGTTCGGCCGCGACTGGGCCCTCGTCGCTGCCGCGTATCCCGACGCCATGACCCGCCGCCGTTTTCTCTATGCCTGGAACCTGGTCAACAGCCGTACCTTCTACCATGCCACCCCCCAGACGGAGACGACGCTACCGAGAGAGGACCGCATCGCCCTGCAGCCCGTCGCCGACCTCTTCAACCACGCCCCCGACGGCGGCTGCTCCGTCGCCTTTGACCACGCCGACTACACCTTCACCACCACCCGCCCCCACGGCCCCGGCGACGAGCTCTTCATCTGCTACGGCCCCCACTCAAACGACTTTCTCCTCGTCGAGTACGGCTTTACCCTCGCCGGCAACCCCTGGGACGAGACCTGCCTCGACCCCTACCTGTGTCCCTTCTTCTCCGCCTCGCAGAGGCAGTGCCTCCAGGACGCCGGCTTCTGGGAGCGCTACATGCTCGACGCCGAGACGGCCTGCTTCCGCACCCAAATGGCCCTCCGCATTCTGTGCCTTGCCCCCGCCCAGTGGCGCGCCGTCCTGGATGGAACCCGCCCCGAGGACCAGGACCAGGACGCCGCTGACGCTGAGCTGCTCAAGGTCTTGACGAGGTATGAAAAGGACATTCGCTCCAAGCTTGTAGAGATAGACAGGGCCGGCGACGACGCGAGCGGCCAAGCCAAGGCATGCCTTCGGTCAAGATGGATACAGATCAAACAGCTTGTAGTCACGACAATCTCGCGATTGCAAAACTGAAGCCGAACCTAACCAATTTCCGACCCCTGCCTGGCAAAGAAACAAATGTCGTTATTGCTACACTCGCCTTTGCAATCACCGTTCGAGCCCCAAGGCGCGGGGCTTGCGAGCATCGGGAGTAATCTCACTCCTTCTCTTCCAAATAAGAAGAAAGTAGCGAGACCCTCGTTGTCTTCAAATTCTTGGGCGCACCCTGTCTCTTTGGAGCAAGAAACCATAGCTTTTCCCTCAGAGCTCTCCCCCGTAGAACGCTCTCGCTCCGAACCCGATATGCACCGGCCAACTGGTTTTATGATACACGATGCAGCGTCCCCCCCAAAAGACTGCATCTCCTCCGCCTGGACCCTCTCAAGTCCCGGATCGTGCCCGGCTCATCGTCTAGCGCCCCTCTCTATTCGGGCCTCGGGCGCTTGGCTCCGTGCGGGTTGCCCCAGTCGCCGTTTCCGCCTCCGCCCTGGTTCTGCCCGAAGCCAAAGCCGCCGCCGGTGAAGCCGGGGTTCATGCCTTGGAACCCTACAGACGGTTAGCCACACTTTGCTCTCGACATGGCTCCTGCACGCGGGGACGGATTACCAGGCATACCGCCGCCCATGCCCATCATGCCCATGTTCCCGGGCATCCCCATCGGCATGCCGCCCATGGGGCCCATGCCCATCATGTTCCCGCCCCGGCCGCCTCGCATGCCGCCAGGGCCGCCCCTCATGCCGCCTCCCATCATGCCGCCCCGGCCGCCAAAGCCGAAATTGCCGCCGCCGCCGCCCATGGGGCCATTGAAGCCGCCGCCCATGTTGTTGTTGTTGTAGCCCATGTTGGGGTTGAAGTTGCGATTGAAGTTGCCTTGGGCCATGTTGCCACGCCCTCCGCTGAAGCCCCCACGTCCCCGGAAGCCGCCGCCATAGTTGCCTCGATCATTATACGGGCCCGACGGGGCAGTACGCGGCTGCTCCTTGACCCGCGCCGGGGCATCCTTGGGCAGGGTTCGAAACGGGTTCATGCCCGGGTTCCAGTACGAGACGGTCATCTTCTTCTGCGCCGGCTGGGCGGCATCTCCCGTTATTTGGTCAAAATGGTGCTTGGCGGCCGTGGCTGCTTGGCGGGACTGGAACTCGACGTACGCCTGCCTAGAGCCGCAGGTTAGTCTCGCGAGTCATGTGCAAAGTTAGGGGTGGCCAATCGCCCTTACCCCTTGCTCTTGCCGTTGACCTTGTGCTCACTAAAGGTCAGTTCCTTGACCTCGCCTTCGCACTCGGCTTTTCTCAGCCAGCCGCGGATATCATCGTCGGTCGTCCACCAGTTAAGCTCGGAGATCATGACGGCCGGGGTGGCGTTTGCATCGACGGGACGGTCGGCCTCCTCTGATTTCCTCTTTGTGCCTTGGAACGAGGCTGTGTCTTCCATCTCGTGGGCCTGGCCGCCGTGCTCACTCGCGGCAGGGCCCTTGGAGTAGTCGTCTTCGTGGTCTCGATATTCATTCTCGCCCTCCTTGGTGTTGTCTTGCTGGGGCTGGTGCTCGCTCGCGGCATCGCCATAGAAGTCGATTTCGAAATCGGCCTCGGCCATTTTGACTGTGGTAACGTGTTCGGAGAGGGGAGAACCCGAAAGAACAGACGGACAAGGCGCGCAGAGCGGCTAGTCAAATAGTCCTATTAAGTCTTGAAGATACAGGGTTGTGTCCTTGGTCTTTGCGATGGAGAATTATCAGCAACTCAAAAGCTTTGATGGTCGCGATTCCGAGACGCCCCAATCAGGCGGGTCCCGGATACAGGGCGCGATGAGGTGGAGCAGAGACAAGAGAGGGCCCGACGACGAGGTCGGCACAAGAAAAGATTGACAGTACGTACAGTACCAGGAAACGGCAGTCTGTATGGAGAAGAGAATTATGACATGAAGCCAGAAGACGAAGCTCTGTGCTCGCGATCCTCAGCGTTCCCAGCTTTTCTTGCGACGACTTGACAGAAGCGTCGGTACAGGCGAGGCCCAAGCACACAGGCCTGAGGGCAGGAAGCAAAACCTCGAAGCAGCGCCTCCAATTTGTCCGAGTCGCAGTCCCGTTGGCGGCTAGGGGAGGCGGGTTGGCGGCGGGCTTGCTACCCGAGGGATGGATCGGTCGCTGGCGGATCAAGTCATATACCTGGCCGGTCAGCAGAGAGATGCGTGCAAGCCGGCGGTCGCTGGTCTGGTGCCGAGGGACAAGGGAAGCCGATGAGGGAGGAGGCGAGGTGGCGGCCGAGAAGCGGTGGCGGGAGGCAATGAAGAGATGAGCTTTGGCTGGCCGAGGTGATGGGTTAGGTTGAGGTTTTGCCAGGTCCGAGGTTGGAAAGAGACCTAAAGCCAGCAGGCCTAAAGCCAGACCAAAAGCCAGGCTAGCACTGCCGCGCTCCTGCTGCCTGCGAGCAATGCCTGCGAGCAATGCCTGCGAGCAATGCCTGCGAGTAATGCCTGCGCCAGGGTTTCAGGTACTTGAAGCTATGTACCTTTCCACTCTCTCAACCGGCAAAAAGACCTGATACTCACGTACCTACCTAGAATGTCTACGGATCACCTATATTCCGGTGCCCTCCAGACTCCCCCTCACTAGTAGGTAGGTGCATCCCCGTCACTGAAACCGAATAGGTCACTCTTTCAAGGTAAATTTAGCAGAGGTGGGCAAAGCCACCAGGCCGTTATCACGTGTAAAAACAGTCAATCAATTACGTACCTATACCAGTCGCGTGCAGTACCATCTGCTGGAGGTGTGCACTCACTCTACTTTTGCCCAGCAAAATGACGTGACAGCCATTGCAGCAATTTCTGGCGAATCCTTTCACCAAGCTCCACCTTTTCCCTAATCTGACAATGTACACAAGACAGTCCCAATGCTACGCAGTATGGAAAAGACGGCTGATATAATCCAAACGACAGGATCCAGGTGCGCCCATGTCCTGTGAAATCATCCAACAAATCATGTCCAGCCACGGGGAGCATCCTCTGGGCGTGGCACGGCCGCCCTCAATACACAGAGTCTTGGTATATGCTGGGGTCCGGCTGCAGATTGGAGTCGACACTCCGCCGCATGCCCGGCTCGCCTTCGTCCTCGGGCGACTCGTTGAACGCGTGGAGACTGCACGTCCCGTGGACCATGCTGTACCCGTTCCACGCCGATGCTGCGGTCCCGTCAGCGTCAGCCGCTCGCTCCCCCAACCTCTGCTCGGGCCCAGGACGAGTCACTTACCGACCAGAACCGGTGCACTCGGGTGCCAGCTCGCGTCACGAACACACGTGCCCCATCCTCCCGTCTCGTCAAACTGGTGGCGAGATTGGCTATCCAACCGCCGAGTTCCCATGGTGGCCTTCTTAACATCAATCGTCCCAGCCAGCGTGGCGTCCAGATTCCAGACGTAAACCTTGCCGTCGGCGCTGCCCGAGTACACATAGCGTGAGTTTGTCGACGAGGGCGGCGAGAAATGGCATCGGATCAGCGTGCGGAGCACCTTGTGGCCTCTGAAGGTGACAAGAGAGTTGTCGTGGGGATGCGGATCCCAGTATTCCTCGTCGTACGCTTCCCTCCGATAGTCAAAGGTGCTACCCATGCTGCGGCGTTGGCTGTACTCGTCGCGAAATCGAGCCGTTGACTTGGCCATGCGCAGATCCCAAAGCTTCATGGCCTGATCCTTGCCGTTGCTGAGGATATATCTCCCGTCGCCTTTGCTGTCGATGTATGTCAAGCCCTCGATGTGTCCCACAAAGGCACCGGCTTCTCGCCCATCCCCCATGCTTCTCCGGTCCCATACTTTTATGGTAGCGTCGTCGGACCCGGAGTAGACAATGTGAGGGGATGACTTGTCGGCGAAGCAGACGGCGTTGACGTGGTCGTCGTGTCCATGGACGTGATGCAGCACCGTACGCGACTCAATGTCGTAGACGACGATGGAGTCGGAGCTTGTGCCGGCGACTAATTCGCGCCCATCCCCCGAGAATCGAATAGACCAGATGCCAAAGGAGCGTCGACTCCTCCATTCTCCGTCATTCGATCTGCCGTCGCCGTCGAGATCCAGCGTGTACGGGTCCCCTTTATCGTTTGGATCGGTTGGTGCAATGGACACCATGCTTTGGATGGATGTGTATGCGAGCCATCGGTTGTCCGGGCTCAGAGACGCGTCCGTCAGGGTCCACTGCCCCCACGGATATGACACCGTCTTGTAGTGCTTCCACTCGTAAGGGTTTGACGTGTCGTACAAGCGGACCTTGAAGTCTTGACTGCACGAGAAGAAGAAATTGCCGTCGTCTGAGAATTGGCCTGAGTAAACGGGGTCGTCGTAATGGACAATCTGCTCGGCCCTCGTGCCGGGTATCATGGACTGGAGAGGTTCAGCTGGCCAAGTTGGCGCATCGAAGGCTCGGGAACACTGACCTGCATCACGATATCGTTGTTTCGCTTGCGTTGCTCGCGGTCCCCGAGGCCGATCTCGCGTTCGAGCATGCGTCGGCAGATGCGCTTCTTGGCATGCATATCGTAGTCATTGGCACCAAAGGCGCCGCTGCGCATGAGCTTCGTGCCCTCGTTACTCGGAACCTTGGGAAATCTATTGGGATCCTTGGGTTGTCGATTCCGCCGCGAACCCCAGAGGCTCAGAAATCCTTCTTCATCCTCCTCGCTGTTGAAGAGGCCACGGCTTAGGTCTCGGTGTCGTAAAAGAGCCATGAGCTGGCCTCGAGTCAGAAGACCAGTCCTCTCGCCATCTACAGCGTCCAGCAGTCAGCAACGAGAGCGCCTCAATGGAGGAAGAGTTGAAGGGGAAACGGAAGACGAGGGGTTCCCTGCCTCGGAAAAGTCCCATCACGTGGCGATTGGGGTCGTCGTCTTGGTCTATATCGTCGTCGTCTATTCCGTCGTCATCTTCGTCGTCGTCGTCGAGAAAGTCGTCGTCTTCCTCGTCGTCATCATCATCCATTTCGTCGTCGTCGTCGTCGTCGTCGTCGACGTACGTGCCGGGCATTGCGTACATGAAGGGCGGGGAGGAGCCGTCGCCTTGGCCGTCGTCGAGGGGGTTTTCCGTACCCGTCATATCGGGGATGGGCGTGGACTCGGCCGCCAACAGCGCGTGAGGTGCAGAGGGGGCGGGTTCCCCGTTGCCGCCGCCTGTGTTCATGCCAAGGACGGCGTGCAGCCCAGTGCGGAGGCGATAAAGGGCGAGGGTAGGAGAAATGTACGACGCTGCGTCTTGGCCGCAGGAGATGGACGAGGGGGCCCACAGCTCGGGGGAATGGGCGCCGGATGCACGAAGCTGTGAGATGGAAATGGAGCTGGTGGAGACGCTGAGGGACGGCTCAGGCAAGCGATGTTGGAAGAAGCAGCGTCCTGGGCTTGGCCGGAGATGCACGTCGACGGGAATGTGAGGGGCGACTGATGTTGTCACCGAACAAAGTGACGCAACCAATGCACGATACGTACATTGGCGGGGATAACGGCGCCTCGGGGACCGGCAGTAAGAGAGCGAGCCCCGGCTCCGCCAGGCTTGGAAATCGATCGTACAATCGATTTGATCGAATCGATTAATCGAATCGATTTCGATTTCGATCGATCGATTAGAAGTCCTGCTCGATCGATATCGTATCGATCCAACCTCCAATCGATCGATTTGATCGTCGTTCGCCATGTCCATACAAGGTGTCCAGGGTAGGCTGCGTAGGTTGGATGCGTGACGATGCTGCCGCCCGACGCGTCTGCCAAACACCCTGGCAAACGACCGGGGGTCCCAGGCAGCCAGTCATATCTATCTTGTTGCCGCGCGTCGCGTGTCGACAAAAGTAAATTGATCTCTCCGTCTCTTGCGTTTGCAAGTCCTCCCCGTTCAACGGAATCAGTACGCGTCGCAACCAGGAATTATTTCGGGCCTCAGCCTGTCCGAGTAGACTTCATACAGATTCGACCTTATCAGCCTCGCACCCTTCGATTTGACCTCGCCCACATTGTTTACGGACGTTTCCCACCATGGACGCGCTTGATGAGGACATAGAGATCGCCTCCTCCACGCCGCCGCCTTCCGAGCCGACAACCAGTTCAGCATCAACTAAATATGCACCCATGGGGTTTCCAGATTATGAAGCTTGGACGACTGATAAATTTGGGCGGTTCCCCGGCTTCACGATTTGCCACGACCCTTCTCGAGAACGGACGTGGTGGTGGCAATTCGGATTCAGAATGAAGGACAACAGGTCACGGCCCCACAAGATCGTATGGATCTGCGAGAGATGCTTCCTCCGGGACAGGCCGAAGACAGCACATTACGTCTTCATCGCTTCGACTGGGAAGCGTCGTCCGACATCTGAGGAAGGAGCACAAAGTCGTGGTTTGTGCCACCTCTCCGTACCCCATCTCCACGTCGTTCGATCATGCCCGCTAACTTGTCAGCCACCTTCTAGACAACGTGCAGGCTCAGTTACCGGGAGTGGAGGTGCAGAACGGAACCTGCTTGATATGCTTCGCGCCGATCCGACGAACCCTCGAGATCAGACTCTTCTCAGCAATCTGCATACGTTATTCGATCCGAAGATGAATCAACTGCTCCTGCTCGACTGGCTTACATATCATAACCTCCCCTTTAATGTCGTAAACTCTGAGCGCTTCAGACGACTCCTTCTCTACAACAACCCGGCTCTCCAGGAAGGCCAGATACCAACTGGCAAAACGCTTGTGAATCTGCTACTAGATGAGTATAATCGCGCTCTTGGTCCGCTTTGCGAGCTGCTTCAAAGAGCGAGAAGTATGATTCATTTTACCTTTGATGGCTGGACTTCCCGACAAAACACATCATTCCTCGGTATCAACGCCCACTTTATCGACCAAGATTGGAACCAATGGGGAATCCTCTTGGCTTTGCCGGCTCTCGCGAAACGCCATACTGGAGCAGCGCTTGCAGATGAAGTTGCAGATACAATATGCGCGTTTGGTCTTGAAGACAGGTATAGAACCACAGTCAACACTTCTTGGGTCCGTTAGCTGACAATCTTGACTGTTATCCGGCGTCAGAATCGGGTACTACACGCTTGACAACGCTACGAATAATGATACGGCTGTGGAAGCGCTTGCCGCTGAGTTCGATTTCGACAGGAAGAGCGTCGCATCCGCTGCGCCCTCATTTTCTGAACCTGGCCGTCAGGGCTATGATGTACGGCAGCAAAAGGGATAATTTCAACGAGTTGCTTGCTCATTGGGGCGATAAGGACTTTGTGGCTGAAGAGGAAGAGCAGCGCCAGTTGTCCGACGCTATCAATGAGCTGGCGACCGACGACGACTTCTGTGTGCCGAGCATGGAAGAAGGATTCGAGGTTGAAACAGTCCCAGAAGGCAGTCAGGATCAGGACGTACTGCCCGACATCATCAATGGCGAAGAAGTGGACAAGTACCGCAAGTTTGGGCCATTTGGCAAACTTCACAATATTGGCATTGCTCTTCGAACGAGCAGTCAACTTCTCGAGGTCTTTTACGAAGCTCAACGGCAAACCGCTCCTACTGAACCTATTCTTACGTGGGTTCAAAACGTCTGCACTCGCTGGCAATCCGATGAGGCGATGGCCTCACGCGCTCTGCTGAAGCGTACGGCTTTGAACAGGATGTTTTCCATCATCGAGGAACGATGGCTTGGCAAAGGCGGCAAAGAACAGGACAAACCAGCGATACTGAAAGAACAACTTTCCCTTGAAGAATGGAAGGTCGTTGTTGCGGTTCAGAAGATCCTTCAGCCATTCAAGATCGCCTCGAAGCAACTCCAGGGCGAGGGTATTGCTGGTAAACGCTCCACGTCAGGAGGGTTCGATGAGTACTTCCCGGTGGTAGAGATGCTCCTGACCACCTCGAACTAGCAGTTCAGGGAGTTATAATCGAAGAGAACGAAGATCAGACCATGAAAGAGGTTCACCTGTTCAATGACATGGACGCAAGAACTCGCAGGGTTTTGAAGATTTACATCAAGCTCGGATGGAAGAAGCTGAACGACTACTATAGCAAGCTGACCTCAACCGCATATGTAGCGGCAGTGGTGTTCCACCCCTGCAAGAAGTGGCGCGCTCTGGAACGGCTTTGGAGCCAACTCCGTCTCGTCAGACGTCGGGTGGGAAAGAACATATGCGAGAAGCTTAGCGACAGTCTGGAAAGAGAGGTACAAGAACATGGCTCATCGGCAATCCTGCGATGGTGTTTCAGCGGATACGACTAATAGTGGCTTGGACTATATTGAGCGTCGATTGGCGTTTAGTCGATCATTGGCTTGCCCTGAGCCTCGAGGGCGGCAAATTAAAGGACCAAAGCAGTCAACCGCCTTGCAAGAACAGGACGAGCTTGATCAGTACCTATCAGAGCCGCCGGTGGAAAATATCGCATACAAAACGGACCCAATCGCTTGGTGGAAGGACGTTGGTGTTGCGCGGTTTCCTCGGCTGTCTTATATGGCTGTTGACTACCTTACCATCGCGTCGTCTTCAGCAGGAACGGAAAGAGATTTTAGCAGCTGTGGGAGGATGATAACACCACTGAGATCTCGCCTACGACGCCATATTGTGGCGATGGCGCAGTGTCTTCGTTCCTGGAGTAAAGCTGGCATCTATCAGCCGACACTTCCTCTTGGTCTGCTTGAAGGGGACAATTGGAGGCAAGTTCTTCAACTGATGGGCAAGATCACCCTAGATAGGGATGATTTTTAGTATTGATCGATTCGATCGTCGATCGATTCGAATCAAACAGCGATCGATCGATATCGATCGATTGAAGGTGACGATCGATAAAATTCGATCGATCAGGCTCGAAAATCGATCTATAAGATCGATTTCCAACTCTGGGCTCCGCAATTCCGCCCATCCCCACATCTCCGGACAAGTGGCGCCGCTGTACGAATACCAGATTTCTAAGGGCTCTGGTATTCAGTATTCACACATGCAAATGAAGCTTTACGGTGAAAGTGAGTTTCACTCCCAAGGCAAAACTGGTCGCGCAAAATATAGCGACTATTGTGTCGAGTAGTGTGGCAATGATGCTTCTCATCGACTGCGGATCCTCCGGGAGGCTCGTGTCTTCCCCCTTACATTGGAGCCTTGACTTCGATTTCCGTGGCGAACTTGAAGAAAGGTACTGTTTTTGCTTGGGAAACCTACCGCTGTGCGATTAGGACTACTCTCAATACAATATCAAGGGATGGTAGGCGTAGCATGTTCGGAATGGTAGCAAGGAAAAGTCCTGCAATAGTCCTGCACCAAAAACAACCACCACCTGCGAAAAGCATGTCTTGGTTGATAGCATCGTCGCGCCATGGTTCAAATTACCTTCACTCTGTTATTCCTACTCCTCGTGCGCGTCTCTGGGTGCAGCACCAAAGCGTCACGATGGGCTGCTGACAAGCGGAAGCAAGCATTCGATGTACGCTGCTACCTCGCGGTCCGTCCCACGCGCCAAGCCCGCCCTTTCGAGTGCTTGCCGTTACATTGAACTTTCCCAATACCTCAGTCACCCTTGTTCCCACGGACAATAGTGTAGGCAACCGAACCCTGCACGCCCTCGACCCTGTTGTAGTCGCTCTGGGTGGTGGGACCACCCCGGAATACGTAACCGAACCAGTAACGGTCCTTTGGCGTGCCGCTATTGATGGCTACATGAAGAGATGGCAGAGTCAGTTCAGGTTCGACAGTGCTTTCCTTTGGACTTAAGTGGATTCTTCTTCTTCTTCCTCGTCTTCTCGTCCCTTGTCCGCCTCCAGATAGGCAGGAGAGAATAACATACCAGAAAAGGAAAGGGAGGAATCGCAAGCTGAAAAGGTCTTGCACTGCTGCAGGACATGCTCGGCCCACGTATCCTTGTTGTAGTCCTCGTAGCCGGCGTTGTAGCCTGCGATGACATTGCCCGGGAACAGGCGGTTGCCGGCGGACCACTCGAGAGGCTCTTCCAGTGGCACGGGGACATAGTCGGCAGCCTGAACGAAGCCGGGTGCCATGGCGGCGGCGACGATGGCCTTGCTGATGAATGATGAAGTCTTCATGTTTTTTTTTTTGCTTTGTTTTCCTTAGACGATGGGGGCTGAGCCACGGATGAGTTGGAATGGGCGGCTTTGGCTTAAGGGAGGCTTGGAGCGAAACCAAATGTCTTGAAGAATGAAGACAAGTGCGCAGATTGGTTTACTTCAAGAGTGGCTTCACGGGTTCCCGCCTTGTAAATATATGAATGCATGTGCGTGTACCTGTGCGTGTAAGCATGCCCGCAGAGCCCGTCTCCTCGCAACGGCGGACAGAAACGCGGCCCGGGATACCACGTAGCGACGACCTGGTCGGTCTCTCGTAAAATGGTGCCATAATGTGTCATGAATGTCTGCCATCCGGTTCTTCTGCCGGAAGAGGGAAGGACCATGTCGATGCGGCTTTCCCGTGAGTCTTGAACCCCGTCCGAGCCGCGGGTACATGAACATATGCACTTCGTATTCGGTAGACGTGTGCGGCATCATACACGGGGCATCGTCGCCGCGGTTAAGCGGCCCGTCGACAACCGGACAAAATGTCCCTCAAGCCCGGGGGAACTCACTGATCAGGAACAAGCTGCTGACCTCGCATCGGCGGGTCGTCAGCCGGATAGGCCTCCTCAGCTGCGGCCGCCTAGGCCGCACGGCCTGCACTGGGCGGCATGGAATCCGGGTCTCCCCTCTTCTTCTGCCCCTGCGTCTCGTCATGTGAAAGTTGCTGCTTCGGTTTGGCCACATCCAGCCGGACGTTGAGAGTCGTGGGTCCGTGGACAGGACAGCTTTGACTTCCTGTCCTGCTTGAGCATTCGCTGTATAGTTTCTCTATTGACATATCAAACAGGAAAAGGGAGATAGTGTGACTTTCTCTCTGGAGCCGGTCAATGCCAATGCCCCCAATGGCGGACATTGACTCGAAGCAGCCAAGCCAGCCGTAGCGAAAGCTCGCTTGGCTCGGATTGACTATGGCCCGTTGTTTCTACTTGAAATTCATGGAAGAAAGCGACCACTTCTGTCCATATCTTAGGATCAAGACTAACTTATTTTTCAGTTGGGATACAAGCCGAGATCTGGAGAAGCAAGACGTTGACAATTCTACAGTACATCTCCAGTCTTTGCTGAAGACCTAGGACGGCAAGGAAAAGGCCGCAAGGCTAACACAGAAGCTACTCATTTTTTCGTTTGGGCCCTTTTGAGATGGTGATGCCCCCTTTTCCTTGCCCAGAATTCCCTCGTCGAATAGGAAGATCCCTGGGCCACTTGTCGTGCCGACACGTTCTCTCCTTTCACCAATGGAGCTACTTTCGCTGTTTCACGAGGCAAGCGACGAGAAAAGATAAGAGCACGACACTCGCTAAACGGAGATGGACGACTGGAGACAAGCCAGCTCAAAAAGCACGTGAAGCGCACCAGAAGAACAGCTCTTGCAGGACATGATAACTTGAAAGAGGATGTTTGTGCAGAAGCAGTTTACAATTCAAAACATAGCATGGCGATTTTTGAGGCGGGTATGCGTTAATAGACTTGGCTGCACGATAAAGGAATTCGTTGACTTGACGAAAGACTAACTTCTGAATTTAAATTACTAGACGGCGGGCCACTTTCTCGCTTTCTCGTGTGGGGTGAGCCAACATCAATGCTTTTCACATACTGCGTGGTCATCTAGTTTCTCTTCCTGTACATGTATTTTTTCAGGAGCACGATGAAAGGTAGAGAGGGGGCCAAGGGGCCACACGTAGGCGAAGACAGTAATATATACATCTTTCTAGCTGGAAATACATGAAGGCAGTGTTTAGAGGTGTATATATACCCCTTATTGGTCTAGATTCTCTATACAGTAGGGGGGACTAGGTTCTGGCCTCTATATTATGCCGCATGCATCCTTCAAGTAAGATAACTCCTTTGTATCAAAGTGTGTAATTCTAAGCGATAATGGCTGCTTGTATAAGGGTCGTGGCTTGTATTACCAGTGGCCCCTGCCAACAGATCTCAACTATCCTCATGCCCTGGGAAAGTTACTTTCCTGGCTTAAAGACCGTCTCCATATAAGAGGAGGGGCCTGTCAAGTACCCGAAATCCTCTAATTTTATGGGAAAAGCTTCGGGTTGCTTTCATTGGGGGTTGTTGTTCGATTATGCAGATTCATATTTCTCATGGACTCCGAGCCATTTGTGACAGTACCAGGACCACCAACCACCAGGTAGATGTGATGTCTCCGCGGGCCAACAGAGCCCGGCCTCGTTGAACTGCATCTCGGCGAGCTCTAACCAGCAAAACTTGACACTGGCCAACGCACCTAGCGGAGTTCGGCCTGGTGACCGCATCGCAATCATGGCCGGCAACTGTGAGCAGTATGCTGCCGTGTTCTTCGCTACTGTCCGGCCTGGTGTCGTGCTGGTCACCTTGAACTGCACTTACACCGCTGCCGAGACTTCCACATGCTCTCAAACACTGTAGTAGGACAGACTGCATGTATTGGTATGTATATGGAAGCTGTTGAGTCGGCCTACGTATTCCGAATGCAGCTTGAACGATGCTCTTCAGTATACTCAGTATTGGGAAGCTTGACAACCATCAGCTACTGTCACAGCTTTCATATGAGATGCCAGGACTAGAAGTCATCATGATCCGAACTCAGGGCGGTCCTCGCTAATTCACGAGGATCTAGTCACGCTCGGTACTCAACAGCCGGTTAACGGACCGCACAGCGCCATCGTAAGCACTGCACCACGCGAAGTGTGCAATTTCCAGCTCACAAGTGACATTGAAGGCCGGCCCAAGGCGGCCATGCGGAGGCACCAGTAAGCTGTGCCCTGACGAGTTGGAGGCTCCCGAGATTCTGGCTGATGAAGGAAAGCAACCTCGTCAATAACGCTCGATTCGTTGGGGCGCGCCTCCAGCTGACAACGGTCGACGTGCTCTGCTGCCCGCCGCCAACGTTCCACTGTTGAGGTCGAGAGGCCGGGCAATGTGGGAATGACGCAGTTTGTGCAGTCCTCTTGGTCAAAGTGCAGGCATGAATGAGAGCGTGAATTACCTTGGATTTTGGGGACGGCTATCTATATATAGCAGCACGAGCCCAAAAGCCAGCCAATCGGTGCGAAGTTTCGACAGTGGCGGAATATCGAGCCCTTGCAAAGGGTAAAAAGGAGAGAAAAGGGGTGCAGTGCAGTTGGTCGCCTCGGAAGATTACCTAATCATATACTGTCGAGCAACGTATGTAGCGGTACGTACTAAGTCGGGGCGCGAAAGCTCCTAAAGAGCATCGTTAGTAATCAACAACGTCTCTCGTGATGAATCTCTCATCCCGGTAAAGACGCCTTCTGCTGTGCTGTACGAAGTAATTTCCAAGACTTTGCCCTGCCAAGCCACGGAAACACGCGTGGAACTCAAGCTTATCCTGGTTACGAGCCAATCTGCACTTGTTCGGTGCCTGTCCAGAGTTGCGGCTGTAGAATTTGCCCATGCTTACATAATGCCCAAGCCGGCAATCCTTCGGCCGTGACGAATACCTGTGGTGGATCCGCGGGCAATGTACCGCTACCCGTTTCACGCCGCCTCCCTGCACGCGAGTGGGCGCCTTCGCGTCTCCCCAGCAAGTGCCTGTACATGCCATCTTTTGCTGGGTGTCGCAACTCTCTCCCTCCCTGCTTCAGGGCTTTTGCTTTCTCGTCGCTCACAGACCTTCTTTCGCTTCTCTTCCCTCCTTGACCCTGGTTCTTCTCCCATCCCCTTTGCTCTTCACCTCTAATCCACGAGGTCCCTTGGCCGGCCTCGCCATCGACCGACCTCTGCTCCGCGGCCGTGACCGTACCACCAAAACCCAGCCAGCAGCATCGGCGGCCGACAGCACAACAACTGGATCGCTGGCCTCGTCATTGGCTCTGCCAGTCCATCGTTTTCCGGGCCATCGCAGCCTCGATTGCTCGTCACCATGAAACTCCGTGCCAAGCCTTCGGCTCTCCCGCTCCTGCTGCTCCTCCCTTCGCTCGCCGTCGGCCTCGCGAACGACGGCTTGCCCAGCTCTCCCGCCGCCCTCAAACCTCGACACGACCTGCCATCGAGGGCTGCCCCGATCGACGGAAAGGATGGCAAGCCCCATTCCGGCCCCTTTGTCGAGACGGACGGCACCGCCACCGACTCGGACAACAACGAGCTACCCCCCCTCAAGGGGCGGCCCCACGATCCGACTGTCGTAGATGGCAAGAGGATTCCCGAGTCAAACGACGGCGTCATGTTCGACAAGAACCGCGAGCGGCCCCAGCAAGGCACCACGGGCATGGAGGGCGGTGTCAGCGAAAAGGCAAATGCCCGCAAAGCCCAGGAGGGCCAGACGGGCGAAAAGGTTCTCACCCAGCCACAGTCCCCCAAGGAGCAGCCTCCTCTGCCGCACAGCGAGGAGCAAAAGATACAGACGGGCGACGACAAGGACAAGGAAAGGACAGCAGACAAGGACAAGTCCAGGTCGAAGCCATCTTCGGACAAGAACCAGGACAAAACAGACTACACGGGTCTTGACGTACGTCGCCACCATGCCCCCTGGCGCACCGCCGCTAACATGCAAGCACGAGCAGAGACCAAACCTCCCGGACGCCCCGGGCGAAAAATCGAACCCTCTGCCCAAGTCCGCCGTCAAAGACCACCTCTCCCCGTCCAAGCCCAGCGTGGACACGACACGGACGGGCCACAAACTAGGCCAAGACAAGGACGACGACGGCCTCATTCAACCCCTTCACTCCTTTGTCTTATCCCTGACCATGATTCTAGTGTCGGAGGTTGGCGACAAGACGTTTCTGGTGGCTGCTCTCATGGCCATGAAGCACGACCGCCTCGTCGTCTTCTCGGCTGCCTACGGGGCTCTCCTCGTCATGACCGTCTTGTCCGCCGTCCTCGGCCACGCCGTCCCGACCCTGATTCCGAAGCGGCTGACGAGTCTGCTCGCTGCCGTCCTCTTCCTCGTCTTTGGCGCCAAGCTCCTGCGCGAGGGTATGAAGATGGACCCTGACGAGGGCGTGTCGGCCGAGATGCACGAAGTCGAGCAAGAGCTTGCTGAAAAGGAAAAGGAGCATGGCCATCAGTCGCGCGATGGCATCTCGCCGCACTCGCTGGAGATGGGGCTCAAGGGCAGGGGTGGGCGGCCCAAGGGTCGGTTCCCGACGCCTCCTCGGTCGCCCTCGCAGTCGCCGTCGCGGAGTCCCTCGCGCGGATCCAGACCGCTTGCCAACTTTGTCCACGGCATCAGCAATCTGTGTTCGCTGCTGCTGAGCCCCGCGTGGGTGCAGACGTTTGTCATGACGTTTCTGGGCGAATGGGGCGACCGCAGCCAGATTGCAACCATAGCCATGGCGGCCGGCCAGGACTATTGGTGGGTGACGCTTGGCGCCATGTGCGGCCACGCCGTCTGCACGGGAGTGGCTGTTGTCGGAGGCCGGGCCATTGCTGGGCGTGTCAGCCTCAAAGTCGGTAGGTGGCATCTATCTGCCACTCGGAAGCGCATCACCGTGAATGCTGACCAGTCAACTAGTAACCGTCGGAGGCGCCGTGGCCTTTCTCCTCTTCGCCTTCATCTACCTCCTCGAATCCCTGCACGCCTAGCCATCCTCATACTCACCGTCTTTTAGGCCCATGACGCTCTCTCGTTTTTCCTACACGTCTCTCCACTCGACATGTGGGCGGTTTTCCAAGAAAGCTCCTGTCACATCTGTCGGCGGCCTCTACCGGCCTTGTATTCCTGTTGTTACTAAAAATTCGGGGCTCTCGGGCCCAGTGCGCATCCCAAATCGGACAGACGGTGGGACTGCTGCATGGTCCCGTCACCTTTCTGGACACGGTTGGCTGGCGCAAGAAGGTCGGTAATGTATAAGTCGCCGGGCTCGTTGTAGTTTTTTCTGTTTTTTTTTCTTTTCTTGTCTTGACCGCCTCGGGTGTGCGGGATGGGGATGCGGAGCACGGAAAGATGGTTCAAAGATCCAGGTCTGCAGGGTTAGAACGGAGTTGGACGGGCACGATGATGCAGGCGGCCGGCGGCGTGAGGGATGGATACACAGAGAAAGCGTCACCAAATGAAAGCGTTGAATGCCAGCGGTCGGAGGCGGCGCGCCATCTCTCGGGAACGTCGGGACAAGTTTGTGCAACGTTTCCCCGTGTTTCAACCCGACAGTCCTGAGCGACATGCTGGGGGCGGCGTTGCACGAGCAGCGTCGACGGGGAAAGTTGAGGCCAGCATGGGCATCGTGGTTGGGGGGGGGAGCCGGGCGAGGGAAGTGGAAAGAGAGAAGAGACGACAGGAAGCAGGCCTCGGGTGGCTGACACGATGCATGCCAACCCTCGCGCCCTTTCAAACGGCGACTTGCGCTCGGCAATCGGTCCAACCGAGACCCGGATCCGCCTCGACCAGATACAACAGGAGCAGGCGAGACATGGGTGGGATTGGTAGAAGCGAGCCTTTCGGTGGGAGGCGGAGGGCCCAGGTAGGAGGACCCAGGTAGGAGGACCCAGATGGGAGGGCCCAGATCTTGTACCGTATGCATGTATAAGCGTCTCATCTCTGCTCCGCCGGGCCAGCAGCCAAGAGAGCATCGTTGCAGGGCCGAATGATTGCAGCAGCACCAGCACTGGTCCGTCGGCTCTGCCAAGGACCGCCCAGCCAAGACCTGCATATGCGGGAGCCGCGGGTTGCTTGCACGGGGTCCAATCCCACGGGCGTGGCAGGAGCAAGCATCCGAGCAGAAGGGAAGGCGAGGCAAACGACCAGCAGTCTCGGCCAACAGCAAAAGGACGGTGAGGGGGCTCATGATGTCTGACACGGTAGGTCCTTTGCCAGGGCGGCGGATCTGTCTACCTGCCCGCCCCCAAGGACGTCATCCTCTTGCCCCGTCTTGTCTCTTCTTCCCAACCCTGGCCCTTGTCGTTCGGTCTTGTTTCTTGGTGCACTCTCCAAGGGCTGAGTGGGAAGTTGCCTGCCGATCTCCTGAGCCCTCTGTCGGGCAGAGGATTCGGTCTGCCGCCCAACGCTCCGGGCTGACGAATGTTTCTGTCCCCTTTTGTATTTGCTTTTTCTCTCTTTTCCCTTGTCGAATATGCGGCATCTGGTTTGGGACACGGAGGGCCGGATAGCATGCACGAGCACGCTCGCACGCAAACATATATAGCCTCGCACAAACACCTTCTTCGCCACGTCGTACATGTCTCGTGAGTCGATGCCCACATATATGGCGTGTATCCCGCAGCCCAGGGCGAGAGTCAGCGAGCTGCATTCTTCACCGGCACCACCAGCCAGCCCTCTTCTCCTTGCCGCTCCCCAGCCAGAGACTCCCGTCGACGTCGTCGTCTGTCTGCGCCGCGCCTGTGTTCACCATGTCGATGAGCGGTGGCGACGACATCGCCCGCTGTCCCGGGTGCAACATCCCCGTCTCCATGGCCCAGCCGCGCGCTGCGTGCTTCAACTGTGCAGCGTACGTCCCCCCATCTCCACCACCCCCTCCATTCGTCCCAGACGGACAAGACGAGCGGCACGAGCTTTCAGTGGTCGTGGGCAACGGTGGTTGAGATACAGACGGTAACGTGGAGAGGGGCGGAACAGTGGCGACGCAGAGTCCTCGACTTCGTCCCAGCAGCAGCAGCAGTCTCTACTCGCACCCATCTACGAACGAAGGCCCGGGCCCGGCCTCCCAGATATCCAAGCCTACCGCAACTCAGACACCATTGTCATTGTCCTGCGCCGTCCGCCGCCGCTCCCCTCGGCACCGGCGGCGTCACAGGAGCCGGATACCCACGCACCCGGCCCAGAGGGCCAACAAGACGAGCGGCCGAGACTGTGGCGGCGACAGCCGCAGTCGGGAGAAGACGATGATGGCGCCGGGCGCCGGCGGCGGTTGGTTCTTCGGGCGAGCAGGCAGCGGATGCGCAGGGAGGGGGCCCCTGGGGGGCAGAGGCGGCGGCGGCGGCGACAGGAGGACGGGGAGGACAAGGGGGCTGGGCTCGGGCAGGTTGAGCGGCAGCGGCGTCAGCAGCGGCAGCTTGACGCTGGGCAAGACGTGGAGGAGCAAAGCACGCGGGCAGGTGACGAGCACGGGGCTTAACACCCATATCATCTCGAATTCGTTGACTCGTTTTCATCTTGGTTTTTCCGTCTGACAGCTTCTTATGCTGGAGATAGTTGGGGTTATCGCGTCCCAAATCGGGCAGAATGAAATTTCTGATCCTAACACCTCAGCGAGCAAGCGACCAAGATATCGTTTTTGAGAGCGCTGTATCCATGGCATGAAGTCGCTAGCACGCCACTGATCCACGAAATGGCCCTTTTCTTTTCATACTCGGACGCAGAGGGGTCGAGCGACCTGTGCTCGGGCAGCTCGAACGGAACGAAGAGAACTGGGGCAGGCATTTCCAGAATCGTATGGAGAGGATTGACCAGTGAGGATCAGAGAAGGCGGAGGGAAAGGCAATACGATATTGACGACTCAAGCAGCCGGCCTTGAGGAAGAGAAGATTCGTAAGTTCCCAGGGGCGCAAGTGGCATGACCTGGGTGAAAAGAAAAAAAATTAAAAGAGAGAAAGGGCAAATCGCGCTTAAAAGCTACCGCAACTGAGAGCAGAAGTAATTTTTTAAATATAAAAAATTATACTGCTGCAGGTGAAGGGGCGTACGTAGTCCGTATATTAGAGTCCGGAAAGCACTACGAAGTAGCTTATAGTCCTTATCCTCCTTTTTTTTAGAGTATTACTATTTGCCCTAAAGCGAATCTCTATTCGGCCTAATCCGCTAAAATAAAAGTACCTAGATATCACTAGCTAGTACTATATATTAATTATCTTTTAATAGTAAATCCTTAGAATTTTTTAGAGAGCTTTAACTAGGGAAAAGCGTACTCGAGCGCCCGAGCCAGTAAGGGAGAGGTCCCCCTTAGGGAGGGGCCCTAAGTTACTATAGGGGCTTATCCCCCGCGCGAGGTGAGCGCGACGTATAAGATTGAGATTTCTAGCAGATAACTAAGACACGCAACGCCCAACTAAATGAGGGGATTTCTATAGAGTCTAGGCTAAATAGAGATTTACCACGGGGCAAATCGTAATACTCTGTTTTTCCCCTCCTATTTTCATCAGGTGAGCGGGTGACTACGCCAGATCAAAGATGACTCACGCTGCTGATCTATGCTTTCGTGCGGGACATATTTATCAGAAGCACGCACGCTAAGTTAGCTACTTACCTCTTGCATGCTTCCCCACCAGCCTTCCTGCCAACCAACCAACCCACCTACCACCCACCTAATTCATTATCCCTGTCGTCATCCCAGTAGGCAACGCTGCATTTCGTCAGCAGTAGAAATGGAAATGGATCTGGATCCAACTCTTACGACGAGCAGCTTATAGCGCTCTTCACCCCAAAGCAACGAGAGATTTTTCACCGGTGGCAAGACGCGAAGGAGTCTCTCTGCAGACTCGGTTACGTGAAACAAAGAGCCGCCATTCACAAGAAGTTCCCAACCAAGGAGGAGTATGCCGAGTACAGGGCTTTCTCCGAAATTTGGAACGGCCGAGCTCATCGACGGATGAATTACAGCATGCCCGTTGCCAAATTCATCGACCTTGTTCAGCAAACAGAATTCAACAATGTCGAATCAGCTGGCGAGCTTTGCTTCCAAATGGAGATGACCAGGACGCCATTCATCGAGCTCGGCAAAAGTGCCTTCGGGGGCAAGACCGTTCGCTATGGCATCAGAACCGGAGGCTTCTATCTCTGGCCCAACCTTGACGACAAATCAAACGAGCGCGGTGTTCTCAATAGAAGCGTCCTCGGCATCAACCTCAATGTGACCATCGAGTACAGGAGCGCACAGCCACTTGGAACACCCCTCAGCCCTCGCCGCCGCCGCCGCGAGCAGCGCAGCTCCGGAGAAGACTCAGTAGAGAGCGCCCAGTCCGACGACATCAATCACGAGCATGGCTTTGTCTTTGCCCAGATTGGTGCCCTCTACTACTGTGCCGATGACGATTATGACTCGGATGAGGGAGGCCCAGACCGTACGGACCCCGATTCAGATGCCTTCGGCACCGGCCCTTGGTGGGCCGCGACTGGTTTTGGCGCCGTCGTCGAGGTCAAGCATGACGGCACACCCGACGCCGTCTGGGTCGTGTACAACTTCTACAAGGCCCATGAGGACAGTGCGCTCATCAAGGGGGAGCATGTTCCCACCTTGGACGACAACGACGCCCTCCTTCCCCATATCGGGCGCCTCTACAAGCGCTGCAACGAGCAGTTCACCGTGGCCAAGATTGCCGATAGCCTTGAAGACTTCAAGCAGCCACGAGAAGAGTTTCGATTTGAGATTGCGGCTCGAGACGAACGTCAGATTGTCCACGCGAAGCTCGATGGCGTGCACAGGCACATTCAACGCCAGTATATCAACCGGTCTCATCGCCACGCGGGTTGACCGACGCAAGCGGCAATGCATGCGAGGGAAGGCAGCAGAGCACAAAATGGGGTGGTAGAATGGTAACCTAGTCTGGAAGTGAAAGGATGAAGACGCTCTGAGAGAACGGGAGAGGATTAGAGCACAAGCTTAGTTATCGCCAAGATCACGGGATTGCACATGCATAGCTAGGTGTTTGCAAATAATGGCTTGTTTCTCAACACATGGGTTGCTCGCGCGCAGTTTTCCGTTTGATTTTGTGCTGCTTGTCGGGTGCAACAGGAGTGGTGACGTCTTTTCAACAGGGCCGCCAATGTAACTGACCGTTGATATTAAGGGGACTTTGCCTCGTAGGGACGAGCCCACGAGGGCACAGCACACAGGAGGAAATCATCGTCGCGATGCCCTCGCAAGAGCCCACACAGTGGGATGAGGTAGAAGAGGCTGTCCAAGACGAGGAAGAGGCACAGCGGAATTATATATCGACGAACTCCTTCAAGGACGGCAGACAGGCAGACAGGGCTCAATTCGACGAAATAACGCATCTTCAAGCCTCGAGCCCGAATGTGTAGAATTACATAAGCAGCCTTCGTGCCCGTATCGCGAATAGCTTCACTTTATAAGGTAGGCGTAATTAGAGGGGGGTGCGCAGTCAAGACGGGGAATGTGCACACCTAATTGTGCGGTATCGGCGCTGCGCCTTGACAAGCCACACTCCTCCACTTTCGGTCTGCTAGATACTGAGGAGGGTCTACGAGGCAAAGGGGGCCTCATATTAACATCAGCCGTTGCGCGTAAAGGCTACCACTCCACTGTCCTCTCACGAAGACCACCAAAATCGGCTTCACAACAACACGAGGCCAGAGCATTGTCTCTGCCAATATACTTGCTGCTCATAAAAGATATTACATAGAAAAAAAGGGGGGGAGGATGTGCAAACACGACGCCATGCTATCCAAAGCTACCCTCCGCAACGCCCATCCGGCGTCCCTGTACCGGTCAAAAATCTAAATCAGTCCCAAATACAGTGAGCCACCTGGGCCCATCTCTTGCGCTGCTTGACTGTCCAGCACGACTCGCCTGAGTTATCGAGGGAAAGAAGCCAAGTCAGAAGAATGTCACGTCATTCAAGCGAGGTCCCCAGAAGGAACGAGACCTTGTCATGGTTGTTTCAGGAGTTTCCCGCCTTTTTGTCATCAGGATCCGCGACAGGCGGGGATTTATGCGTCTCAACCTCCCCACTCGCTGCCGCCTTGGGAGCGGACGAGGTAGCCCTCTCTTCGGCTTTCTCGCTCGTTGGTGCGTGCGTTCCTAAACGCTCCTCTTCCCTTGTCGGCGGAGAGTGAGTCTCTGCAAGCCTGTCGGCCGCGAAGTCGTTCGTCTCGTCTTCTTCCAACCCGCCCATCAACGTATCAGGCCCCGTCCCTTGTTCTCTTGCAGGGGCGGGAACGCTCCACATTGGCCCTTCAAAGGACTCTCGCATTGGAGTCATGGGCGGCCTCCTGGCCGGCGATGCAGTGCCCTGCCCCTCGTTGTTGAGTCCATGCATGCGAAGAGAGCCTGATCGTGAGAACCCCGTGCGCTGTACGTCGCCCCTATTCATTTCGGCGTCCCATTGCGACACGTCCTTCAAGCTCCAAGACACCCGGTGAGTGCGACCAGTGCGCGGAAGGCTGTTGACGGAGCAGCGTGAGCTCGCACTGTTGGCGCGGCTGCGCCGAACGCTCGCCGCAGCGCTCAAAGCTCCAACTTGGCCTGATGGTTCAGGGACCCCGGGAGCAGCAGTGCCACCCTCGTCTACTATCTTGGGAGCGCGGCGCACATCTCGTACGTTGAAATAGGGCTCGGCGAGTGCCTCTGGACTGTTTCCTCCCTTGGGTTTCGGGGGGAGATCGGCTGCGCCAGCCTCAAGGTGCTCAAAGTATCGGATACGAGTCTGGTCCAGCGGCTCGGGGAATTTTTCGCGATTTCGAGAGAGAGACATCCACGTCGAGACGAGGCCTATTGAAATCAATACCAGAATGGCGATGGCTATGAATCCTTGGACAATGATGATGATTATCCCCAGTACTGTGGCGACGATACGATTGATACCAAAGTCGGGCAGGAACGCGATGGAGAGTCCCGTGGTGACGATTTTGGATATCGAGAGCATCCAGATGGCGATGGCCGTGATGCGGTTGCTCTCAAATGGGCTCAGCTTGATGATGACCGGCAACGCCAGAATCTCCCAGATGAACAGTCCAAAGACCTGAGCCAGGGGATTGCGAGCGCCGCCTCCGATGAAGCAGGCCCTGAAGAACAGATAGCCGATGTAGGCGGCGGGGAACCACCATCTCGTTCGTCGGTATCGCGCTGCAAGCCATCCAAATCGCTTGGTGAAGCCCTCGTCCTGGTGCACGGTGGGCCTGGCGGGGTCGCGGGCCGTGTACTTGATCCTGACAAACGGTATTGCGCCAAACAGATACGGCTTCTCCCTGGTCTCGCTCTCGTCCATCTGGCTGGCCCTCGTGGCGGCGATGAACGGAATCTTTCGGAATAGCGTTCCGCGCTCGAGTCGAACCGTGTCCCGGCAGAGTTCGAGCTTGCCCCCACGAAGCCTGGAGTAGCAAGCGTATGCAATCAATCCACCGACCCCTACCAGGAGGATAAGCCAGACGATGGCGGCAATGGCCGTCGGCCCGGCCGGCCCGTGAAGCGAAAACTGAAACAGGGACAAGGTCATGATGGTAAAGAAGGCGATGAAGAGGGTCCGGAGCACTGCAGCGGCAAGATAACCACCGAGATGGGAGCGGAAATAGTCGAAGCCGTCGGTCTTGAGGCATTTTGTCCTGACGAGCACATCCAGGACCAGCTTGGTGACGACGACGAACAGGGCGACGCCGCCCAGAATCACCAGCAACCAGATCAAGCTGACTAGGAACGCCTCGGCAGGGGGGACGTCCACCGCCGACAAGGTACCGCCGAATCCGGGCCAGGTGCCAGGCATGGGCATGCCTGGAGTCCGAGGGTGGCCGTGCCATGTGTATTCGTAGGGGTTGCTGGTGTTGTACTCTGCTCGTCGCGCGAGAGCTTGGACCGGCACATTGTCAAAAGCCGGGGCGGACAGCGACCTGCCGTAAATCTGCTGCAGCAGGCCGCCGCCGTTGTTGATCTGGACAGAGCCGGCCCCTCCAACTTGGCTAATGTTAGCGTTGGTGCCGGTAAAAATGCTAATGGAGTCAACGATGCGCTCGTTGGCGAACATGCCAGCGGACCAAGCAAAGTTGCTCCACCAGGCAGGAAGCACGCTCGGCCAGTTGACCGAGAGGGCACCGGAAAAGAAGATGGACTGAAAGGTCTCGAAGATGACGAGGACGGAAAAGGAGTGCGCGTAATGCGTGCGCATGTGCGTCATGCTCAGCCCGTAGACTGCCGTGGCGAACGATGCCAGGGTGGCGAAGGCTGTCAGGATGCCCATGATGGTGCCGACAGCCTTTGGCTGGGAAAACGAGTTGCCGTTTCTCATGACGGCCTGGAAGCAGCCAATCTCCGTTTGGGTCGAGTTTGCGAAGATTTGCAGGCGCGCAAAGCCTTCGAGATCGGGGATGCCCAACGCGATGGAGGGGATGCCGGCGACGTCGGTGGGGGAGATGGGAATCGTCGCAAAAGCAGTGACGGGCACGCTGGCCTTGAGGGGACACATGCTGGCAATGTTGGCCTTGCACGGGTCATATGTCATGTTGAACCGGTTCTCGCCGTATGCTTGGACGGAGATGTGGACTGGACGGACACACCAGTCAGCAATCAGATGGGCGTAGAAGCGTCATACACGGGAGTCGCAGTCCGACAGCGGGATGAGATGGACGTACGAATGAGATTCTCGCTTTGGATGTTGGTGGTCCCGTCGAGATGAAAGAGCACGGTGAGGTTGTCGGCATAGTAGGCGGCGTCGAACCTGGTGACGTTGAACAAGCTCTCGCCGCCCATGCAGTCGTCAAAGTCGCCGGTGTAAAGGGCCGGGTAGCGACTGACGTCGAGCTTGCGGGACACGCCGTCGATGCCATCGCCAGTGATGTAGACCTTGTCGACGGCCGAAACGGCCAGCAGGAAGGTCAACAGGGATAGGACGAGAGGGAAGAGGCCGGAGAAGCGAGCTCGAGCCGGCGACATGGCGAATGGGCGCCGCGGAAAGTGAAGTCGTTGCGGAGGCGGAGGAGAAGAGAAGGCAAAGCGCCGGGGCGTCAGTGCTGGACACGGCTTGCACCGCTCAAGCGAGGACGAGAGATGGCAGATCCGAGCCGAGTCTCAGCGCACCGGTCGGGAAAGACATGGGGGATCGTTGGGCGGCCGACAACAAGGCGATGTGTCTCGGGACGGCTTGTCTCGTCTCAAGCTGTTGCAGAGGCCGAGAGGGCCGGTGTCGGCGTCGGCGTCGGCGGCGGCGGGGGGGAAAGAGGAGCTCGTCGATGGCGGCTCAATTGCAGCAGAGCAGACAGAGGAGGGCATGGAATAGAAGAGAGAAAAAGAGAGGCGTGACAGAAGCGGACGAGAGACGGACCTACCAGGCCGTGCTAGGCGCTGGGATGTGCACGGGGAGCTACAGTGCTACAGCGCTGTGCTTTTAGTGGCCCGGGAATCTCAAATAGCTGAACCTTGTCCAAGAGCCAGGTGCGTAGTCGGGACGGGATACTGTGGACACCCGACGGCGAAGTATTATTAGTGGCGGCTCCAGGCACGGGTTAGCGCTGGAAAAGGAACCGGATTGCTTGCCTGCTTGCTCTCAGGCTGCTTCGCCCCGTCCCGCTTATTGCACTGGGCGGCTGAGGAGGCGGTGCCAAAGGTACCGCGACTAAGATCGATGCAGCACAAGAAAAAAAAAGACAAAGAAGGAGAGGTCTCACTTATTTCTTATTATTGACGTCGAGGACAGCGCTCTCCGTTGATTTCCGATCCGATCCGATTGTTTGTTTACTCTGGGTGTCGGACACCTTGACACGCACAACAAGCGGCAGCAAGGGAGGACCAGACGATGATGACCTGTTGGCGGGACGCAGCGAGGGTGCTGCTGTCTCGTACCATTCCGAGGACAGTGGCCAATCAGATTCGCCGACACTGATCAAGCGGGACGCAGACGCCTGTATCGAGGTACTAATAATTACAGTACCTCGGCCTTGCAAACGGCTCGAGCTGGGCTGGGTGCCTGGGGAGAAGTGAGAAGTAACATCGGTGGTGGCGGTGGTGGCGGTGGTGGGAGTTTGCTGCGGGATAAGGCCGGGGTGCACGGAGCATCCGGCTATAACTGAGGTGATGATCAACCGAGGATATAATTACCTTAACTATGCCGGCTCTGAATCTCCAAAAGTACAGTACAAACAAACCCGACACGCTATCGACATCCTACCCATACGCTCCCTGCACTATCAAGCTCCATCCGCACGCGTAATCATGTCGTCTCTCGAAGGGCCGGTGCCTTTCCAACCAATCTTGACCCCGCAGAATTGCTGCTGGTTATATAATTAGGCGTATATACCGTAGTCGATGTCTAGAATAAGGGCGTTTGCGCCCTCGACAAGGAGCTTGTAGTTCTTGCCTTATACGTCCTTGATAAACTGGACGGCGTCGATATAGTAGGGGGCCAGGCGTTAGCGGTAGTTCTTAAAGCGGCCTGAGACGAGGCGAGCTCCTTAATAAAGGAGCTAGGGACGTGGAAGACGACGCCGGAGCCGATGAGGTTGATGGATTTGGGGTTGACGAGGCCTGAAGGTAGCAGGTGGAAGTTATAGAAACTCTATTGGCTACGATGGAGTGACCGGCAGTGGCCCGCCGGCAGCTCGGGCGCAATATTGGACCTCGGGACAGAGTATGTATGTCGGTGGGCTTGTCCTTGCCCTCGTCTCCCCATTGGGAGCGAGCCCAGGATGATGGTGGCCATGGTGTGGATGGCTGTTCAACCGACGACCGACGACGACGACGACAGACGCGTGGGACTCTCACAGTCCCCAAAGGCACTGTGTACAATTGTCTCAAGAGATGATGATTGAGCTAAGTCTACCTCGATGTCAACGATGGTGGCTTGACATGCCACTGAGACAACCTCAAGCAGTAGAGCGGGGGCGGGTAAGCATACACGACGGTGCAGGGTGCTCTCATTCGAGACCTTTTTCATCTTTGGGGAGATGGGCTGCCACCAGACGACTGTGCGGTCACTGCACGAGCCAAAGAGAGGGGTTGTAATTATTACTTGGAGTCTACAGTATGCATACCCAGTGCCCCTCAAACAGATCGGACAAGCATTAATTACGGTTGTCTCGAGTGCGGAGCTGCTTGGCCAAGCCTGGCTCCATCATGCAGTGCTTTGGATTCGCAGCTTACCAAGAACGATGGAGACGCCTCTCGACACGAGCCGTGCATCTTCCTCGTCGAGACAAGCATTTCACCTTAAAAAAAACATGCTACTCCTGCTTCGCTTTGATGCTCGGCTACTGCATCGGCCATTGGGGTGCCCGCCCACGTCTCTTCCCAGCGGGGGCTCCAGCGGAGGCCCGGGGCGCGTGGCCGACGGCCCGACCAGCGCTCGCGCCCAATCCAAGGTGTTGTCGGGCCAGATGTGGTAAGCTGATGGGTAAGAGAGGGGTAGGTGCAACTGTAGCTCCGTCGTCGGCATCCAATCCTCAGAGTACACGTGCTGGTGTTGGTGTGGAAGACGAGGCCCGGGATAATGGCTTCGTCGACCACGGACCACGCACCAACGCCGAGATCCGCCCGGCGACGTCCCGCCCTCCGTTTCTCTATCAGCCAGGAAGATTACTCGACATAGATGTACGCGGGGAAATACATTCAAAAGATGTGGCTCTTGGCTTTGGCTTGCCCAATCCTCTAGGCAGCTGTTTCATGTGGCCCCCAGTCGGCCGTCCGAGATGACGGCGGACCCCGGCGTCGCCGACCGTCCGTCAACTCCGGCGCTTTTCCCCGGGCGTCCCCGCAGCAGGCTCGAGGAGAGAAAGCCACGTGCAGCAAAGTGGCAAAGTGGAAGTCGGTCAAAAGTCCGGCACTGTTAACTACCTAATAAGCATAGTGTTCTCTTCATCTAGACCTTCCAAGCTGTCGACGTGGGCTTGGCCGGCAATTGGTTGGCTGGCTGGGCCGTTCGCCGAGCCGAACCTTGGCCAGCAGCGTCGCCGCCAAGCACGTCATCGTGAGGCTCAAAGAGGCAACCCCATTGGATTCTGGACTGTGTACAGTACGCATGTATTTTTCTGGAACTTGAGGCATCGGGGCGTGAGACGCTGCCAATCATCTTTGCCAATCATCCAGTAATCATTGCATGGAGCCTAGCCGGAGCTGTCTTCGTTTGCCATCTTACTGAAGCACTCCCCCACGCTGCCCGACCCCTCCCGGCCTTGAACCCCGATCGCTTTGCTCTCTCGGTCCATTAGCCCTCTGTTAGCCCTCTGCTCCCCGCCATTGCGTGATCGCTCCACTGTGTACTTCCGTAGAGGCGGCGGAATCAACGGCTGCCCCCCCTTTGGCTGCGACGCCTGGCCTGGCTTGCTCCCCTCCCCCCCCCTCCCCCTCCTGTCTGCCTGAAATCTAGATCTTGCATCGCATCGCATCGCACATTGATTGTCCACGGTCAACCAATATCCTCCTCTTCCCTCCGCATCCACCATGGCAAACTCCCCCCACGGCGGCGTCCTCAAGGACCTCTTTGCCCGCGACCTGCCGCGCCATGCCCAGCTCCTCGACGAGTCCGAGAAGCTCCCTGCCATTGTCCTGACCGAGCGCCATCTCTGCGATCTCGAGTTGATTCTCAGTGGCGGCTTCTCTCCCCTTGAAGGTTTGTCTAGTCGCTCTCGACTCCGGACGTCATCAGCCGCAGCTGACCACTGTTTGCAGGCTTCATGACGGAAAAGGACTACAATGGGTAAGCTGTCTGCCGTTGCATAAACCCATCCCTCGACACAAGCTTAACGCGTCTGTAGAGTCGTCGAAAAGAACCGTCTCGCCGATGGCTCGCTCTTCAGCATGCCCATCACCCTCGACCTCGGCCAGGAGCAAATCTTCAAGCTCGGCGTCAAGCCCGGCGCCCGCATCACCCTGCGCGACTCGCGGGACGACCGCAACCTGGCCATCCTGACCGTCGAGGACATCTACCGCCCGGACAAGTATGTGCTCGATGCGTCCGTCTCTCCAACTAGGCTGACGTAGTCTCGCCGACAGGGTCAAGGAGGCCAAGCACGTCTTTGGCAGCGACGACGATACCCACCCCGGCATCAAGCATCTGTTTAGCGCTGCAAAGGAGTTTTACGTCGGAGGCAAGCTCGAGGCCATCAACCGTCTGGAGCACTACGACTTTCTGGATCTGCGCTGTAAGTCAACCCTGCCTCGTGTGCACGCCGAGACGAGCTGACGCCTGCAGTCACTCCTGCCGAACTCCGGTCCCACTTCAACAAGCTTGGGTGGCAGAAGGTGGTTGCTTTCCAGACGCGGAATCCCATGCACCGAGCCCACCGTGAGTTGACGGTGCGCGCGGCTCGCTCGCAGCAGGCCAATGTCTTGATCCACCCCGTCGTCGGCATGACCAAGCCTGGCGACATCGACCACTTCACGCGGGTCCGCGTCTACAAGGCTCTGCTGCCCCGGTATCCCAACGGCATGGCGGCGCTGGCTCTCCTGCCGCTGGCCATGCGCATGGGCGGCCCCCGCGAGGCCCTCTGGCACGCCATCATCCGCAAGAACCACGGCGCGACGCACTTTATTGTCGGGCGCGACCACGCCGGCCCCGGCAAGAACAAGCACGGCAAGGACCACTACGGGCCGTACGACGCGCAGGAGCTGGTCAAGCAGTACCAGGACGAGCTGGGCATCAAGATGGTCGAGTTCCAGGAGATGATTTACATCCCCGACAAGGACGAGTACATGCCGGCCAACGAGATCGCCGAGGGCACGCGCACCATGAACATCTCGGGCACGGAGCTGCGGAGCCGGCTCAAGACGGGCAAGGAGATCCCGGCGTGGTTCTCGTACCCAGAGGTGGTGCAGGTGCTGCGCGAGCAGAACCCGCTGCCGCGCGAAAAGGGCTTCACCGTCTTCATGACGGGCTACCAGAACAGCGGCAAGGACCAGGTGGCGCGCGCGCTGCAGACGACGCTCAACCAGGGCGGCGGGCGGCCAGTGTCGATGCTGGTGGGCGAGACGGTGCGGCACGAGCTGTCGTCGGAGCTGGGCTTCAGCAGGCAGGACCGCGACCTCAACATCTCGCGCATCGCCTTTGTGGCCTCGGAGCTGACCAAGGCCGGCGCCGCCGTCATCGCGGCCCCGATTGCGCCCTTTGAGGAGGCGCGGAAGCAGGCGCGCGATCTGATTGAGAAGTCGGGGCCCTTCTTCCTCATCCACGTCGCCACGCCGCTCGAGTACTGTGAGAAGACGGACCGGAGAGGCACCTACAAGGCGGCGCGCGCCGGCAAGATCAAGGGCTTCACCGGCGTCGACGACCCGTACGAGAAGCCGCAGACGCCGGACCTGGTCGTCGACCTGGAGAAGCAAAACGTGCGGTCCATTGTGCACGAGATAATCCTGCTGCTCGAGAGTCGGGGTCTCTTGGACCGGCTGTAACGGGTCTGGGTTCGGAAAGCAGTCGGCGTTGGAATGGCATGCCGGGTGACGGAGACCAAGTTCAGAAAGGATGGCGACTTCGGGTAGAGCCGTGGTAGACACATATATCCCAGGGGCTGGTTGCCAGGGCCTGGGGGTGCGCTATAGAGGCGCGCATACTCCGTATCCAAGGCCAGACATGCGGTTGGACGACTCAAAGACGAGGTTGGCGATGCAACAATGCTGTTTGAGCCATCATGCCTCGCGACACTCGGTCTTGCCACTCTCTTTGTCGTCTTGGTCCATGCAAGCATAAGTTACATGCTCGGTGAGTCGGTGAGGGTATCGTACTTGGGTACAAGGGCCACGATTCTCTCTCCCGCAAAAAGGCCAAGGTCCATTGCATTGGAAAAGACCCCGCCACGGGCGTTTCCCAGCCCCTTACTGTACAAAGTGCCTCGAGGCAGCACCGGCCCCCTCTCTATCGGCAGGCAACAAAGCAACGCCATGGATGATTGGGCACTGCTTTGGTGCCCGACCTGGGGCATCTTGACCAGTTCCATCGCTCGGTGTCTGATAACGAACACGAAAAAATTGAGTCCTTCTCGCATCCCCAATTGCCTCACGAATCGACCCTGCTGGGCCTGGTAAGTTGTACGTACTCCAGGTGCCGTGCCAGACTCCTCTGCGGTCAAGCTCGGCAGGTACTGTGAGCCCATTGTTGTGCTAAGCGGTAACCTGTGTGGCTGCCCTGCTACCCAAGGTGGATAGGTACCTTCAGAGCCGTCCCGCTCCCCGAGGTACTTTTTGAGCTCAGGTCCCACCCGAGCCTGGGCAAGGCACCCTGGGAGCCTTGAGCCGCTGTACTGTACTGTACCTGGTATTGTTCCCTCAGGGAACGCTATCGGCTCTGTCACTGTTCAAGCGCCTTTCCTTCTGGTCGCCAGTGACTACCTACCTACGTACTACCTACCTTACCTAATTAGGTACCTACCTAGTAGAAGCACTTGAACAGTACCTGTGGTACTAGTAGTCCAATCAGCACCGCCCGAGCATTGCCCAAGCTACTCTGTACTTACCAAGGTACTGCGGTAGTGCCTGTCGGGCCCTGTCGAGCGGGCTAGCCTCCATTGTTTTAGCGCCTCTAGGCCCGGACCCTCCCTCTGCGCAGGCGTTGGCCAAGCTTCCATCCAACTGGCGCTCGTTTGAATGCCGGCTATTCATCAACTTCCCTTCTTCTTCTTCCCCTCCTCCCTCGCGAATCACGCCCGTCTGCTTCCCGCAGATTGGGCATCGTTTCAGCCCTATTCTCCGTCCTCACTTGAACCCTCTTCATCGCCTGTCCCCTCCGTTTCTCCCATCCTTCGCCATAAGCAACGGCAAACAGCTTGGTGTTGGCATCCCGTGCCTGAGCCTCGCACGGCTCTTGGCCTTTCGACGTCGACCTCGCCAAGTCGCCTCTCTCCGAGCATCTCCAGACGCCGCCCATTTCTCTCTCGATGACCTAGGATGCCTTCCAAGGATCATGACGCAGACGTCGACGCTGCTGCCCCTGACACCCCGCGCGACAAACACCATCACCGTTCCAAATCCGATCGCAAATCAGACAAGGACCGCGAACACCGCCACCATCGCTCTTCGAGGTCCTCGCGCAGCAAAGTGGGCGGCGACGGGGGCGACGATCAATCGCACATGTCGACAAGGCGTCACCGCAAGAGGGACAAGGACAGAGATGGCGACGAGTCCAAGCGTCCATCCGTCTCGACGAGCGATTTGACAGCCGACTTATCCAAGATGTCCATGGACAGGCAGCGCATATCGCTGCCCTATCCCTCCTTCAGCAAGGCGCACAGCAAGGAGGCTGTCCTCAGCCGGGACGACGTTTCCAAGAGACCGTCGAATCCCCCAACCCCAGAGCCGACCGACTGCGGCCGGGACGAGAAACGATCCAAGTCCGCCGAGCTACCCCGCAAGTCTTCCGCTTCCAAGAAATCAAGCCGACCGCCTACACCCCCAGAGACGGATGTCTCGGCGGAGAAGAAACGGGCAGAGCAACAGGCGAGGGGCGACGACGAGCCAAAGTCTACGACCGAGGGACTATCCAGATCTGCCTCCCGCAACGATGACAGGTCCAAAGTCAGTCGCAAGTCCGGGTCCTCGAGCCAGGCAACATATGTCAAGTCGCCAAAACACAAATCGCACGAGAAGCTGCGCCCCTCGAGCTCCACCAGATCTAGTTCGTCTCGACACTCGACCAAGCGACCAGGTTCGATGCGCAGCTCCAAGCGGCAAGACCCGGTCGACGACGAGTCTTCGCCCTCGAGTGTGCAGGACTCTTCCCCCAAGACGCCCACGCCCACGACACACTCCCATCCTCATCTCTATGGCGGCGATAAGAACGCGCCGCCTGGGACACAAGGCGCCGAGTCAAGCTTCCCCTCCAAGACTGCGACTCCGGCCCCTGCTGCTCCGCCTCCGCCCCCGCCTCCTCCGCCCGAAGTGGACGTCCAAGACATGCCCCGAGTCGACTATTTGCTGCAGAACGGCGGCTTGCCTTGCCCAGTGCCCAAACGTTTTCTGTCGGCTTTGCCGCCGCCCAACGGCACCCGCCCGTCGAACCCTGCCCTGGCCGGTGCCGAGACGCTGTTTGCCCCCTTTTTCAACATCTTGGACCAGTATTCGGCTGTGCTATCCAAGCACGGATCAATTGCCGTGGCGACAGGCCACCGATCAGTGGCACGGCGGCTGCTCGACAGGCTCGAGAATATCTTTTCGCGAGACTTGCCTTCGCACGGCTGTGCCTGTGTCATGTGTGACCGATCGCATGAGATTCACAGGGGCCTGACCTGGGGTGACGTTCTTGAATGGGTCAGCGGCCGTATTGAGCTGCCCATGTGGCCGCCGTTTGATCTTGCCGAGATTGGGACAAAGGCGGCTGAGATTTCTGCCGAGGAGCCTCCACGGCCGGCATCCCCCGTCAAGTTGGACCCTGATATCGCCGAGGAGTTCAGGGACCATTATTTGCGTCAGTCCAAGAAGGTGAGGTCGGCCGTGGACAAGTGGCTCAACCAAACGGGAGAGACGCCCGTGCCGCCTCCCCAGGATGTGGACGACGAGACGCTGGCATTTGCGGTTCTCACCAATTTGGAGCCCGGGGAACGGCCATACTTCAACGCTCTTTTGTCTGGATCCCGAGACTTGAAGCCATCCACACGCGCCCCGACGCCGGGATCGGGGTATCGGCCACGCAACGACTTCATCATCAAGTGTGGCCTTTCTCTTCAACGGCTTTACCGGCTGTCGCAAGTCCCGCGTGATGCCGAGTGTGCCACGTATCTCGTCAAGAACCCCGAGACTCACGACCTGCTCGTGACCATCTCCAACATTAATGGTTCTGAGTGGGAGATTCTCACATCGGGACGCTTTGACGGATTCTTGTGGTCGGGAGCGGATGCGGATGATTTCAACTCAGGTGTCGACTCGAGGGGTGAGACGCCAGCCAGCGGGCACGGGGGACATCGTTCGACATCGAGTCCAATTCCCCGCGGCGCTTCAGCGATGGGCTCGCGGCAGACGACTCCATTCTCGCCCTACTCTCGGGGTGCCACGCCTGCATCCTTCATCAGCCTTGCTTCGTCGGGCGTGCTTGGCGGCAGGCATCCAGTGTCGAATGACGAGGAAATGGAAATGGCGGCTGCCGCCGAGATTGAAAGAGAAATTTATGCCGGCATGGAGACGCTCGAGGATGCCTTTGAGAAACTGCATCACAAAGCCGAGATGGTGCGGACGGCCCTCCGGCAGCGCGGAGCAGGGCTCATGCAAAACTTTCAAAACCGCCGGCGAATCGACGTACTCCCGACTCCCGGTTCTGCGAACTCCCAGAACGCTGCCTATGAACGGCCAGCCTGGGCAGCCGGAAGCGACGGCGACGGCGGAAGCGATGATGACTGGACCTTGGACGATGTGGATATCATGCCAGATGACTCGGCGAGCAACATCAGCAGCTCCAGGCACAGACGCCCCAAGAGACGAACGGAACGCCGCACACCAGCGCCCATCGAAGAGGACGAGGACGAGGATCGCTGACTAGGATCTGCAAGTCGGCCGTTTACTCGGCGGACATCGGCGAGTACACGAGATTACACCTTGCGCCGTGTTCCTTACTGGTTGACGTCCCACACTGCTTGTGCTACGCCGCGGTCGGTGTCCGATGCTGACGACAATGATGAACAAGTTGAGAGAGAGAAACGGGCTTCTTGTCGGATACCATAGTGATTTCTGTACGGTTAGTTTCTGCTTGCGATTGGCATCTCCCATGTCGACTGCGCGCCACGACGAGTCGCGGCCCCGAGGCGCGCAGCGGAGGATTTGGGGCTTTCTTTTCACTTATTTTCCGTGTCCTGTCACCGTCGTCGGAGAAGTAAGCTGGGTTGTCGAATGTCTGAAGCGAGTTGGACTTGAATGCATGTTGCGAGACTGGAGATGGGGCGAGTAACGAGCGGAGGCGGCGGATGGGGAGAACTTGGTGCTGCTGTCGAGGATGGCTGAGAGGATTGACTGCATAATTTGGAGTTTTGGCATCGTCCTGCCAGAGACAGACTACCGAGTGTGGAAATAATTCGCACACACAAACATGTAGGAATAACGGATGGTTCTTTAAGGCCTGTTTTGGTGAAGCTTTGGCTTGATTGATCTCTAGCTGCGTGGTATCGTGTGGCAGATGCTTCCCACCTGTCTCTCTTCGTGTTCCTGGTGGGAGCGAACCTCTATACAAAAGTCTCCTCATGGTGGTTCACAATGCCCATCTCTAGCCATGTATCCTTTGCTCCCACGTTGCACATGAGCTTGCCCGTCAGTGGCTCCTGGGCCCAGACTTGAGCAGCTTGGCCACATTGTCAGCGTAGCCCTCGACGCCGCCATACTTGAGCAGCAGGGCGTCAAAGTCAATCTCGTGAGCAACGCCGGCAACCCGCCGGCGGCCGAGGAGACAGGTGTTGCGCGTGCTCGGTATGCGCAGCATCTCCGTCTCTACCTCCCAGCCGCAGTCCTCTGCGATGCGGGAGACCCAGTCGACGAGGGAGGCGTACGTCGACTTGGGCTTTTCCTTGTCGCGGGGCCGCGGGGCGCGGAACTTGGCGCCGGCGAGGTTGTGGCTGCAGCAGGGGATGGTGATGAAGGGGCTTTGCGAGAGGGCGCCGAGGATCGGGGCCCAGGGCGTGAGCTCGTCGCCGTGGTTGGAGATGATGAAGGTGCCGGGGGGGAAGACGCCGTCGTGGATAGCCTGTGGGTCGATGGCGTCGTCTGGTTCTGCGCCTGTGCTCGTACTGGTGCTGTCGGAAACTACCTTGGGCAGGAGGAGGCGCTGTTGCAGGGAGCGACTCTCGGGGGCGGTGTCGGGGTCGTCGGTCAGGTACTGGGCCCAAGACTTGCGAGCTCTCGCATCAAAGCCCCAGCCAGAGTAGCCCTCTTGACGGAGGATGTAGACAAGCAAGCCGTTGCCGCAGCCAATGTCAACGAATCCCGGGAAGCGACCATGTGTTCCGTACATGTCGGCCCAGAGCTCCATCAAAAACGCCGCAATGCCGAGGTCCTCAAACACATGCTTTACAGGATCCGTCGACTCGGCCCAACCATCGACCAGCCGACGTGCGTACTTTGCCTTGAGCGACGCGTAACGGTCCTGGAAGCGCGCCTGGGGGACAATGACATCGTGGTGGACCCTCTTGACGTAGCCGGCGGCTGAGCTCTGGCCGTGCTTGTGGAGGATCTGCAGGAGGTGGTAGGCAGTGCGGCGCAGCTTGGGACACTCAACGTCGTGTATGGGTTGCTGGAAGGGGAGGAAGTGGACCGAGACGAAGCCCGTTTGCGCGACGGGATCCCACTCGTGGAGGTGGGCGATGCCGCGGACCTTGGGGTGGTAGAAGGGGAGGTCGGCGGCGGAGGAGGCGTGAGGCAGGTAGATGACGAGCGACGAGGAGGATGACGACGGGGTGGAGGGGACGGAGCGGTGGAAGGTGCACGTCTGATCGAGGGGCCGGTCTCTGCGCTCGCTGCGGGGGATTAGCTTGCGGACCAGCGTCCTCTGGCGCGGCATATCCTTGATTTCGCGCGGCGGGAACAGCGAAGGAGGAGGGTTGACGTCGTCGGCGTCGTCGTCGTCGAAGAGAATGTCTGCGCGAAAGAGCCAGCTCGAGTTGAGGTTTGGGTTGCGGATGAGGTTCATCATCTTTTCGACAAAGAGATGCGGCGCAAAGGTGCAGGCATGGCGACACTGGGGCACCCAGCGGGTGTCGTGGCCATCGAGGGTGATGTCGTCGAAGCAGGGCGGCGATGCCTCGGGCAGCTCCTCGGGCTCAAAGAGCATTGTGCGTCTCTACTCTCTAGTGCTCTCACCAGACCCTCTCCGTCTCTCGCCCACCGCGGGCAGCTTGACCGAGTGAGGGGCCTGTCGTCGGAAGGAGAGCATCAGCAACCACGCGATGCAGAGGGAGCAGGCTATGCGTACCGAAAGAGGTTCCAGCGTACACGCCTTGCAGTCCCGTACGACGTCGAACAGTTGGAGGTTTATCGCGAGTTTGGCCGTCCATGGTCCACAAATTTGGAAATGCGGGCCAGCTTTCGTCTCCACTGTCAACGACGTGGACGGGGTACAGGTACATGGGTGATTCTCAAGCAGTGAGGGAACGAACGCGTACGCATACAAGAAGAATCGTGGCATGTCTTGACGGGGATGAATCAGAGTCTCCCCCTGCTCATCAACGGCGGCAAATCGGCCCTCTTCCTCACGCTGCTGCAGTGCCTGCCTGCTTCCTCGCCATAGACGGACTGACACGTGACGCAATCCACGGCAGGGCTCTCCTCTCGGTGCGGGACACAGCGATGAATGGATGAATGGATGAATGGATGAATGGATGAATGGATGAATGGATGATGGACTGGCGGCAGAGACGATGGGGGACGCGGCCGACGTGGTTGTTCGTGTCGTCGAGCACTTTGTATCCGCGTGCAGCGCCGATCAAGGGAACGGCTTGATCCTGCAGCAAGTACTGGCATGTACCTCGGCCGCCCTGCGTCACCTCACGTGCTTTGGACCTTGCCCAGCTGTCGATGGGCTCCAGAGAACCGATGCGCTTGTCCCGCAAAGTGCGCGCAAACCACCGCACGTGCGTAATGCGAGGGGCCGAGACCTAGCTCGTTGGACGTTTTGGCGAGGGCAGACACCTCCACCAACTTTTTCCCTCCTGTCCGCTCCCAGCGCGCAAAGAGAGGGAGAGGAAAAGCTGACGAACTGAAATGAGATAAGCTTGGCGGCGATGCACATGCTCCGTCGCGAGGTACGCGCAGGTACCCGGGCTTCGCTTCCGCCCGGAGCTACTACAGTGGCCGCCCTGCATCCCCAGCAAGGGCCAACACAGCTTGCACGGTACCTGCCAAGTACTGGTACAACCCGAGGTCTCCAGAAGAACCGCCGTTTACGCCTAACTTATCAGGCAGCAGCGCCTTTTCGCCCTTCCCGACCAAAGGGGCGTGGGGCTTGCCTGCGCCTTGCCCCTCGTTCTCCTTATTAACTGCATCCGTTTTCTTCCCCTCACCGTCCTCTTCCTCACCAGCTTTACATCACCAAGCAAACTTTGGCCTTCGTTGTCGCAAACCACCCACCTCTCACCCGAGCTTGCGTCGCACGCCCTTCATAAGTCGCCTCTCTCCCTCTTTCCATCTTCCATCTCCCGCTCGACTCGTCGCGCACCGAAAACCACAAAGCCACACAATCAGCGAGGCGCCTTTTTTGCCCAGCCTTCCGCTGCGAACCATCGCTCCCCCTACAAAACCCATTTCCCAAAGTCACCCGGCTACCTCCGAGTTTATGTCCATCGAAAATCTCAAAGTCAGCGGTACGTCTGCTCTGCTTCTCTCCTCCCTTGGCACCCCTTTCACCCCGTCTGTTGTGGTCACTCGGCTCCCTCGCGTGCTGTTGTCAGCGCCGGCCCCGCCAAGACGCGAACCTTGCCCAGTACCAACAATCCGCCCTTGTCACCGGAACTGGACACATGCTGACTTGTTCTACCTTCAAGACCCCTTCGCCGATGCCGACGAAGACACTGGAGAAACCAAGCAGGCGCAAAATTATATCCATATACGCATTCAACGTAAGTTTCCGTCGCATATGATATCGGCCTCGCCGCGCCCGCCTGTAGCCTCCCTCGTGGGAGCTAGACCACGGCAAGACGTGCTCCGAACCCGGCTGACTTGTCAAAACAGAGCGTAATGGACGCAAAACCTTAACTACCGTCCAGGGTCTGCCCAAGAAATTCGACCAGAAGAAGATCCTCAAGGTCATCAAGAAGAAGTTTGGTGCGTCCTCTCTCGTATCTCCTGCCACGAGCTCTCCTCGCTAACTGCCTGCCCAATAGCCTGCAATGGAACCATTGTCACCGACACCGAAATGGGCGAGGTGATCCAGCTCCAGGGAGATCAGCGCAAAGATGTCCAGGATTTCCTCACCGACAAGGAGGGCCTCGAGCTAGACGTTAAGACCATCAAGGTCCACGGTTTCTAAAGCTCGCGATGCGCCGTCGCCCTGCCCGCGGCTGCCTGCTACCCGTTGCAAGCTGATGCCGAGAACGGTCGGGACGAAAACGCTCCCAGCGTGTTGCGCCTCTCGCCAGATATGCCGATCAACCAGGGCTCTTTCCAGCCCCGATCGTTGAGGGACGACGGCCGTGCGTCCACCGCGAGACCTTTTTTTTTGTTCAGTTAGATGGGAGATCGTGTGGGGGGTTTGGCCAGCCCTCCGCTGCCGCCCAACAAGACGCAGTGATGCGCGTCACATACCCCACACCCCCCACAAGGAGGGCTACGGGCCAAGATAGCATGACGGCTTGTCGGTCTTTCGTTTACTCCTTGGACAAGTCCAGCCGTAGCCTAGATCAATAAAGCAAGTGCGCAAGGCTGCCACGCTCCCCAACCATGATATTCTGCCGTAAATGCCCTTGAACGCCGTGATGCAACGCTAGCCCAGTCCCAGTTTACCCCCGACGCCGGCTCTGTACGCCCAAGACCTAAAAACGGCTCCATACACAACCCGAGCAAGGCACCTCAAACAAGATGTCGCTTCGCCACCAGCCCGCCCTTGCACGAGGACGCAGTGTCACAGCTCGGCACGCTCAATGACGCTCTTGATGTGCGCCAGGAGGACGGCGGTCTCGTTCCACAGGTGACGGCCTCGGGCGACGATGGGCATGGTGGGATAATCGGCCAGATACGAGTGCATGTGAACGAGCAGTATCACCATGGTGATGTAGCTGGCAATGGAGAAGACGTTGATGGACGTGACCGTCTCCTTGCGGATGTTGATCTTTTGGTGCGTGATGTGGTAGCAGACGGTCAGGGTCTGCAGCGGCAGATCAGCAGGGCTTGCTCTCCTTGTTTTCCACCGCGAGAGCAGACGGCCACGTGTATACGCCAGAGCGAGACATTGGACGATGCCGAAAAAGAGAAGAGGGGTAGGGGACGGGGCGACCTGACGTACGGTTGCTATGCCGATCCACCCCGGAAGCAGAAGGCGAGGGTCGTCGAAGCCGCCGGTGAGGGAGAGGACGGTCAGGGTGACGTAGGCGTTGACGGCGTTGATTGTGAGTAGTCGGACCATGGTGGCTTGCGGGGTGTAGTTGATGAGCCTGAGGAGTTTCGTGTCAGTGGTCGGGTCATGCTACCAGGAGCTGTTTGTCCTCGGCCACCAGCACGTACCACCTCGACATCAGACAGTCGGTGAAGAAGAAGGATAGATAACCGCAAGCAAAGCACTGGACAGCAGCAGCCATGATTAGCGAAGAGCACGGGAACTCCGAGCGTCACGGCAGGAGGCCATGGGGAAGCGTGCCGGGTACGGCATATGCATGTATTTACCCAGATGGTAGCGAGGGCGCCCTCGGTCAAGGCATAAGGGACGGCGCCGTCGGCATGGCGGGGGTCGTGGTGGTTGCTTGCATCGCACAGGGGCGACGGCGACTCGTTCCAGCCTGAGCGGACGACAAGGACACGGCCGGTGCCGGGAAGCAGGCGCAGGAGGAGCTGGAGGGCCGACGGCAGGCCCCACCAGAGGGCGGGAAGGATGGAGCAGAGACGAAGGGCGAAGAGCCAAGGGTGCCAGGGCTGGGGCACCTTGAGGACGACGGCGACGCGGGGCTGGAGGAAGGACGGGTAGACGGAGGGCGGAGGAGTGGCCGAGGACGATGTCGTGGGCGTGGGCGTCGACGAGGCCGAGACGGCGGGGGGGATGTTGGAGTCGGGGTCGGAGAGCGACGACGGAGAGCGGGCGGCGGCCGAGGCGGGGCGGCGCTTATTGGCGAGGGAAGACGAGGGTGCGGTGGACGAGACCCGGTGCTGAGGGCGGGCAATCGTCGCCATGACACGTTCAGGCCATGGGAGGTCTGTCTGCGCTGCAGATGGGAGAAAGGACAGAGTGATCCGGGATTGGGGGAGGGGGAAGCGAGAGGCGACTGTGGCAAAAAATCGATTCCGCAAAAGCGTGGACAGAGATGAGCAAGGGCGACGGAAGATGGGAATGTTGGGGGGGGGGGAGAGTGAACGAGAGGGAGTTGACAGGTCAAGAATGAGTGCAGCAGGTACGGGGTGCAAGTACTTGGCAACTTAGGGGTCCAGGCTCGAGAGGATGACGCCTGTGCCAGGGGTGGAGACGGATTACCGCGTGTACTGTACTCTGTACGTATTTACTTGTACATGCGTACTGGTCGAACCAGGGGGATGGAACCTTGGCTGTGCACCGGCTGGTGTTTAATAGCTGCACGCTGATTAGCGTCTCATAATTCTACCGTCCACTGTGTAGCATGAAAGGTCACGCTCGTAGTATTAGCCCCGTTTACATCTTGAACGCGAGTTCTTAAGCTTCCGGCACGCCACGACGGAGAAGACGACTGCGGACTTCTAAGCTCTCACTTGATACCACGTATATCGAAACCTCTCACTTAATAACATAGTGCTATTTTCTCTTCCTGTTACCCACCACCTCCACACCCGGGTTTGAGCCGGAGAGCATTGGTGTGGACGAAGTCTGTCAAAACAGGCAAGAAATTCGGGATCAGGTGCCTTGCAGTTTGGGTTGCCACACCATCTCAGTTCTTGTGATGTCACGTCCCCTCAGACCGTTCTCCTGTGTATTGTACTGTTGTGTAAGCGTACCAGTATGGACTCCATCAGCCTCCTTGAATGTAACACCCAGTCTGCTCGCTGCTCTTCCCAGCCAGCCCCCCGGCCTGTCCGCACTCCTTCAGTCTGCCATCCTTCGAGCCGGACTCCGTAGACATAAATGAGTCTCTGGCGGTGGGCTAAGGAGTGAGGTGCAGGCGGCGTGGAAGGGCTTGGTCTACGATCTTTGTGATTTATATCTATAGCTAGGTGAAGAGAAGGAGGGTTTACTGCCACTGCCATGGTAACTATAGACAGTATTTCATACAAAGGCATGGGTGAAAGGGTGTGCTGGTCTCGCGCTATGGAGAAAGAAAAATGAAGCTATCGTGAGTTCCCAAATAGGCAGCATTCTGGAATACGGCGGTGGGGCCTCGTGTCCCCATGTGACCCCCTTCCCAGAAAGATCCGTTTTCAGGGCCCGATCCATAATGCTTCAAAAATCAAGGCGGACATAACTATAGCTGGGACAGAAAAGTATCTTTACCCTGGTTAGTAGTGTTTTGTGATACAAATAAAACGGCATATAGCTAGCTGCATCACACCTGCCAAAGGACACTTCAGCAGGACTCGACAAAGTCAAGCTGTGAACCGCAAGAGGACTTTTAAGTCGAGCAATATCCCTGCGCCGGGGTTTCGAATTTTGGGGTACGTTTACCAGGCTGGTCAGGGGCCTGTCTAATTCTAGGATGGAGTCTATTCCGCTGACGAGAGTGGCTGGATTGCTCATCCGGTATGGAACCAGCTATGATATAGAATTCAGGTGAAAGATAAGAGTCCGGGATTCGTCGGATGCTTCTCTTCGATATCTCGATGCACTTTTTTCGGACTGGGGAGTCAAGCTACACTTGCGGCTCTGCTACCGCGTGTGATGGGAAACAACCTCAAGAACCAGCAATGAATACAAAGAGCCTCGGCTTAAAGTCTCCCATAGCCGGTGGCCTTGAGCAAGGCTTTATAGGCGCAAAATATTCCCCCGCACTGCACCGTGACGTTCTTCGCGCGGCTACACGGCGGCTTCAGATTCTGCACGGTTGGCTGTCTGTCGAGTACTTAAAGAGCCAATGCTCGACGGCAAATACATTCACTACCTCTACACAACGGCCAACTGTTTTCCAGCTCTATACAGAGTCCCAGACCATTAAGTGTTTCGCAAGCCCTTGGGTATCCGGTCAAGCTGAGAAGTCCAGTTACAAAATGTGCAAGGTCTTGATCCCTCGAAAGACGAAGCTTTGCCAGCATGTCATCGAAGAGCCTGGTATGACCATTCCATGGCCAGACAACTGCGGCAATTGTGGCACTGTCAAGCGGACAGAGTATCTTGGGTCTACGGTGGAACATGATCCTTGCGACAACTGCATAGCGAGCAAGGGATTTGTCAGAAATGCGGCCGGTAGATGAGTTCGATCGTCTTAGACCAAGGACATGGCATCTCTCGATGATGGCGCCAGAAGGTATCCAGTGAAGCCATGCTGCTTCAGGCAAGAGAGCAGGAGTCATGTATCTCGAGAATAGCACCACTACCTGGTGATGAGTTTTTCCAGGATACCGCTCCGAGCCGTTGTCTCGCATTCCTGTATCCTTGCCTTGATCCAGAGAAAATCATCTTCGCAAGTGGCTTCCCAGGCAGTTTGGTCCAAAGCTGCAATGTCCGCCGAGAGATCTGCGATGGACTGGTATCGATCATGCCAGCAGTTATGTATAATCCCATCGTATCCCAAGCGGCCTACAGGCGGGAATTCCATCTTCTGCAGCTTCTGCATTCGAATTGGGCCATGATCGGGACCCCACCATTCGTCCTCAAGCGGGTCATAACCACGAGTCAATGAATAGAACACTGACCCAATGGCGAACTGTTCGGACCGGCAGCCGGCCTTTCCATAGGTCCCACAGTCCAGACCGCCTTCGTCGCCGAGTAGTCTTGCAAATTGCTCTGCTCCGGACAACATATCGTCCCTTATCCTGATTGTACGGTCAAAGTCTGCAAGCTTCACTCGCCCGGAGTCACATAGGAGCATGTTTCCAGGACGAATATCGCAGTGGGCTAGCCCGAGCATTTCCAGCCAAGCGGCAGCAGCCCCAAGCTGCTTCATTCACATAAAGCAGCACTCCAGAGGTTGTCCTTTCACAATCCCTGTGACCCGACGACAGGTCGTCTCTCAGCTGTTGATCCCTCAGGAGGGATGCGAGATCCCCATTCGAGACATACTCCAAGAATATCATCTCCTCGGTACGGTAGAATCGTCGAATAATGTACGGCGAGGGAGGATGGCTCTCAAGTATGGCAAAAACATGCTGTTCTTGAGCCATGTTGGCTTCTCGGCCCGGGCGGACCTTCTTGACGACGACATAGTCGGTCAACCTGAACGTGCACCCGGTGCTACCCAGGCTCAGCATTCGCGGTCCGTCCCGTGCATGCATCGAACGACTCGACTTTCTAAACAATGGTCAGCATTGGCATGAAAGTATTGAAGGAGGCACCGACCGGACAAACCATGAAGGTAGACTCAATCGAGGCCTCGAGATGCTGCAGTATTTCAACGTGACAGGAAGCGAGATGGATGTCACAATGCCTTTTGTGATTTTCAGCGCCTTGTTCACGAGACCTCCCAGCAGGAACGGAGGCCAGGGAGCCTTGTTGAGCAAGGCAAGGGGTTGCCAAATTTTGGATCCTCAGGCATCGATTCAACTGACACATGAAACCGCGCTTCTCTATCCGTATAGCGAATGGTAATGGGGTTAATTATCAGTGCCACGCCCATTTATTTCGCGCTCGTTATACAGTATACTCGTTCCTTACCCAGCTCCATAAGCTGGTGCTGGACACCGCAATAACCAGATATTCGACCGTCGGCTTCAAACGTCCGCATTTCACCCACTTCATATCTTTTCCGATACCACTCAATTCCCTTTTCATTTCTGGACGGATGGGTCATGTACCTCAGGAGTGGATAGCGCCGGACTGAGGATGTCGACATGACTTCTGGCTGGCTGTTCCATGGACGACTTGAAGACGGTCATGATGGCACAAGGACGGTACATTACCAGACGCTTGTGGTGTAGGGCGCACGGCCTGACTGATTTTGAACGGCAGTATTTGCTTCCCGCAGACACACGGCATGACATCCATTTAAATCTTTGTGCAGACAGGAAGTGGACAGGACGCCGACTTCCATTGTACTTTTCCAGAGCCGTTAGCATCCACCCTATTATCAATGAAATAGTACCGTAGTTGCGACGGTTTTGGATCGCCGCGAAAGCTCGTGGGAGCGTTCCCGGCCTTTAACATAATTAACTACTTTACATTTACTGAGCCGTTACATATAAAGGACAAAAGAAGCCGAAATTTAGACGTTCAGGCTCCCGTCTCTTGTAATGTGGTTAATCAATTATTATACAGGAAGGAAATACGCCCGGACGGCTGGGCTTTAACACGGGGTTGCCCGCAGGCAGGAGGTTTGCAAGGGAGATTCCGGATCTAGCAAGAAATGTCCTTGACTTGGGCGTTCCCCTCGACCGTCAATTGCGCCTTGTTCTCAACGGTGACGGGGGTGGTGCTGCCAGAGCTCAGGGCAGAGTCGGAATGCGTCTTCAGCTCCACATAAACTGTGCAGCCCTGGCACTGCTGCTGCGGCTGCTCAGAAACGGTGAATCCGACTGTCTTGACAAATTCAGTAAAGACCTGGATGCTCTTCTCGTTAATGACCGGCTGGCTGCCCGCGGGAACGACGGACTTGGCGCAGGAGCAGGGAGAAAAGTCAACGAGGATCTCGGGTGAGCGGAACTCCGTGATAGGGAAGTCGTCGTTGAACCTGTAAACAATTGGCTGCTGGGGTTCGTTGACGACTTTCCACCCTTCGGCATTGGCGATGATCTGCCTGTTGACGATGATGGCGGCACCAACGGCGGTTTGCTTGGTCTTGGTAAACTTGGAGCTGTTGGTGGCCGGCGACGACTCGACGTAGCCGAATCTGTTCATGATGACGGGCGGCAGGTTGGCGACGCCCGTTTCAGTGGTGCTGGCCTTGGCCTTGGCATCGGGCCGCGCAAACTCCTTGTTCTTATTGTCACGGTCCCAGTACGCCTCAACGGGGATGGATTTCGGGGGCAACGGCGTAGGCATGTTTTCGTAAGTTGCCGGGTACTGGGAATCGAGGTCGGCGTAGTGCTTGGCATAGTCACCTGTCAGGACCTTGGCCTCGCAGTAAGCCTCGCCCTTGAGCGCCTTGAAACGACCGATATACTGGTTGTAGTTTCCTTCGGTCTCGAGTTGATAGGCCTTCTTGCAGCCAACACAGCCCCTACCAGCAGCGTCGAAGTAGTCGGGGTGCTCGACGCACAGGCACTTGCGCTGCTCCTCCCACTTGGCCTGCTTATCTGCCAAGGGGGCGTTCGCATCCACCGGCTTGGCACAGTCGCGGTCCATTTCCATGGTGTAGCGGCAGGGGAAGTAAGTAGCGTTCCAACGGATGTTGGGGCCTGCAGGCGCGCAGTGGTCATCCTGGTATCCAGGAAAGGGGGCCAGGGTCGCGATATTGTCGGCCGGATAATTGTCGAGAGGCCCTTTGATGGGCTCCTGTGCAACAGCGCTCTGCAACGTGGCGGCGATGCCAACAACGATGGACAGTTTGGAGACCATTATGGCGGTTTTTAATATGCGGGAGAGAGCGAGAGACGAAACGAGTGTAACGGCCTAAGGGACCTAGGGCAACGACGAATTATTAGGTATGGATGGGGATAGAAGGGTGTAGGTAGGGGGCGATGGGCGTGCTTCTTCTTCCTTCAGAACAGGCGACGGAGTCCTGTATAAATAACTGCGTCGAGAGCCGACGCCAAGCTCTACCCGAGCCATGTCCCTGGCTTGCCCAGAATTGGCATTCGCCGGATAACAAGTGGGATGAGTCTTGGGCATATACCCTACAGTGCGGTTTGTACAGTGAGCTCCACAGCAAGGAGCGCGGCATGTACAGTGTGTGCTTGAAGTCTTCGTATTTACCTGTTAAATAACCTTGGTCCTCCACACGTACGAGTCGTGACAGCTGATAGGGGCCAAATTCCATGCTACCCTCATCTTATTCGAGGCTATGCTAAGCGCGGGTGGGGGAGAGGGGCAACATACGTTATGCCGGCGGGGATACCAGAGGCACAAGGGTCGTGCGTGAGGCCTCAAGCAGACTGGAGTCCAAAATGTCGAATGGGATAGAATCATCATCTTGCTCATTAAATAGTGAGTTACCTGGTTGGTCATCTCGTGACTGCCTCTCTGATGCGTCCAAGGTGGAAGGGAGGACAGGAGTCCACCAAGTAACAACGAGGGAGAATCGCGGTGCTGGAGGATTTTAGAGTCAACGTCAACCCGCCGCTGAATTGCCTCTTAGCATGACCATCTTGTGGGGCGCAATATTAAGAAAATTGCCACTTCTGTGGGAAAAGAAGTCGAAGCTGGGCCGGGCGGCTGTACGTTGCCAGTCATATGCGCCAGGATGCTGACTTCATTCAGCATTAACACAATGATAATGTACCATGCGCAAGGGCTGCTATAACGCTTGGCGGACGGTCGGCCAAGGAACTGTTGACCTACCTTACCAAGGTTTACAAGAATGCACGGGAGTTTTCCTTGTATACAAGAGTGTCAACCTTGATTAAGGCCCTGATCCACAACGCCTTAAAAAAAATAAGGCGGACGGGGTAAGAGACTTGCTCCACACAAAGTTAGCGCGAGATTTCCCAAGTACTATCTTACATCCTTGTCGGCTGCATTCCTCACCGCCTAGGTCCCCGCCGCGTGTTTTTCGTAGTATATAACGATCGTGACCGCATTTGTTGTATTAGATGAAGCTATCGCGATGCCTTCTTCGTTAGAAAGTTAGCCCGTTAAGGCTAGTTAACCTATTGAGGCCCGTTAGCCTAGCCAGCGATGGACCAAGCAATAGACCTTGAGGTTCCTCGAGTTGCTACTTGAAGCCCGCTACGATGGGCTCCTTAATAGCTCGAAGGCGGCCTTTGTGAAGCCAGTGTTTGAGTCATTCGTGCCGAAGCTTAAGATCGAATTTCCTCGCCGCCGCTAGAGCTTTAAGATGCTTGATAATAAGTATCGCAACCTGCTTTAGTTTTGGCGGGTATTCCGAGAGGCAGAGGATCTATTAGGCACTGTTTATGACCCTAAGAGTGGGAGGATCACGATAAGCAAGGCCAACGAGGATATATTGAAGGCGAAATTCCCTAATCTCGCGGGTTGGGTTATTAAGCAAGGCCTCTTAATTAACGAGGTTATTACCTTTAACTCGTGGGTTAAGATCTTTATGAACGACTTACCGGCCGGCTATATAGTTATTAAGGTTGATGACGATGCCGGCTTCCTTAATGCTAGCAGTTAGTATTAGCGACGGCAATCGGAATTAACTAACGAGGAAGAGGGGTCTTAGGCGCCCGACGAAGCGGCTGGTGATGATATTGATAATCCTTTTCGTGAGGAAACACCACGTCCGTTAGCACGCCTATCGGCACGAGCTTTTTAACGCCGCAACGAAGAAGGAGGCTCTTATTTTAATAGCTCGGTTATTCCGCTATCGGCAACTACTCTAAGATCGAGGCTTTCGTTAACTCTAAGCGGTTTATCGCTAAATCTAAGGCTAAGATAGTTAAAGAAGAGGAAAGGGCGGCAATAGTAGTAAATAGAGGAAATCGTTAGTCTTCTTACTAACCTTATAGCCTAAGGAGGCTAAACGAAGCAATATATGATCTCTATAAGGGTATAGGGCGTAGAGGATCTCGAAAAGGCTATCTAAGACTATATATAGCTTGCCGCCATAGAAGGTATATAGTTAATGCTAAAAGTTATAGCCTAGTTAAAGCAAGATCCTATAAATCCCCTCGTATAGAATTCCCTTAGTACGGGCGAGGCTAAGCGGGCGTAGGTTAAGGAGATAATTATAGTAGATTCGTATAATCTTAATAAGTAGTTATTTTTATAGTGTTAAGGCTATAAGTTATGCCTATAGGTGCGGCAGCCGTATACGGCTGCCCTTATCTTTTAATTCCTTCTTTATCTACAACACCACCCTAGGCCATATATAGGGCATTATTTTCATCGTCTTTATCGTCTTTATTGCCGTTATCGCTATTATCGCTCTTATCGCTCTTATCCGTATTATCTCTACGCTCTCGCCGGGCTAGAATAGTCTAGTATATCTCCTATAGCCAGCCAGAGATAAGCTCACGCATTTCACTGCCTATACGGCCTATAACGATAGAATCAGCTCGTGCGCGTGCCTTATTAAGGGCCTTAAGCTCCTAACTCGTTAGGCAAGCTTCTTCCTCTCTCTCTCTCTCTTCGTGGTCTTTCCTACCTATCTAGACGAAGTTAAAGAGCCCTATTACTGCGTATATAAGCTTAACCTAATTAACGAAGCTATATTCGGGCGCACTATACCGAATTATCTTCTACTTCCGCTTATAGCGACTAAAGACCTACTTAACCGTTATACGAAGCTAAGCGTGCCGTAGGTTAAAGATCTCGTAAGGATTCTCTGGCCTCTTACCTACCTCGGCCTAGTCGGTAAGATAATATCGTATATTGCCGTACGGTACGATTACGCCACGCCTTAAGCCGAACCTAGCATCGCTAAGGAAAAAACGGGCCCTTAGTAAAGTAAAGCTCTTTATAAGAGCAATCCGTAATAACGACGAGTCGTAGATAGAGCCCTTAGCGCCGGCAAGAATATAGCTAAAGAGGCCGTCGAAAGTAACTACCGCGAACATATTCTATAAGATATTATTCTTCCTTAACTAGAATCTCTTCTAACGAGCCCTAGGGACGAACGTAGGGATATATATGCCGTTAATAGCACCGATCGCGCCGTTAAATTGCATTAGCTTCTTATCGAGCTCTACGATCGGTAATATATATCCTAGCCCTAGCTAGCGAACGAAATTAGTATATAAACGCCTTATTAGATCGATTAATTAATAGAATACCCTTAAGACTAACGATTAACTTATTTAGAAGCGGTATACCGTGTTTCTTTAAGGTTCGTTATACGTATAAAGCTATAGGTATAAGAGTCTTTAACTATTATAGGTGATAGGCTTAGGCCGCGGCCTAAGCCGTATAGTCACGTGCAGAGGGCCGGATCCCGTAAGTATAGGGGCGGGCTAGCCGCGCATAGAAGAGCTCTGCATAGCTTATTAACATCATCCTACGGACAGCACCTACGCATACGCCTCTGCCTACTCCGTGATAGTATAAGCTATTAACTAATAGATTTAATAGATGTCTCCCCGGAAAGGGTGCCGCTTCCCTAAGGGAGCACCCCGCTACCCCCCGGGCGGATAGGAAGTATTGCAGCTATCCTAGAAGCGATTAGAAGCGCGACGGCTAGCGAGAAGAACGAGGTTCTCGCTATACTAAGGGAGCCGTCTACGAGACCAGCGTTAACCCCTACGACCTTAGCAACACCGGTTGCGGCGGCGGCACTACCGATACGGAAGCCGCTTCCCTAGCCGACTTAGGACGGCAAGCCTAAGTCCTTCTACTTCTTCCTTAGCCGGCTATAGACGAAGTTTATAATAGACGAGAAATAGGGCCTAAACGGCTGTCGTAATATAGCGTGGTATTCGCTCCTCTATACGCTGCCGGAGCCCTAGATACGGCGGATCTCCGGATTCTAGGATAAGGGCGGCCCTAGAGGTAGACGCGACCTATAAGACTTCTTCTAATACCTTATATATACGTTCGGCAACGTATAGGAGCGGGAGAAGGCGTAGGATAGGCTACGGACCCTTAAGTAGAGGGACAGGTAGACCTTTAGCGAATTCCTCCCCGACTTCGAAAAGACGCTCTTACGAGCAGCGGGAACCACGGTATAGGAAGATAGCGCGAAGCTTATATAGTTACGGAACTCGATTACGCCGGCCTTACTAGAGCTACTTATCCCTATAATTATACCTACTAACTACGGCGAGTACGTAAGCCGGTTAATAAAGGTAGCATAGGGCTACGAGTAGACGCCGCGTTTCTAGAAGCTTCGTAAGCGTACGCCGTATAGCGGTAACGGGATTACCGCCCCTCTATAAGAGGAATAGCCGACTATCGATACTAACGGAGATACCCTAATATCGGCTACCCGTACGGACCGAGCTAAACGCGGTAGGAAGTTATCTTCGAATATCCCCTATACTATCCCGCTCTCTAAGCAGCGGGCAAAGTAGGTAACGAGCGAGGAAATCGGGAAAAAGAAGGCTAACGGCCGCTGCCTACGTTGCGGCGCGTCTATATACTTTATATTAAAATGCCCCTTCCTTTTAGCTAAGCGGCCTATAGTAGTTCGAGTAGCGAAGATAGAACCGCTCCTTGCCTTAGACGACGAAGAGGACTCCGCTCCCTTAGGCCTAGAGGAAAAAGAGTAGCTCCGGAGCAAAGACAGGCTTTAGAGCCCTAATTACTAGCACTAGCAAAGGAGAAGGAGGAATTATCCGCCTATATAAAAGAGGAGCTTACTTTAATATAGGTTATAGTTAATAACTCTTTGCCCGTCGCCGCCTTTATAGACGAGGGCTATTAGTGCTACGCCGTAGTTAACGAGGCGCTTATATAAGAGATATAAGTGCCGGTAGAAAAGATCGCCCTAAGGCGAGTAAAGGGCGCCTTAGGCGCGATAGAGGGTACGGTAATTAGGGGTATTACGTGGCTAGCTATAGAGGTCGACGGTTACCGTAAGCTTATCGTAGCCTATATAATCCCCTAACTAAAGTTTCCCTTAATCCTCGGGAAACCCTAGTTATTATATATGGAGTTATACTCGGTTCTATACTAAAAGAAGCTATAGTTTAGGCCTATATAATAGTAGGTCCGCTATAACGACGGTTCCGTAGGCGTAGGACTAGGCGTATAAGCTTTATACTCGGTATAAGAAGTCCTTGCCTCTATCTTTATAGGAACCGTGCGACGGTTAGAGCGGGAGGAAGGCCGGGCAGCGGCTAACGTAGCGGTCTACGTAGTTAGCCTAGCGGACATCGATAAGGCCCTCCGGGCGAAGAAGCTAAAGTCGCCCTCTAAGCTATAGTAGTAGATACCGGAGCGCTTTTACGACCTCCTACCGCTATTCGAGTCCTAGGAAGCGGATAAGCTTAACCCGTATAAGCCGGGGGTAGACTATAAGATCGTACTCCGCACCGATAAAAAGGGGCAGGAACTGCCTATACCGTTTAGACCGCTATATAGTATATTATACGCGGAACTACTAGTGCTAAAGAAGACGCTAAGGGACCTCCTAGATAAGGGTTTTATTTAAGTAAGTAGCTCCGAAGTAGGAGCGCTAGTCCTATTCGTGCGTAAACTAAGGGGCGGGATACGGTTTTATTACGACTATAGGGCTCTAAACGTAATTACGAGGCCGGACCGCTACCCCTTGCCCTTAATCTTAGATACGCTCCGTAACCTTTTAAAGGCGAAGTAGTTTATAAAGCTAGATATAAAATAGGCGTTCTATAAGGTATAGATCTCGGAGGGTAATAAGTAGAAGACGGCGTTCTATATACGCTACGGCTTATTTAAGTAGCTTATAACGCCCTTTAGCCTCTTAAGAGCGCCTGCTACCTTCTAGCGTTATATTAATAACGTACTTCGGGACTTCCTTGACGAGTTCGCCTCTATATATATAGATAATATCCTTATCTATACGAGCGGCTCCTACGAGGACTATATATAGAAAGTACGGAGGGTCCTAGAGCGCCTCTAACTTTATAGGCTCTACCTTAACCCGGATAAGTGCGAATTCGGGGTTAAGAGGGTTAAGTACCTAGGCTTTATTATCTACGCCGGCGTAGGTATATAGGCGGATCCTATAAAGATCTAGGCGATTTAGGACTAGGCTACCCTAACTACGTAGATAGGCGTACGGAGCTTCCTTAGGTTCGCGAACTATTATAGGATATTTATTAAGGGCTTCTCCCGTATTATAATACCTTTAAATAAGATTACCGGGAAGCGGACCGCCTTTCGCTAGGGGCCTATATAGGAAGGAGCGTTCCGTACGCTTAAGGACCTATTCTCTTAAGCCCCGGTACTACTCTAGTAGGACTTCGACCGGTCTACGTTAGTTAAAGCGGACTATAGTAGCTAGGCACTTAGAGGAACGCTCTCCTAGGAGGTAGACGGGCGGAAGTAACCGGTAGCGTTCTACTCCTATAAGCTAACCCTAGCGGAGTAGAATTACGCTATTTACGATAAGGAGATACTAGCGATTATTAGCTACCTCGAGCAATAGTAAGCGGAGCTCCGGAGCTATAAGAGCTTCGAGGTTCTTATAGACTATAGGAACCTCGAGTACTTTATAACTCGCTAGCACCTCTCGGAGCGGTAAGCCCGCTAGGCGGAGTATCTCTTACGCTTTAACTTCTCGATTAAGTACCGGCTAAGGCGGGACTCCGTAGTCCTAGATACGCTTTCCCGGAGGGATTAGGACCAGCCGACGGGAGCGGATATCGAGGCCTAGGATCTATAGCTTATCCCGTAAGAAGCGCTATAGACTTATATAGGAGCTTCCTTAGTAGAGGAAGGCGCGGCGCTAATAGATAAGCCTTCCCCTATACCTTCGCCTCGGCCCGGCGAGGAGGGATAGACCGGCCTAGGGGCGCGTGCGGCGCGGGTGTTCTAAGATAAGGTCCTTTAGCGCTTATAGGATAGGATATCGTCTCTAGACCGCACCTACGAGAGCGTACGCCGCGCTATTAAGTCCGGCGCTCGACGCCTCGATCTAAAGCTAAAGCTAAAGGTATAAGTAGCCGACTATTATATCGACCTACGGGGGCACCTACGTTAGCGGGGGAGACTATAAGTGCCGGGCGCGCCGTATACTATAGAAGCTAGGGAGAAGGATAGACCGCCGGAGCTAGACGAACGGAACGAGCTCCGAGGGAAGCTAGTCTAGCTCGTCTATAACTCTAGTATCGTAGGCCACCTAGGTAGGCAGGGCATAGTAGTAGGCCTCGCGAGGGATTTCTACTAGCCCCTCCTATAGTACTACGTTCGCCGCTTCCTCCGTAACTACGATATCTACGGCCGTACTAAGATTTAAAGGGCGTAGCTTAAGGGGCTACTTAAGTAGCTTCTAGTACCTAACCGGTTCTATACGTATATATAGATAGACTTTATAACGGACCTCCTACTTATAAAGGGCGGCAACCGCTATATATAGGTAATTAAGGACCGACTTAGTAAGTCTATAGTATTAAAGCCGATGCCGTCTATAGATATAGAGTCCTACGTAGAGCGCTTCCTATAGTACTAGGCCCGCTCGTATAGCTAGCTAGCCTCTATTATAAGCGATAGGGGATCGAATTAGACTAGCCGCTTTTAGTAGCACCTATACTAACTACTTTAGATTACGTAGCTACTTAGCACGGTATATTACTTATAGACCGATAAAGGGCCCGAGAGGGTTAACTAAGAGGTATAGGCTTACCTATAGGCCGTCGTAGCCCGTAACTAAGTAGACTAGGACTATTAGCTCCCCGTAGCCTAACTTACGTTAAATAGTAGACTATATACCTCTATTAAGATAGCCCCTTTCTTTGCAACGTATAGCTTCGAACTACCCTTACTAGTTCCCTTTACCGTAGATATAGTAGTAGAGTAGTATAGTAATTCGTTACTAGAGGGCCGCGCCTCCGCGTTTATACGAAAGCTATAGGAGACTATAGATTATTACTAATCCGCGATAGCCGCCGCGGCGTAAGATTAAGAGCGGCACGCTAATAAGACTAGGGCCCTAGTAGATAGGTTTACGGTAGGAGATAAGGTATAGCTAGACCTCCGTAACTATAGGTCGGCACGGCTAAAGAAAAAGCTTAACTAGTTATATACGAAGTTTACGGTATAAAGGGTTATTAGCCCGTAAGTTATAGAGCTCGATAGTCTCCTAATAGGGGTCTATAATAAGATTAACGTAGACCTCCTTCGTAGAGCCTCCTTTAACCCGCTACCCGGATAAGAAGTAGCGGACGCTTAACCGCCCGTAATCGAGGTAGAGGGAGAGGACGAGTTTAAGGTCGAAGAGATATAGGCCGCGCGCTAGAAAAAGGTCGGTAAGGGGAAACGCTAAGAGGTCCTCGTTAAGTAGCGCGGGTATCTCGACCCTATATAGGAACCCGTACGTAAGTTTATAGGAACCGTAGCCCTCGATAAGTTTAAAGCCTTATTCGGAACGGTAAATAAGAACGATAGACTAACGGACTACCGATAGTAGCCCGGGCTAAGACTATAAAGTAAGTATAGTAAAGGGGGCAGTTACGGTAATATAGGCAATATAAGCGTAATAGTATAAGCGGAGATAAAAATAGCGTTTATTATAAGGCGGAGCCCTTAGACTACCCGGGCCTATTCCTTATCGTTATTATTATTATTATCTTCGTTATCGTCGTCCTCGTCGGCCTCCTCCTTCTTATTAGCGGCGGCGGCGGTCTCTAGGGCGCTAAGGCGGCCCTCTAAGCCCGTAAGCTAGTCGGCGGCGGCGGCGGCTCCGGGGGTAGAGGGGCGGCGGCTAGCGGCGGCGGCAGGGGCAGCGGCGGGAGCGGAGGCGGCACGGCTAAGGGACCGCCGATAGGGCGACGGAGGCAGTGTCCCTAGCGCCGGGTGCGTTAGAGGCGGAAATAAGGGAGCGAAGGAGTAGGACTTACTTAGGCATAAGGCCCTATCGCTCGAGGGCGCGGAGGTTACGGTAGGCGGCGGCGGCGGCGGTAAGGCGCTTCTTAGCAGCCCCCCGCGCCTACCTATACGAGCCGGCCTTCTAAGCCAACGCCGCAGCGAGTAGGACGGGAGGCGCCGCCTTATAGGCGCGGCCGGCTCGCGCGCACTGGTAGCAGCTGCCGCCGCGGCGGCGCCCGGCCTAGTCGGAGCAGTCGAGCTCCTGCGACGCACAACGTATATAGGGGGCCGAGCGGGCGGCGCCGGCCTACACTTAGCGCTTATGCTATAGGAGGTTAGCGGACAACGTCTATTACGCTTGCCTAACTACGGACTTACGTGGGTGGCGGAGACGGAGGCGGGGGCCGAGGGGCCGGGCGTCACGGGTGGCGGCGGGGACGGCGTCGTTACCCTAAGGGGCGACGTAAGAGCGAATAGCGTAGCAGAGGCGGCGGCGGCGGCGGTAGGAGCGGTGGCAGCGGCGCGGGCAAGAGCGGCGGCAGCGGCGGAGTCGTCGTCGGCCGCGGCTAGCACGGCGTCGACGAACGACTCCGCACGCTCCGAGAAGGAGGAGGTGGGAGAGGGAGAGGCGGATATATCTATCGCGGAAGTTAGCACGACGGAATACGGCCTCCCGCTCTATAAGGCGCGGAACTTACTAGTTAGAGTTATTATTATTATTAGGGCTATTATTGCTACTGCCGCTGCTACTGCGAGCACACGTTAATAGAGCGGCCCGTATAGCTAGGAACGGACTAACGCCCCGGGTAGAGCGGAACTTACCTATTAATGCTACTACTACGGTTAAAGAAGGGAGAGAAGGAAGGGAAGGGGGAAGGGGGGGATGCCGCCTTATATACCCCTTAGTAGAGGATGCTGCCTAAGGTAGAGGGGACGGGCAACCTAAGGCTTACGTAGGTCTAGACTAGCCGCCGGCTACCTAGGGGCGCATATAATAGGTTACGCCCCTATTTAAACGGCTAGCCGGCCGACGAGTATAGAGCCGGGTCCCGGCTGCCCGGGCTAACGGGCGCGGGGACAATAGGGCTAGTAGGGCCGGCCCTATTAACGGGAAAGGGCGGGGAAGAGCCCGCGGCACGGGCCTAATTATGCGGGAGCCGTTAATAGGGTAGCGCTGCGCCGCGCTCGAGGGAGGGCATTGTATAAGAGTCTTTGACTATTGTGGGTGATAGGCTTAGGCCGCGGCCCAAGCCGTGTAGTCACGTGCGGAGGGCCGGATCCCGTAAGTATGGGGGCGGGCCAGCCGCGCATAGAAGAGCTCTATATAGCTTGTTAACATTATCCTACGGACGGCACCTGCACACACGCCTCTGCCTACTCCGTGATAATAGGAACACTAGTATCTTCTGCTCTACTATCTAATGCCTCGAGGCCTTAATACTAGTATTAAGGCGGAGCCATCTATAGAGGCGGCAAAAGACAGCTTTTAGCATACGAAAGAGATCGTTGAATATAAGGTTTGGTGCCGCAAGGAGCCATTGACAGTGTGCCCGAGATAGCTGGGGGGAAGCTCGAGAGATACCCACGATAGCCTCATTTTCCCCCTCCCCGCCTTCCTCGTCCACAAAGCCACTAGCTACAAAAGTCTATGCTAGAGCTAACGTAGCTATAGCTTGCCTTATTAGGGCATCGTTAGCTTCATCTTCGAGGGCTAAGCGGCCGTGGAAATCGCCTAGCAGCGAAGAAGTCATCGTTGTGACTGTACCGGCCGACCGACCGACGAACGCCTCAAACATTGACATAGGAGGCCTGGAATTATTTCAGGCGCCGCACGCGCCTGAAATAATTCCAGGCCTCCCACGGCAGAATTCGACCTTTTCCTTGGCATCTTTCCCCTTTGTAGGCATTTACGCGGCCCCTACTAGCTCGATACATTATAAACAGGGGTGGACATGCAGCTAGGGGAGGAGGAGTTCGAATTCTTTAATTTACACCGAAAAACGCTACTAATCGGGGTGCAGTTACTCTTTTATCCGAGGTGCATGTCCGCCTTATTTTTTTTAAGGCGTTGTGGATCAGGGCCTAAGTCGTGTGACATTATGCACGCAAGGCCAAAGTAGAGGGCGCACTCGGACAGATGGTAATTACCGCAAATGACTGTTGTTGTCACGGGCGAGCGTGCGCAACAAGACCAATGGGTAGGAACCACCGGGGGGCTTAACACCTTCGGGGGCGCCTACCAGTGACGGAAGCATCCTCGATGCCCATCGAGGATGCTTCCGGAGGCACCGATGCAGCAGAGGAAGTCAGTCACGCACGGTCCCGGATATCTATTTCCGGCCTGTTTAGTAGGGAGTCCTATTGGTCCCCACACATAACATACACGTGTATAGCTACAATAATATAAAATTGGGGCTTAATCGTTATGTTGCTGGTGGTAGGACTTGGGCTGCAGGGGGAGGGTTGTTATTGACCGTGGTGTTTGTCGTGTTGTTGTGGTATTGCGATGGCGACAGTCGGTATATAGTATGATTATTATATGCAAGCTAAGAAGAGCATGAATGAGCATTACGGCTAGGTACCATAGTCGAGTACTGACTGTCTGCACTGTACGTGGACAACCCGACCGTGCGTACGGAGTACTCCGTAGTACAGGTACAAGGATACTCGAGTTTACTAGGTACCTATCTTACTTAGGTAAGCCCCCGCTACGTGATTCCTTTACGTCAGCGCACCCAACCGTAGGTACACCCCGCCGCATTTCAACATCAAGTGGATGTCACAGGTCCGGCTTTGGTGGGCGGTCAGCGGATTACCCCGCAGATTACCGCCGATTACCCGCTTGCCCTTGACATCACCTCTGCCGGGTTGATGTCATCTTCGGAGCGCCATAAAGCGCGAAAGCCGGGACCGACGACGACAAAACCAGTTCGACTGGATAGCCTGCGTTTGTGCGATCAGAATGCACCCTGTCTAAGGTCCTACATCCTGTCGGTTGCGAGGTTGCGGTGATTTGAAGCATTTTCTAGCCTTGACGCGCTGGAGCTACAGCGGCGCTTAGCGGATGCATACCCTGTCTACAGGCCACTACCGCTGACTGTAGCGACGCAGCCCCTGACGGCCTGGGGGCACTTTCGCCGCCAAGGTCCTCGTCATTCTATCAGACGGGTGTTCAAAATCACTGCGCCATCGACTTTTCGCTACCACCGACGTTGAATTGCCCCGACGCACGTTTGTGTCCCTTTTTCGCCTTGCCTGTCCTTTCGGATGGCCTTGAACAACTTATCCAAAGAGCTGGGTCCACGTTCTTCGTCCATTTGCCTCGCCACGATATCTTCAGTTAAGCCGTCCGACTGGGCCCGCCTCCGAACCTCATCGACGATGATCTTGCGCGTGGAAAAGTAATTCTTCTCTGCAGATGGCCGCCATCGAGCACCCCAGTCTCGCTCAAGAGAATCCACAGAAGGCATTTCGCCCCAGCCCTGCCGCCAGAGACGCAGCAGCTCCTGTACAGATTTGACAGAACGGGGAGCTTAGCTCGGAGGTTCGCGCGGCCCAGGCGGCTCGCCATGCGCTCTTCCCTGGGGCTTGCCTGGCCCGCTTGCACCATTCCCTGCTGCTGCTCTAGAGAGCGGAGCGTATGTCGGACCGCCCGCTTGCGAAGGGCCTATCTCGGACCTGAGGACCGTCTCTCGTGGAGCGCGGCGCCTCTGTTGATGAGCTCCCGCGATCTCCGCATGTTGACCTGCAGCACCTTGGCCGGGGCTGAAGGTGACGGTGTAGGTGGCCTGCGCAAACTCATCCAACTTTGTGCATAGTTCGTAAGAAGCCCCCAAAAGGTCTAGATGTCTTCGCTCAGCTAACTGCTCGGCTGCGACCTGTTGAGTCAGTACTGTGCGCAGCTTCTCCGCAACCACCGGGATCGCTTTTGAATGACCGTGGTATGGCTGTCTTCGTGGTCCCGTGTGCATGTGTCTTGAACTTTGCTGGCGAACGCTTCAAACTCGGGGCAAGAGAAGACCGGATCCTGAAAGATAGGATGGTCGGGGTAGGACTCGCGAAGGAAGACAGCGTCCTGCAGGAGCACCTCTCGAAGCCACTCCAGGAGTTCCAAGAAGGCGCCGGCGGCCATGTTCTGCTCCACCCCAGATCTGAGAAAGGGCTACTGTGGGCCTCTTTCCATTTGTCGAGTTGAGGCCAGACCTGCACGAGTAGCACCACAGGCGGCCTCACGGTGGCCCGGGCACGAAATAAGACCCCGACCATTCAGGGTCAAAGTCGGCCACGGCCCTCATGAATTCGAAAGGCAGGAAGTCAGATAGCAGCCGGTCATTTGGTCTCCGTTATTCCAACGACCGGCTCGGCGGATCTGTATAGTTCGGGTCAGCCCAGGCCAGGGGGTTGGCGGCTTGCCTAGGGCAGATGACATGCCTGGCCTTCATCCACTCCGGCCATGTCGGCGTTTTGCGTCGCCGCCACTCTAGGCGCGTGGCTGACCTTGGAGACCTTGATGCCGGCCTTCTTGTAGAACCTGGACGTCCATTCTCGGGCAGTCTGGCCCGACAACGGAGCTGTATATTCGGTGAGTGAAAGGGTCGATGCACCCTCTGAGTTATGGGATTCCGGTGAATGCCATCACGCTTACCTTGAGGCTCCTTCGCCGATCGGCGGAGCACCTTCGTTTCATACCAGTCTTCGCTTCTTTGGAAGACGGGAAACCTTTCCGCCTTTTCTACCTGCCAGCGCCAGAAAAGCCAGAACGCGAGGGCGCCGATGAGACAAGATCGCGGATCTCGATGCCGCAAAGCAGATCCATACTCCATGCGGCCGTGCTGGTTGGTCTTCCCACAGTTCATCACGACAACCAGCGCCTTTGTGGTATACCCCTGGGCCTTGAAGCCCTCGTTGGGTAAGTCCAGGGGAAAGCAGTCTGCCAACTCCATCGGCAGGCGGTTGCCGGACCGCAGCAGCATGTGGTTCCCGAGCAGAAAGTCCACCTGCGTCCTCAGGGCGCAGGCGATCTCTCTCTCGGACCATGCCACGTTGGTGTGGTCGGGTATCTGCGCCGGCGCATACACATCTCTCAGAGTTCCAACTCCCTGTCCATGTATTCCTTCCTCTTCCGGCTCCAAGTCGTTGCAAGAATGCTGCGTTTGAGCGCCTTCAGTGCCACTCCTGTGGCCGGGCCGCAGGATTGACTCCCGGCTCTTCTGCTCGTCGTAAAGCTTCTGTATGGCCGAGACGTAGCCCCGTACAGTATTATACTGTAGTTTGAGCGTGGACTCATACAACTCCAAGTCGGAGTCTGACTCGTATTCGCTACCTCCGCCGCCTACAACGATGGTATCTGCTGGGGGAAGCTGGGTGTTAGTATGATGGGCTGGCTCAGTCCGACGACCACATCCCGTGATCAACATCTGTTACCTGATGGTGCTCTGCGTCTTTTCACGGCCCTCTTGGCTTCCTGAGCCTCGAGGTGTCGTTTTCTTTCATCGGCGACCCTCTTTCCTTTCTTTGGAGGACGTGATGCCACTACCTCCTTCATGAAGAGCAAGAGCTTTCCTTCATCGACCAGGTCTCCCGGTAGCTGTTGGCCCTGTGGTACCGAGGCCGGCCAAACGTCCGGGATCGCAGGCCAGTTGGCTTGACACCACTCCTGTGAGGCGGTCAATGCATGGATCTACATGAAGATTGCAGGGCGCGCATGCGGGCTTGCCTTCCATTCTTCCTGCTTGGGACGATAATTTCGCTTCGTATTCTTCGGCTGGGTGTTCTCCAGATCTAACAGGTAGTGCTCAATGGCCGCCCTGACCCGGGGATCCTCTATCGCGTTCGACATGGTGCAGGCGGTCGCCGTCGCGACGGTGGCAATGGAGGAGGTGGAGGAGGAGGTGGGAGGAGGGAGGTGGAGCGCAACGCGCGTGAGCGAGACCGAAATCGAAGGTCTCGCGCAGGCCCCGCGGGCGTGGACCTTCGATTTTGCCGTCCGATGGCGGTAATCCGACTAAGAAAACGCCAGCCCCGCAGGGCCGGGCCTTCGAAAACGACATGGTTTTGCGTGGGGCGGGGCGGTAATCCGATTACCGGATGACCGGTCAGCCGGCCCCGGGACCTGTGACACCACGATATTTCATTTTGGTGTTGCTAGCCACTCCAGCTGCCAGCTATTGCAGAGCGCCTCACATGCTGCATTCTGATTGCCTATGGCGGCGGCAGCCGGCTCAAGCGTGCGCTCGAGCTGCTTCCTTGTCTTCATGACTTGTTCAATCCGTACGAACCGCCCGTTGGGATCTTGAGGCACTTTTTTCTGCTTTTGCGGACGTAGACGATGTAACGAATGCTCCAGCTGCTGTATTCGAGGAATTGCCTGTACAGCCGGCAGCTTGAGAGATTAGAACCGTTCTTTGATCCGGGCCACAGAGGCGCCGTTGACACGGGCAGATTCAAGAGCTTTACCTTTGATCGTGCTGACCTCTGGGTTTCGGGCTAAAAAGCCCGAAACCCAGTTTATCCCAAGCGGGCGGGGGTCGCCGCCGGCGATGAGGATCCGGCCAGCGAATTCCTTGAGTTGATGATGCGTTGGAGGCAGCCCAAGGGCGGCCTGGGCAAGAACCCAGTCACAGAGGTGTTTTTCCTGCTCCTGGCTGAGCCTTTGATATGCTTCTTTTGCCTCTTTCATGGGCAGGGCTCCTTTAAGGCGCGATTGAAGTGTTGTCCTTGGAATACCCCACTTGCGACTAGCACAGAGTTGAGGCATGCCATTCTTAATAGCAACGAGCGCTTCCTGGAGCTGGTTTTCGGTATATTTAGAAATATGAGGCATTGCTCATGCAATTGATACGTATTTTATAATTATGGGCCAAGAATGGCACGAGAAAACGCGGTCACGATGTGGTGGGTAGTCGACGCGATGGTGATGTGGGGAGGTGCCGAGGGTTGCGTGTGCCCAAGGTTGGGGGAGCTGACTTATACGGCAGTGCTTACTAGGTTAGGTTAATCGTTTTAGTACCAGCTTAGGAGCTAGGGTTAGTTAGGCCACACAAGTCGCCCAAGGGGAGTCTGCTCCATCAGCCTCCCAGATATGGACAAGCAATGCCAGACATGTTATGTCATGTTCGACGTGAGGTACCAAGTAAGTATGTTTTATTCTATACGAGCATGCACGGACAGTCTTCTCCAGGCTGAGGTGAACTGGCTTTTTGACCAGCTAGCTACGGAGTACAGGAAGCTTAGCTTCATTTATCCGCGCCCAACATCGCGTACCCTAGAGTCAGACATATCGTCCATCCTGCGAGCATTGTAACAGTTGGCCCCGATTCGAGAACAATTCCGATGCTGGGGATGCACGAAGCACCTTCCTTATTGCCTCGATCTTGATAGATATGACCATTTGTCGGTCGACAGGACAATATGCTGTAGTCCTCATTTCACCAAGACGTTACTAATCATGATCCAAATACTCTCAAAGTATAGTCACCAGGAATAACTTGAACGTCCATATGAACCACATCTTATTGAAGACAATTTATACCAGATAATGAAAGCCAAAGCTACAGGAAATCTTGCAAAGGCAAACTTACCAAGTATTCATCTCTACTGCCTGTTTCTTAGAAATCAATTCGCGCATGCGACCTACGATGCCATCAAGGTTGGCGGTATCGAACCTCTGTTATACCACGCCACCCTCGCCCGCTTTTAGGTGGCCGAATAACGGGGAGTGGGTGGCTTGTTAAGAGACCCCTTGATTGAGGGGGTTCCACACTTGCGAGTGGCCACTGGGGTTGACAGTCCGGGGACTTCGGAGTAGGCGAAACCACAACAAAACAAGCGTGCAATTATGCTGCCAGATTGCCGATTAGGTATCAGCCCCATGAGTGCACCCAGCTGGTTCAAGCATGCATGTTCCATTGGCGCAGTGCCTATCAGGGCCCGTCACCGTCACCACCTTGTGCAGCATGGCTCTGCAACCGAGACATCCATCTCGCAAGTTCCCTCATCAAGGCCAGATCAGCACACACGGGCACGCCACTGAGTTATACACGTCTTAGGTTTTAACTAACATCTTAATTCCAGCCCCGTTGTATCTCGGCGTTACTCGGACGCAAATAGCATGTCTTGCGAGTGAGAACGCTGAAAAGGGAGACACGGCTCGTTTTTGGGCTTCTCCGCGCCTGAAGTTCACGGTGTAAAGACGTCCCGTATTACCCCCGTCGGCTCGTAATGGCAGCGCTCAGCTGCTGTCGATTTATACCGCGAGATGCGAGACGTTCCAAACATCGGCATTGGGGGGGGGGGGATGGAATTGGATTCCAGCAACCCGACACAGCCAACAGAGATGGCCAGTCGACTGTCTATGGAGGGCAATGGATAGATAAATATATAACGCCGATGACCCGGCCGCCCCGCCCTCTTAGGTTACTACAAGGCCGATTAAACACGACAACTAACGCGAACTACAGCTTCTAAACATCACTTACGCGTACAGACACCACCGTGACAATGAAGTCCTCCATAATCGCCATGACCCTCTTCGCTGGCATCAGCCTCGCCAAACCATTGATCTTCGACAAGCGAAGCTCGTGCCAGCTGGGCAGTATCGGCCCCGCAAACGCTGGTAACGCTGCGTGCAGTCTCTCTGTGAGTCAACCGTCCTCTCGCCAGGCGGGGTTTTCCATCTAAATCCGCGAATTAACATGTTTACGCATGCTAACCTGGCATTACTTCATAGTGCTTGGTCCAGCACGGGGACTTCCACGGCGGACACTGTAATGCCGACGCGTAGGTGTTGCCCTTGAGTCTTGACACGACTGACCATGTCCGACTGGGGTCTTGGTTCTTGAGTCTAACAATCACCTAGGGTCTGTGTCTGCAACTAAGTCTGTTTTCGACCGTCTGGGAACAACGTGCAATTAATAATTGGGTCCCCGATTTGAAATTGGCTTAATGGCCTTGCCCGGCATAATAAAAGGGTACTCTAGTCTTCAGACGCGTCCAAGGACACCTCTTCTACATTCAGATTCTGTATCTCCTTCTCCAGTTGAGGCCTAAGTAGATACCCATAGCTAAGCGGAAGAAAGTTTAAGAGGCGACAGTTTGGGGATCTACGATAAATATAGCTTCGTGTATTAACCCGGCCGGTGGGGGCTCCCATCTTAGTTATCTTTGCTAGTAAGCAAAAGTATTATTGCTAATACACAACGCTTCCATTGGGTGCAATCCTTACCAATCACTTGCTTATTCCCTCCGCACTGCCAAAGGAATCGCGTGAACCGAGGGCAATGCGCTGTGGGTTGCCGAATGCTACATGACAAAATGCCTGAATGACTCCCTGTGGCTCATTTGCGCGTTGGGATTTGGGACATCGTCACGGCAGGGCGTAGTTGCCCCAGACGTGCCTACAGGCAACAGTGCCGAAGAGACGGAAAGGTTGGGAATTTTTTTCAGGGCAGACGGACCCTTGCCAGGGGTCAGCCGAGTGTAATGGGCAGGGCCCAAGTTGCGGCCCCCGTGGAATTCTCAACGTCGTAATCCAACCCAGAAGTGCTTTCTCACGACTCACCTGCCGCCGAACCTGCTCCGTACTTACCCGTAGCCGACTAGATGCCTCTCTGGATAGGTAACTCAGGTCTCGATATCGAATCAAACCGACAGCTTTGCAAGCACACAGCAAGACTGTAACTTCGTATAGTTCAAGCACATGCGCCATGTGACTGCAGAGGTGGGCATGGAGTGGATGGAACAAGTACACAGGGTCAGTGCAACCCATGCAAACTTGGGATATGCTGTGTCCGGCGCAAGTCTTGACATCACTTATCCACATTTGCCGTTAGCTTGGTTTCTTCGCGAGAGAACCAAAATTCTAGCTCGCCCTGCATTGCAAAGCACGTCCAGCCTTGCTTATCGTGACCATGCTCAGATCTATCAGTGCTCTTGACGAATGTTGTCTGCAGCGAGCCCGCGGATCTGGGGCGGGCCCGGACTTGGCGACGAAAGCATATGCGAGCCGGTTTTGCATAGTTTTCAACCGAGTCCACGTCTAGCCGACATTGTCCAACTGCCCGTTTCGAGCCGTTGTTGTATTCCAACAGAATACCCATGCAGAGCCCGGTTTGCTCATCCTTGAAGACGCTAACACGGCTGACTCTTCCCAAGGGAGCCCAGGAGAAACAAGCGTTCGGGAATGGAGCATTGCCGACAAGCGGGTGGCAGAACCGAGTCGTCGGTAACCTATCATCCGTCTCCGTTGTCAAGGTGCCAATCACGGTAACGGGTTGCAACTCAAGAGCGTCGTATATGAGTGTCGATGGAGATGACCCGTTTAGCAACAGGTCCCTTGCTCGTTCCGAGGATGTAAGGCCGACTGGCACATCACCGCCCAGTTTCATACGGAACTGAAGCAATCAGTCTTTGATGGCATGGGAAGTTTTGCGGCGAACAAGACTCACAAGCAGGCAGGTGCTTGAAAAGGGGCTCCCGTCGGAGGGTGACATTCGCGCACCCAGAGCAGAGATGCTATCTTTTTGCGAAATCGGGACATAAACCCAGATGATTGATTGTTGGCGTCGGCGAGACAAGCGTCGATATGTCGAGTGGGCACAAGGCGCTTCCCATGTATGAGCATGGATGGCATAAATCTCGCCATAGCTGAAGAAGAAGGTGATGCCAGTCGTCTCGCTCAAGTTGATCGTTCTGAACTGGGTGGAGCTGGTGATGGCTGCTGGATAGAAAACGCATTGTCCCAAGTCGGGGGGCGTTGGCGTATCCCAAGTCTGGAGCCCGTGGCAGCCTTTGGGCAACTCCAAGCGCAAGAGTCCAAACTAGGGCAGCATCTGCGTAAATATGGAAACGGATCAAGGAATCGCCAGGAGGGCGAGTGACGTACCTTGAAATGTGCCATGACGCCTTCGAGGCATGTATGGTCCAGAATGACGAAAACGAGGCCATTGGTGCGCCATCTTTGGAAGCGAGGACGCTCAGGCAGGTTTTCGACTTTCTTGATTCCCCGCGAGTCGATGGTCAAACGAATGACGGACCGTTGGTGGAGGACTTTGGTGATGATCGGTCGAGCACTGCGATTCCATTCCGAGACTGTGCACAGGGGGATAGACAAGGGCTGAGGCGATGAAACAGCTGCAGACAGTCGCCGCGCAACCTCGGACGCTGCGTTATACCGCCAGAATAGGCATGTCGCCGAGTACCGATAAATCATGTGCAGGACTTCCGGGGGAACCAGCCTCATTCTGGGTGTGCCGAGATGGTGAAGCATCGAGACATCTGCTACGACAGACATTTCTTCGAAGTGAAAATTGGGAGCTTGACGCCACGGATTCCGCCAGGCGGTGACAGCCCACAAGTGATCTGGGTGGTCGTCCAAGCTACACCGATGGGCCACGAAGTCGAAGCAATCCGAGTGGATAGTCGAGATCTCATCCAAGGCAGCACAGGTGCCACAGCCCGGCTTTCGACATAGGGAGGTGCGGCTCTTGCCCGGAGGACGATGGCCGTAGCCAGGGAAAACGAAAGGGCCTTGGCGGTGAGAATAGGCCGTCGAGTCGGTGCTGCCGACGACTAGCGATTTTGTACTGTGTTAGCAGCAGGAACTTGTCCAAGGGATTGATAGACTTGCGCAAAATGATTCGTTCAGCGACCTCGACTTCGCTGCGACAGATGCCGCAATGCGTCCGTAGGCCGGCATGACTCAGGCCTTTCTCGAGAGCCTCCATGACCAGGTTTGTTGCTTCTCAAATTTAGAGTCGCTAGCCGTGATATAGGGAGAGCGGCTCAAGCAGGGGCCGCTGTTGCAGGTTCATAATCGCGGCCGAAGGTCGTGTCGAGTCGTCAAGACGTTACGTGAAGACAGGCCTGGCGCGCAATCGTAGGCTAAGCGAAATCGTTGGTAAGGGCAGTCAGTCAATGGAGTTTTGTCAGCACGAAGCCTGACTAATACGTAGCCCTCCACCACAAGTGAGGCTGTCTACGCCGACGCCACCGTGCGAACAGCGGGACGGCCGTCCGTCAATGGTTCACTTCTCTGGAGGAATGGCCAAGGCCTTCTTAGCAATGCCCAGCAACACTTCACAGCACATCCGCCCTGAACGCCGGCCAGAACCTCTCCTCTGCGTCCTGCTTTAGTGCCTGAAGAGAGGTGAAAGGCTTCAACATGGCCGGCTCCGTACGCGTGTCTCCAATCTGTTGGAAACACCATCTCCTGGCACGACTACCCGTATCAATCCAGAGAATTCCAACGCGACAGGCACTGTTTTAAACTTGTCACGACGAGGCTATACCGGTGCAATATATCCTAATGCTATATCCCAATGCTATAGAGCAGTGTCATATTCATCCACGCCACGCAGCACTCACTACATGTGCATTCTTTCAATTTGATATCTCCCAGGAGTATCTCGATGACTTCGAGTCCGACAGGCCTACGTCGTTCCTATTTGTGAACTCGACCCGTATGTTTGATCTCGGTTCCAGGAGCCACAGGGAGCATGTGGTGTCGAATTTACGGGACATTATGCAACTAGAATCTCGTGTGTCTGCCAGACGAGCAACAGTTGAATATCTCACCAGACCAGCGAGATATATGATTGATGAATGATAAACGTCTTGCAAATGCACGCGGGTGATGAGCCCAGCGTGTCTCGGGTTGCCCGTCTCCGCGCCATGTGCTGCTCACGACGTGACTGGTATATAGTTTTCCGTCATGCCTCCAGTCCGTGACCAACGTCTGTCCGTCCGCTACATGCTGCGTCTTTGGGGCCGCTGTTCTGCAAGGCGTAGAAAATTATGGCTACGACCCGTCGGGGGGACTGGGGCCTGCTCACTCCTCCAAAGACAGCAAGTTGGCACAGGTTTAAACCCTTGGTCTGTCTGATAGTTGACAATCTTCAGAGAACCAAATCGGCCTGTCAATGCCAAGTCTCGGTGCTTAACTCGAGCGTTGTAATCGCCCCGAGGACAAAAAGCTCGTTGAACCTCGTGAAATACTATTCATCCACCAGCCCAGAGAATCCCCTTTCTTAGGGCAGCCGCGGTGACTGCAACAAGCGTCGGTCAAGTCAAGTCCATGCTCGGGTGTTCGTATCTGTAGAAACGCAACAGCGCCCAACTCCTCGCGTGCGTGATTGGCGCGAACAACTGGCCATATTCCCACGGCAACCAACCCTGGGCAGGCGGACAGCCTGGGCAGCTGGCACACACAGGCCAGAAAGGCAAACCTGATTTTTGAGGCAGGCCTGCCCAGTCATGAATCAAATCACGCGCCCCGTGACGGTAGCCCAAAACTTCCTCCACCCTTCTCGCCTGTTGACAACTTCTGCCCGCCCTTTGTGTTTGCCGCCTTCAACCACGCTCACTCGCAGCCGCCGTCTTCCACTGCTAAACCGCAGACTGCCTTGTAACAGACGACGACTTCATCTCTCTTGTTGCTTTTCCCTTTCAACTCGAGTAAGAGGCAAAAACCTGCTGTTTGCTTCCTCGCCTCCTGCTAACTCAACTCCCAGTTTTCAGCATCGCGAGACTGTTTCTCCGAATTCATCATGAGACGCCAGAAACGGGGACGAAAGCAGGCCGTCGCCGCCGTGCAGCTGCCACGATACCACCTTCTCAGGATGCCGGCGGAGATAATTCTCCTTTGCGCGGAACTTGTTCGCCCACCCGCTTCTCATGACCCTTCACTCCCATGTTTCCTCTGCCGCCAACGGAAACCATGGCTAACCCCCAACAGCTGGGCATGCGAGACCTGGTATCTCTCTCGCAGGTATGCAAGATGATTCGTGCCGTCGTCGAGAGGATGCTCTGGCACACTCTCGTGGTCCGGCCAGTCGTCCCCAGCAGCATCAACTGCATCCCGGCTGCCATCCCCCGCGGCATTCCCGTCCGCTTCGTCCGGCACCTTCATTTTCGTGCCGGCGACGAGCTGCTCGAAGAGCCTCGCTGCGTTCACTGGGATCCATGCCCCCAGCGGACGGGCGTGAGCAAGTTCAAGATTGAGCCCAAGAGCTTCTTCTGGGCCCGCCTCGAGGAGCTCGGGTCGAGAGCCATTGGCATAGTCGATCGCATCAGGCGCGGACAGCTCAGGAGCTTCAGGTAGCTCTCGATTCTTCGGGCCTATTCCTCGGTGAGATTTTGCTGACGCCTTGGGGGTTTGTGCCGCAGTTGGGAAATGGGGGCATGCTTGCCCGAGGCAGTCTTGCAGCAGCTCGCCTCCACGCAGTCTCAGATCACCTCGTTGAAGCTGGTGACCGACGGCCGCTGCGATAGGTGGCCGGAAGCAAGCCTGATCTATGCCAAGAGATTCCGCGATCTCGAGAGCTTCTGCTGGACCGGTCCTCCCGACCTTTCCACTCTCGCAGAGTTTCTGGGCCCGCGTGAGAAGCCCGTGGGTGGCGGTAAAAGCATCCAGGTTGCCAGCGGGCTGCATGCTCTCGAGCTCGACTGGACCACCAAGGACATCTACAGCCGAGCCAAGAAGTGCTCCCACAGGTCCTTTGATCGCCACGTCTGGATCAACCCCCCTCACTGGCCCGATCCGCCCATCAATGCCTTGCCCTCGTTTCGAATGTCGCAGCTGCAGGTTCTCTGCCTGTCCAAGGTGCCCATCGCCCGCGACACGTTCTGGCGCATCTTGGACCTCCAGACTCTTCAGTCGCTCACGATTCGAGACTGCTCTCGCTGGATGCAGGCCATGGGCCACGCCATCGACAACGGAGCTACCCGCTTCACGCTGCAGACGCTCGAGCTCAAAAGCTCGGGCGACAGCTGGATCAACAATGACGACAACGAGGACCAGTGCAAGTGGCTCAAGTTCCTCGGCTTGATCGACCATGTCGACGAGCTTTACCTTGCCATCGAGGTGACTACCGCCCCGGTGATTCGCAAGTTCTGGAAACTCTTCGACAAGCTCGGCGACATGGCCTCCTCGCACGTGCTGCATTACCGTGAAAACACGCGCGCCGACTGGCTTGAGGACGCGCTCGACGTCAGGGACCTGGGCATGTCGAACGGTAAACAGCGCCTCTTGTTCCAGCCCTTTGTCAACTCGAGCGTCGAGAGTCTCGGTATCTGCTGTGACCCGCATCATCTGGTGAGTTGAAAACATGGCCCGCCCCGGCTGGGCGAACGCAGGCTAACCACGCACTCTAGAAACTCGTCTTGAAGCCGTTTGCGCGCAAAAGCACGTTGAAGTTCCTCCACGTCCGTCAGACGTTCAGAGACTTGGACGAGGTCAACTCGTGGGGCATTCGCACGAACCTCCCCTGGATCCACGCGCCCGAGGTGCCCTGCTCCAAGCTCCTGGAGAAGGCCTTTTTCGAGTTTGCCCAGTGGGCGTTTGGCTCGCGCGGCATATTGTCGCTTGACGTGCTGGCCTTTGGCGACTTTGGCTTCAGCGACGCGCTCGAGGATCACAACTATCTCCTGTTCCGGTGCGCAGAGTCCAAATGGGGCTTCCGCCTCATCGGCGTCGAGGACGAAGAGGGAGTGCTCGTCATCAACGAGAATCGCCGTCTGCTGATGTCGTGTCCGGTCATGCCATACATGCCGAGCGCCGCAGAGATGGAAAGGGAGCGCGACGGCGTGGGCTCCGCGATGTATGTCTCCGGCGCACTCTCGGCACCAACCACAAATGAAGGGGCCCACAGCGGCGCCAATCTGGAGATCGAGGCAGCCTGGAACTACGACAACGAGTCGGGTTATGACGAAGCCGAGCAAGACGACGGCGAGCAAGACGACGGCGAGCAAGAGGGTGAGAAGACCAAGGAGAAGACCAAGGAGAAAACCAAGGAGAAGACCAAGGAGAAAACCAAGGAGAAAACCAAGGAGAAGACCAAGGAGGGCGGCAGCAAGCCAAAGTGTGACGAACCCAAGGAGTCCGAGGCTGTGGCGACGACCAAGGAGAGCGTCGAGAACGAGTAGAGAGAGAGAGTCGCCTCGGCGAAGAATGCTCTCTGCCAGCGCGAGGGGATATGCAGAGTGCCATTGGGACAGAGTACGAGGCTTGGCAGACTGGTGGCGGAGGAATTCAGGTCAGAGAGAGAGGGCCTTTACAAACAAGCTGGTGGCGGAAGAATCGAGAAAGGGGAGGGGGGAGAGTGAAAGGGGCCTGTGTACACGACATGGCAGGCCGACGGTGGCGGAGGAATCAAGGCCAGAGAGACAGAGGGCCTTTAATACGCGACAAGATTCATGAGTAGAAGATGGTGGCGGAGGAATCAAGGTCAGAGAGAGAGGGCCTTTAATACGACGACGGTGGCTGGACTGGCTATAGAGACGTACCTTGCTGGCTATTGGCCAAGACAGACAATGGAACAAGCTGACAGGCCGGTTATAATAGTAGAATTACTGTCATCGTTCATCTGACCAAAGCCGAGGCTTGTTGTCACGATTGTACGGTACGATGGAGTCATGGACAAGCCCTGCATCGAGGCCAAGAAAGAGTCCAAAAATCGTCATGTGTTTGATTCTCGCCGCGGAGCACAAAAGAGGCCCATGTACATAATTGTGTTGTGATACCGAGTACCGAGTGTAGCCTCTATTGATACAGACTTTCTGGCTTAAACGCGGCCCTTGTAGCTTGTCGGCAACGAGCCCTCGAGTGCTGTTGCTGTTGACTATGGTTGCTTGACCACCAAGATCCATCCAACCAAGCTGAAACCAACCATCTGTGAATGCAAATCCCCTGTTCAGAGCGCCATATGCGTCTCTGACATATTAATTTCCTTTCCATCCCCCCGTGGTCGGACCCTTCTGGATCGGCCGGACGAAACCGGAGCCACTCCCTTCGCCCGTCGCGCCGCAGAGGCCCTCGTCAGGCGTCCCAAACTGCCGAAAGGGCCCGTCCAGCGCCTGCTCATCGGCGTGGCGCACCAAGGTGGCATAGACCATGTTGAGGAGAGGCTTCATGTGCTCCGACACAGGAGTGCGGCCGGCCTCGGCAACGTCAATGGGGACATAGTCAACCTTTGGTTTCTTACGTCGCCCGTCACCAATCGCGCCATACGAGTACTGCAGGTTACGGTAGTTGGATTCCCGCGACACTTCGTCGTGCTCCATTCCCATCAGGTCCGAGGCTGCGAACCAGTCTTTTGCAATCCTCTCGTTCCGGGTCTTGATCATCTGTTCCGTCAAGCGAGCGGTGCCTGGGACGTATCGTGCACGATTAGCAGACGACGGATTTCGCCAGTAAGCCAAGGACATGTCTAGCGATAAGTCCTGAGGTGGCCCGGGCGCAATCTCGCTGACGGGCAAAACACGGGGGCGACGGGGGCCATCTTCCTCTGCCGTGGAACTCCTCACAAGGGTCGTGATGTCGTAGTACTCGTCTTCATCCGAGGACGGGTCGCCGGCGGGCGGCTCGAGAGAATCCATGCCAAGGCTGGAGATGTCCTCGATGCCCGCCTGCGCCAGTGTCTGGTGGGCGATGGCGAAGCCCTCGGCATCTTCCTTGGAGAGTCCATTCCCCTGGTGCTTGGACTGGAGAGCCTTAAAAGTGGACTCGAAAGTCGAGGGACGGTACTGGCGTTGACCTGGCGGTCCAGCAGTCAAGGGCCTAGGGGCTCCCGGTCCGGTAGCAAGTGTGGTCGGTGCCGGTGCCATGTCGCCTTCAACGCTCGAGACTGAGCTGGGGGATCGGACCATGGGAAGCAAACGTGTCGGCGCATAATGGTGATCGAGCGTTGCCGAAGCATCCATCTGGGCCGGACGAAGCAGATCCATTCGCTTACCGCAAAGGTCGATGTTTGGCTTGTCAGAGGAGGAGCCGGCCCGCTGGCGCATAAAGTAGAAGGGAGACGCCAAGTTACCGGCCGAGGAGAGGCCGCCAAGCTTGGACCTTTTACCAAGAAGAGCCTTCTGAGCGTTCTTCTGGGTCGGGTTCGGATACGAAGCCAGATTGTTGAGCGATTTGACCGTCATGTTCTTCAGGTAATTCATGCTGACGTCGTCGTCGTCGTCGTCATCGTCGTCATCGTCGTCATCGTCTTGTTCGGCGCCATTGCTCAAGTTGGCGTGCTGGTCGGGGGCGAGCGTCGCTTTGCCCTTGTCCTGCTGGTCGGCGTCCTTGTCGGGGACGAGGAAGGAGACGGGGGCAGGGAGGTTTCCGGAGCGCATACGGGGCGCCTGGAGGGGCATGTTGATGGCGGCGTGCTCGAGCTCGCTCATGGGACTGATGGCACGGTCGTAGTTTTGCTGCAGGGGCGTGTACTGCCGCAGGGTCGAGGCCGGGCGTCCACTGGGGTTTGTGGCGAGGGCCTTTGAGGACAGGCCAGCCAAGATGGACTTGGGGAGGAGAGAAAGCTCGGAGTGAGGGTTGCCCAGAGTCCACTTGGCGGAGCGGCCGCGGCGGGTGGGAGGTTGGAGCGGCAAGGCAGAGCTGGGGTTGTAGATGGTTCCAGCCGTCGTGTAGGTTGGCTGCTTGGATTCGGACGAGGGCGCAGTCGAGGCCCGGGGAGGAGAGTTGCTCGTGGTGGAAGAAAGACTGTCCATGGTCGATCGGCGGGAGCTCTCGCCTGGCTCGACGGACAAGAAAGGGCCGCCGCCGCCTTCGCTTGCCAACTGCAAAGGGACAGAGAGAGGGAGGGTCTAGAGGAAAGTCCGGGTTAGCGACGACGAAGGCCTTCCTTGGCTTGTGCATCACCCACAGCTGAGAGAACCGGGAAACGGGCAAGCAGGCGAAGGCCCGTTGCTATCGGACAAAAACGAAAGAATGGAGCGAGCGGCGAGGAACCAGCTCGACAGGATGGACGAGAGGCGAAAATATGCCAAACGAATGGCGTGAGGGCGCCAAAGAAATTGTCGCCTCTCGAACGTTTGCCGTGCCTGTCTTTGCCCTACAACGCCAGATCCGCAGAGAATAGACAGTGCGATGGTGTCGATTTCATGACCAGCAAGGCAGAGTCGAGGAGAAAGAGCCGCCCATTCTTGGGGGAGGAAGGACGGATGAATTCCAGATTTAAAGGAAAAGAAGGCGATGAAAATAAAAGGGGGGAAGAATGGCGGTGGTGGTGGTGGTGGTGGTGGTGGTGGAGGTGGGAGGGGGGAGGGGAAGAAGGAGAGAGCGCAAAGGCAAGTACGGTGTACGCGCGCAAGCAGAAGGCAACGAACGATGGAAGACGGAGTTCAGACAGCACCGCAAAACCACTGAGCCAGCACCGCCTTTGAACTCGGGCACAAAGGATAAGGCTCGAAGGCCGCGGCGTGCGAAGAGAAGAAAAGCGCAGCTCCTGCTCACCTCGTTCAAAGGACGCCCACAAAGGAGCCCGCTCGCTTCGAGTTTCGCACAGCGAGTCTTGCTCCCCAGACACGTCGTTGAACAAGAAAGAAAATCTTGGCCGGCGCATAGCCAAGGTAGAGAGAGTGTGGGAGGAGAGGGGGGGAGCCGTGGTAGATCGGCCTCCATCAGCCTCCCAACCCCAAGCCACCGCAAACACCACCATCAGGCGGCCACGAGAATTTGGCGGGTGCGAGATTTGGCACAAACTCTGTCTTCTGGAACGGCGGGACCACTCAGCCTAAGCTGCGCCACCGACCGTCATCCCCTTATCGCGCTGAGCTCACGTCTTGAAGCTTCCCCAGCTCCTCTCTGGGCCTTGTCCTCGGCCAAGGCCTGCCTATCCTAGAATTATCCAACATCCGAGGCCGTCAGCGAGCTAATCTCATCAAAGCGCCTCAGGGTCTTTGCACTCACCGGTTCCCGTTCCCTGCTTCGTCCCCGACGCAGCCACCTTGATGGGCGCGACGCAAAAGCATGCTCATCGTCACCGCCTCACGCCAGGCACCAAGAAAGCGCAGAATAATCAAGCTTTCTATTTCAGCCCCTGCTCTGACTATTCACTATCCTAGCCCGGCTCACCTTGGCCTCTTTCCCGTCGCTCACACAACGCAGGCCCCGTTCGAGCGCGCCTGTGTCCGTTCCAAATACCGTCTGCCCCCCTCAAATACGCCGAGAGAAAGTTAGCTCTGTCTCGCTGGACAACGCGGTCCCCGAGGATGCTTGTGATCTCGAATCTGGTGAATGTGCTTGCGTCACTGGAAAAAAAAAGTGACGCATCGCTGTTAAATGCGGCAAGTCGTCATGTTCAGAGGTCGTTAAAAAGCCTGTCAACACTGCACAGACATATGGATAATAAATGTCCATGAATTTGATGCCCATGTTCTCTCGATCGGTTGCTGTGTTCCCGTTACTGGCAGGAGCGTGGCCACCCGATTCAGCTTCCCCAAAGAGTTGGACAAGAGTTTCGCTAGTAGAGTTGCCCGTTGAGACCACGTCGACAGTTAATTAGAAGAGAACTAGATACCACCGTGACAGGTGGCTTGTATGCAAATGACACCCAAGGTTTGACCCCGGCTTAGCTCAGCCATGTTGAGCCAGGCCAAGGGATTCATCGAATCGAATCGAGCCTGTAGAGAAGAAAAAAGACTCTTGTACATGTCGTGTGTGGGCTAGGCGGGACTTGTCCCGGCCTGTCTACAAGGGGCTCGTTGGGTAGGCCCCGCCGGGCACCATGCCAGGGCCGGCTCTATGTGTGCCGCCCTTGGAGCGGCCGCCAGGTAGCTGGAAGTCGGGGTTGTCCAGCAGCAAGTCCTGCCGCCGCTGCTTCTGCTGCTGGGCCATACGACGGGGCGGCGCGTTCTGGTATTGCGGCCCCTGCATGGTTTTCGGGTTCCAACGAGGGTTGACTCCCCGCTGGGAGATGGAGGTGAAGTTTGAACGTTCAGATTCAGAGGGGCTGCGAGCCCTGCCCGTCGGGGCGAGGCCACCCTCGTACCCGGGGTTCGCAGCGGGCCGGGGCTGGTTGTCTGCGTGCTCCGGACCACTGTACAGAGCATACACATCCTCGTAGTAGTTGGCGTCCTGGGGGGCCTTTACGGGCGGTGATTTTGGTCCAGCGGCATCCGCGCCTGGTCGGTTCGGCGGGGCCTGGTTCCACGCTGCGCGGGGCGGGACATACGGCCTAGTCGAGATGGAATCAGCCCCTCGCTTTGCACAAAAAGCCGCTCTCGAGACCTCGCCCAACTTACTCGTCGGTGCTGTATCTGCTTCCCTCGGTCATCATGGTTTCATGACGAGCCCGAGGTCGAGCCTGTTGCAGACCGACCATGCCAGCCACGTCCATGTCATTGTCTCGCATCTGGCCGTACTGGTCAGCCGTGTTGGGGGCATCCGCTTGTGCCGCTTCCATCTCTACAGGTTGGCCCACTGCCGTTGAGGGGTCGTTTCCAAGAAATGGCGGAGGCGATTCGGCCCTCGGGAGGCCGGTTCCGGGGTTGTGCGCTTCATAGTCATTCCTGAACGCGGGCGCCGCGGCATTTTTCTCGGCATACCAGCCGGGACTGAGCGAGCTCTGAGGCGGTTGCTGCCCGTAATACATGGCATCGGCCGACGGCCTCCTATCGTACTGCCCAGCGTTGTTGTAGGTCGAGGGCGGCCCTTGCGCACCCCTGTTTCCGTACATGTCGCGTGGCGGTGGGCCGTACGCTGCTCTCCCGTCGGACTGGCCGTATCCTCCTCTGCCTCGCATCGAGCCTCCGCGTCCGTATCCGGGGGCGCCACGGCCTCTGTATCCCCCGCCAGCTCCCTTGTCTCCTCCCCGGCGGCTGTCATACACGTTGGGAGGGACATTGGGCGCGAGGGCATACGGATCTCGAGGAGGAGGGGCCCGTCTCAACGCAGCTTGACCCGAGTCTGCCATGCCGTAGGGGACCGCGTTTGGCGACCTCTCCGAGTGGGTTCGCTGCGTCAGTTCGTCGCTGGACCGGTCCTCTTTCGTTTGGTTTTCAAACGAGGCGAACTGGGGCAGGTTGTCGTCCATCCCGCCTTTGCCGCCGCTGACCAGAGGCAGCGTGGGCTGGTTCGCGACGGCAGTAGAGGGCTTTGACTGGACCTCTCGGGTGTAGTAGTTTTCTCCGCTCATCTCGGCATTCTCTTCAACCCTCCTCTTGTGCGCCAACCTACTAACTACGGCGCGGCGCATGGCGCAGGAGCCGATACCACTCAGGCCCAGGATGATTGTGGCGGCGAGAACCATGTAGGAGCCCCACGCAAGGTGCGGAATGAACAAGAGAACGTCAACCAAGAAAGCCAGGAGGCAAATGAGAAAGGTGATGAGGATGAAGATGAAGAGGACGAGGAGGTACCTCGCCGAGTGGCCCGGGCCGTGGAGATGGGAGGCCGCGGCCATGACGAACATGGCGAGGGCGAGAAGCGCGGCGACGGGATGGACGATGAGAATGACGGAAATGGTATCGCGAACGCTGACGGGCAGGTCGAATGCCTGGTTGTCGTTGTCGAGCAATTGCTCTGGCGTGCACGTTAGCAAGAGGCTGCAGAAAAGGGGGGGATTGGGGGGAGCAAACCTGTGTCGTATCCTACGCCGATGGAGCTGCAAGTGCCGCCGTCCTTGCAAAAGCCAAAGACTCCAAACTTTGCATCCTTGAACGATCCCATGGGTATAAACTTGGTGACGGGAACGGACAGGGCCGAGAGGAGCAGCAGGCCAAAGGCAGCCAGCAGCAGCAGCGACAAGGGCGTCGCCGGTCGCAACATGGCGGCGGCTTGGCTCTAGGCCAGCAGCGTCAAGACGACGCGACCTATGTTATCGTGGTCGTCGGCGGCGGCTGGGCATGCGAGGGCGGGCTCGATAGTCGCGTCATGGGAAACGGAGGACGAGTGCGAGCGCCGAGGCGCGTTGGCGAGATGAGGGCGCCGTTGGCAGGGACAATGAGCAACGAGTGTCGGGGAGGACAGCCTTGTTGGCTCTAACGAAGCCCGCCAAGGATCGAAAGCAAATGGCGGGCGTCTGGCGCATCGGACGACACGGCACAACGGTGGTCGGCACAAAGGCAGCGGTATCGCGTCAGGGAATGCTGAGGTGCGAACGACGGCGCCTGAACCGCCCGGGTTGCACGCACTGGAGGTGGTTGGTGGTGATGGCTCTCGGCTGCCGTCGACGATGGACGCAGGTCAATCTATGGATGGCGAGAAGGCCCAAAAGAGGATGCGAGGCAATGGCGCAGCGCCTCCGCTTCTTGTCCTCTGAGACGAGAGTGGAGAGTGTTGCATGTCAGTGGTCCCACCCTGCTAAACTCTGAAGCGCACAATTCCATTCACTCTGTCGTCACCCCCCCGTTCTACGTGCTAGTGGACCTGCTTTTTTGGGGTTAGTGCTTTGTGCCTGGGGGCCAGAGGTATCCGTACATGTATGTACTTCGTACTGTACTTGTATGAATACAGTGCTCTGCGCCCCTGGGAGGGATCCCTCGGGGCAAGAGACGACATGATGCAAGTGAGGTCGAGAAATAAATCCTCATTTACGGACGACAGGGCCTAGGATTAAATTCTTGAAGAGATTTGTACGGGTCTAGCGCACTCGGAATCAAGCCACCGTGTTGCAAAGAAGTATTTTTCACTCATCAAAGCATCCGGACAGGCCAAGCTGGCCGCGCGTTGTAAGTCCCTACTGTAGTCTGCACCTGGGTAGGTACTCCATAATTGGGCAGCAGCTGATTCACCTAAAGTATCGGTACCTGGACGGATCTCCGTGATCTGCCCTCTCCATGGAAACCAACTGACATGAATCCTCGGTCCAGACAGAGTCGGTACAGCATCGCACTCCCACTGCCTGCGAGTAAGGCGAGGCAAGACAGCGATCGACAGGGAAGAGTCTGCAGAGTCGCTCCGTGCCGCCCGTCCACGGCTCCCCGTGGCCTGCAGCAGGTGGTGGCGCCAAGAGCGTCTCCCGACCAGCATCGGCAGCCTTGAAGGCTGACTTGGTTCCGCGTCCAGGCCAGGAACCCTATCCCGACGATATTAACTTCCCGTCCCGCCCTCCAATGAGCAGGCGCCTCCTGTCCATAGTCGTTCGGGTCCCAATCTCCGCTTTTGCGTACGGTACTGTACAGTACCTCGAAACGCAAAGGACGCAGAGGGCCTGCTGCTTGGTCGCCTTAGTCGATGATTATGCCTGCGCTACTCCGTACTCCGTAGACTGTCCCCTCTTGCTTTCCGGAACTCGAAATGTTTGGCCAGCTTAACTGCGCGTGCCTGCGCATGACGAGTAACTCACTACCCGGTCTTCCAGAAGGGATCGTCCCTGCGCCCTTGTTTCAAAGCTTCACAGTACCGTACAGTACCTGTGTTTACGTCATCCACCAAGGTATGTACAGTACTGTACTGTACGTCTTTCGTTCCCTGCCCGGCCGTTACCGCGATGCAGGAGATCACTCGGAAACAGGCCTCGGAGGACGACGAAGACCAGGCTTGGACGGGTCCTCGATTTCGACAGGGCCAGCTGTGTCTCATATGAGTAATCAAACATACACTCCTGATTTTCAAACATACACTCCCGACCTAAGCCCCATTTGGAAGAAGACCCCGCCACCAAAATTTGGCGCGCGCTTTCCCAACGCCCTGGCTTGCCGTGACCATCGCCGCCGCCCACCCGCCCAGCCACCTGCCTTTTGGCCGCCATCTGCATTTTCGCAATCATCAACAATTGAAGCTATCACCACTTGACTCAACACAACAGCAACGCCGCCGCCGCCTACCGCAATAGTCACGTCTAGTCAATCGTCCCGATGAATTCGACCGAAAGCAATACCAACAGTAGCACCGAGGCTATCACGGAGATGTCTTTCGATACGTATGATGAGGCGCTTGAAACACTCAAAGCTACGCAAGAGCTCCTTGGCTACGTCGTAGTCGTTGCAAATAGCAAGAATACCGGCAAGCCTAGGCGCAAGGAAGCCAATATCCGCTGTGAATACAGTGGTCAGTATAGCCCTGGGACGAGGCAGAGGGTATATACAAGACGTCATCCAAGAAGTCGGGATGTGACTTTCGCTGTTACATCCGCTTCTACCGACGTTGCAATGCATTCAAAGTCACCATCAAGCACGGCTCTCATAACCACGAACCTCTATTTGAGCCAATTGCTAACCCCATCGTCCGTCAACGAAGCCAACGCAAATTCGGCATCGAGCGTCTTCATAGCCTCGTCGAGGGCTTAGCAAGAACGTCAATAACAAGAGCAGGGATATCGTGGATGCTATCCGACAGGAATATCCTGAGCTCCTTATTACCGATTCTGATATACACTTCATCCAGCTGCAACTTCGTGCCTTCCGTTACGGCGCCTCTACATCTACACAAGCCTTCCTCGATGTACTCAAAGATGCTAAAGCAAAGGGGAAATCAGCTACTATGCAGTTGACCGTGGCCCTAATGGGAAGGTTTGGAGGTTTTTCTGGACATACGATGACTGTATTGCTGACTGGAAGCGTAACCCCGAGCTCCTTATCATGGATAATACGTATAAGGTCAACCGCTTTAACATGCCGCTTCTACAGATCATTGGCACAACAGGGCTACACAAGAGCTTCAGTGTAGGCTTTGGCCTCACTGCCAAGGAAGACGAAGGCGCGTTCCAATGGATCCTCTCACAGTTGCGTGAGGCTGGTCGGCAGGCTGATATTCCGGACCCGGGCGTTGTGATTACCGACTTTGATACCGCCCTGAAGAACGCCCTTGACTCTATCTTCCCATCAACGCAACAACAAGTGTGCGTTTGGCATATGATGAAGAACGTGATCCTTCACATCAAGAAGAAGTGGGAAGGATCCCTCGATGGCACCGAGATTGGCGGAGATAGGCCAGAACAGGAGACTCGCCTCGCTGCAGCAGCCGCGCTCGACGACCCTATACAGGCAGATAATGCCATTGACGAGGACCGACCTATCGACCGTGCCACTGATTACCAGATTCAACATGCCTCACAACTGGCAGATCAGTGCGTTGAGCAACAAGATGATCGTGAAGATGACGATGGAAACCCAATACTACCCCCGGCTCCAAGGCGGACTTTTGAGCACACAGCTGACGGTATCCGTGATGCCTGGGTTTCAGTCTTTAGGGCTCGCACGGCTGAGGAGTGCAGAGATCAGTGGGATCTACTCTGTATAGAGTTTTCGGATCAGCCAGGTAACCCTAGCCCTAACTACCCTCCTACTCTAACCTTTTACTAAATAGCTCCTCTTATAGCTCTCGTTAATTACCTCCGTACAACCTACTGGCCATGGCGTGCCCAGTTTTCCACCTACGCTATCCAACAGTACCGAAATTATAACATTACGGTAACTTCCCGTGTGGAGAGCACACATCACGAGTTGAAGTCACGATTACGCAACCGCTTCATTGACCTCCATCAGCTACAAGAGCACATCAGAGGGCTCGTTACCCATCGGCAAAAGAAGCATCGCGAGAAGCTTCAATCCGAGTTTGCAAGAGCTAGAGTTGAATGGGCCAAGCAGACGATTATGAAGTCACTGCACCGAAAAATTGGCTGGCAGCCGATGAAACAGATCTTCAGGCAAGTTAGGCTAGCCCGGGCTGAGCTTGCCGATAATCGAGGCATGCCTACGATTTGTACGGGTGCTTTCACGATGCAATGGGGGCTGCCCTGCCGGCATACAATCCGCGATTTGATCCAGGCTGACGCGGCCGCCCTTATACCATTGCATCTTATTGATAACCACTGGCGGGTTTACGGCGTGACTGTAAGTATCTTGCTCCAGCCATAAGTACTATACTAATTTACTAGCAGCCTGAACAACAGCAATATATCGATGCAGACCACGAAGCCGATCCTGACGTTGTCCAGCCTCGCCGGCGTGGAAACAGTAGACGCGAGGTATCCTCCACTAGAGGCATCTACGGGCCGGATCCTTAGTGCTTGGGAGCAAGAGGAGCATAGAGCCAACCCAGAGCTCGTATCACGGCCACCAGAGACGCAAAAGAAGAAGAGGAAGGGCACAGGCACCACTATCATGAACAAGAGGTCGAATACACTTGCTTCCGTGAGCAGCCGGGTTGACGATCTTGCCCAGCAGATCGGTGATTTCATCAAGTCACAAGCAGCAGCAACGCCGGTGCTGTTATCACAGGTGCCCTCACTTCCACAGGTGCCGCTGGTGTCACAGGGATACCAAACGACGATGCCCTCACTTCCACAGCCGGCGCCGCCGTCAGGGATACTATGTGATGCCACCGCCTACACCAATTGTGCCTGTATACGTACAGGCGCCGGCGCCGTCACAGTGGCAAGAACCGCCTCCTCGTCACAGGCACATCACGACGGCTTCATGTGGGCACAGCCGCCGGCACAGTCTCACGAGACGGCTACGGAGCATTTCCAGCAGCTAGGGGATCAGAGGGACACGGCACCATACAAAACTAGCAGGCAGGCCGGTCACAAATTCGTTCCTTACGTGCCTCGCCCTCCGCCGCGTCGGACGGATCCTTCCTCACAGTCACAGTCACAGTCACAGAGGTAGGCAAAGACCTTCCGCCATTATATGCATATTGTATATATATCGGAAGATCGATCGGGCCGGGCTTATTGATAGCTTCAATTGAATGACTCTAAGGGATGCATCTTCCGGCGTTGGTAATAATTGCAGATAGAATCCATATATGTCAGACAATAGTGTCCCACACCTCGCACGTGACAGCGGTTGATCTTTGTGGCATCAGTCAATTGATGAGAATTATCTAAAGAACAAAGGAAAGGAAAAGAATTGGATGCACACATTCGTGCAACAATATATACCCCGATCATTGCGGCGAAGCCGCGGCGCAGCAGTGGCAGTGATCGAGCATAAGGTTTCAGGAACTGACACGGGCGTGATATGCGACAATATATCTAGGCAGGCAGCCGCGGCAGCGGCGTTGGGAAAGCGCGCGCCAAATTTTGGTGGCGGGGTCTTCTTCCAAATGGGGCTTAGGTCGGGAGTGTATGTTTGAAAATCTGGAGTGTATGTTTGATTACTCGTCTCATATATATGCGTCTCATCTATCCGCGGCGGCGCCACCAGCAGCCAACGTGAGAGGTCGCAAGGCGCAATCGGCTTCCACGGAGGCCAAGACCTGCACATTGCTGTATCACGATGCGAGCACAGCGTCCGTCCGTCCCACGAGTGATCCGGATGTCTTGTTACCAACAGGAGCCGTCGCGGCAGCGTTGCACTCGCGGGGCCAATGCGCGGCAGTGCGCAGAAGAGAGGCATTTCGGAGGCGACGGAGCCACATGGAGGTGGGCATGTACACGCAGATGCAGCGTCGTCGACCAGGCATGCACTCCGCAATCAGTCGACGACAAGGGTTACCTAGGGAACCCTGCCCCCCCCCCCTCGTCATCAAGGGCTACGACGATTTCGAGCCTGTCATCGGGGAGCGAACAACGCTGCGACGCCCTTGGCCTGACCGGCTTTGCATCACGGGCAATCCCTCGGCCATGCGTGTGGAAATCCCGTAACCTGCGACACCGGATTTGTGCGCGGCTTGCTTGTCTGGACCGCAGCATCAACCTTGCGCGCGATGGCAATGGACGGGACTCTCATAGACTGGGATCTTGCGGAGAGAGTGTCAGCCTTCTGTTGCCATCGCATGGCCATGTCGAGCTGCATGGCATTGTCTGGAGTATTCCGCACCCTTTTCATCTCCAACTACTTTGGCCTACCCTGGACCTCACCGGCCTGTGCAGGGACTTCCAACAACGGCTCCTATATCACGTTATTCGTAAATCTCTCGCAATGGGAGATGTGCACTGAGCCGCCACAACTCCACAAGTCGCAACGCAGCATTCAAGAGCTGGTTTCCGCCCCCCAGATCACGTCTTTGCCTTCCATCCCAACCAAACGGCCTCGCACGGACGGCGTCGCCCCTTGAACCTCTGTGAGCTCTGTGAGCAAGCATGGCAGGCCGCAAGGACAAAGTGAGTTGATGGGTCGTGCGCAATTTGTCCCTCGTTGCAGCCCAGCCCCCATTGGATTCGAGGCGTCATGTGAGCCATGGCCGAACCGTGCAAGCCAGTGTCGTCAGAGCCAGAGCCCCCCATTGGCGGGCGGACGGGCGGGCCAGCTTGCCGTTCGGCCTCGGGGATTTTCCTCGCCCGGCCGGCTCTAGAAGGCTACTCCAGGTACAAGCGCAGAAGCCACGTCCCTTGCATCAGTCGAGCTGCTTCGACCTTGTCGCCCGCCCCGATGCTCTCGCTGCCAAGTCACGAGTCCCGATGATGTCCAGTATGCTCTCTCGCAGCATACCGAGGTCCTCGAGGGCCGTGGCCTTTGCGCTCCCGGCGTCCCGCGCCCCTCGCCTTCGCCCTCGAGATGACGTCGCCGGGACCGTCACCCGACCAGTCACAAGACGTCATATGCAGACATCCGGGCCCTTTCAGCCGCTGCGCCCGCCCTCCCCCAGTGAATTGGGAGCTCCGCGAGCCGCCAAGCAGTACGGGCGAGGCAGGAGATGGGCGCGCTGGGTGGTCGTCACTTGCGTCGCCGGCGGCGCAGTCTACCTCGTCGACCGCCAGGTTTACGCCTCGGGCTTCGCTCGTACCCTTCGGACCTTTGGCACCACGCTCCTCGTCGCCATCGACTACAAGGTCAACTTCCGACCGGAGCCTCTGACGGCCGGCTCGGTTCCGGACCTGCACTCGCGCAATGCCGAGCGGCTCTTCGAGCTGCTGCGGGCAAACGGCGGCCTGTACCTCAAGATCGGACAGGCCATCGCGATGCAGAGCGCCGTGCTGCCGCCCGAGTTTCAGAAAATGTTCGGACGTATGTTTGACGACGCGCCCCAGGACGACTGGAAGGACGTCGAAAAGGTGATACGGCAAGACTTTGGCAAGAGCGTCGAGGAGGTCTTCGGCGTCAGCTTCACCGGGGAAGACGGCAAGGGCTTGATGGAGCGCAAGGCCAGGGCGAGCGCAAGTGTTGCGCAAGTGCACTGGGCCCGGCTGCCCGATGGCAGAGAGGTGGCCATCAAGATCCAGAAGAGGGAGATTGCCAAGCAGATCTCGTGGGACCTGTGGGCATTCAAGTAAGTCGCACCCATGCGGTCCATCTGCCCCGGCCCGGAGACCTGACAAGTGCCGGCAGGACTGTGGCGTGGATCTACTCCAAATGGTTCGACATTCCATTTTACACCCTCGTACCGTACATTGCCGAGCGGTTGGAGCTGGAGACGGATTTCGTAAACGAGGCCAAGAACTCGGAGAGGATGAGGGACCTGGTAAATGCGGAAAAGAGCCTCAAGGGGCGCGTATACATCCCCACAGTGCACCCAGAGCTCACGACAAGGAGGGTTCTCACCACCGAGTGGATAGAGGGCGTCCGGCTGTGGGACAAGGCGGCCATGACTTCTCGATGGCTCGGGGGACACGGCAAGGGCTCACCCGGCGCCAAGAGCCCGCTGCCGCCCATTGACGTGGAAGCGGTGCGGCGCGAGCTGCGGACAAGACGGCCCAAGGAGAAGCTCAAGCCGGAGAGGCAGGAGTGGAAGGGCGCACGCGGCCGGGGCGGTCTCGGACTGTCGACCAAGGAAGTCATGACAACCATGGTCGACCTCTTCTCGGCCCAGATATTCAAATGGGGAGTCGTCCACTGCGATCCGCATCCGGGAAACATCTTTATCCGGCGGCTGCCCAACGGCAGGGCGGAGCTGGTGCTCATCGACCACGGGCTCTACGTGTACATGTCACCCAAGTTTCGACACCAGTATGACACGTTTTGGAAGGCGCTCATGACGTTTGACAACAAGACGATTGGCAAGGTGACGGAGGAATGGGGCATCAAGGGGGCGGACCTCTTTGCCAGCGCGACGCTGATGCGGCCGTACGAGGGGGGTGATTCGTCGACGCGATCCGAGGTGATGAAGGACCTCGAGGGCAAGACGGCGGCGGAGCGACATTACGCCATGCAGCAGCGGATGAAGCAGGGGATCCGCGACATGCTAGCGGACGAGGAGAAGTGGCCCAAGGAGCTCATCTTCATCGGGCGGAACATGCGGATTGTGCAGGGCAACAACCAGTATCTCGGGTCGCCGGTGAATCGGGTCAAGATGATGGGGGAATGGGCGAGCCGAAGCCTGTTCGAGGACCCGAAGCTGCCGTGGCAGCAGCGGCTGGGGAACGCGTGGCGGCACGTGCTGTTCAAGGCGGTCATGACGGCGACGGACGTGGCCTTTTACTTTTACAAGGCGCGGCAGTGGCTGGGACTCGGGGGCGGGATGGAAGACGCCATGGAGCAGCGGATGAAGGACGTGGCGCAGGATTACGGCATCAAGCTGCAGCACGACGTGTTCGACGGCTAGTAGCAGAAGAATGGCTCTCGGCATGCCGAGGTTGCCAAGGGGTGGGCGGGAAGTGGCGGCCCGGTGATATTGCGCATCCACGATAGACGACTGGCGGGAGGTGGACGAGCGTGTATGTATACTATATCCTCACCGCTATGCGTGGGCGACTCTGGAAGCAAAGATGGCACGGCAGCCTGCGAGGACGGCCACGGCGCATTCAGCGGCTCCCTCGGCAGCGGGCGGCCCCGACTGTCCCTGCTTGTCATGAGGGAGGGCCCGCCCGTGTATAAGAAGTAGTGCGGGCATGCCGACAAGGCCGAGTCGTCATGGACGCCCAGCCGCCGAGGCCTGACACGACGACATCTTTTCCGCCCTGATGCGGGAGTGTCAGCGGCAGGTAGGTTTCATCGTATCAAGAAAAGAATTAGTAGTGCACGACGACGGCTGCAGCACTGTTTTTGGCCGCAGGTGGGGGGCTGTAGAGGGTGTCTCAACGTGTCGTCATGTCTCTTGTCTTTCATTTTAGTGTTTGCTCTTGAAGAACGAGGGATGCTGACGAGTCGCTGGCTGGAGAGAGACAGGGGCCAAGAACTCGTGGCGGATGTACTCCATACCTACAGTACAGTACAATACCTTAGTGCAGTCAGTACATGGTACAACGGCCCAATCTCCCAAGGGCCTGTCTTGTTCCCCAAGGTTCTGTCTTGGTGACACGCATGAATCGGCGTGTCCTGCGTCTCGTCTGGCTTGATGCGTTGTACCACCATTGTCCTGGGCTACGTAGGGCGGCAAATACCCCATTGGATCGGATGCTACCCGCCATTGTCCTGTACTCAGCGACGAGGAGGCCGCGATAGCCGTCCATTGAAGCAAGAGCATATGTATAGTAGGTATGTAGCTCCTGTACCTGGGAGGCACCTGAGCTAGGTAGGTACTCAGTAGGTACCTAGCAGACAGTTGCAGCACCGTTGGTTGCCGTTTTTCTCCTCCTCCGCATCTCTCTCTCTCTGTCTCTCTCTCTTGTGCTCGTGTAATAATATCACGCACGCCCAGCACCTGTTCCCCCCTTGATTCAATTCGCTTCACGGGCCACGCAACCGGCCGGCCGGCCCCCTCAAATCTTTGCCGAGGACAGGGTTTGCCTTTGCTCCTCCCGTGCCAGGCGTTACAGTTAATTACAGTAAAGTACTTCGCGAGATGCGGACCTTTTTGTGCGTGCGTGCCAGCCACCGTGCAACAAGCCAAGAATGTCCCGTCTATCCTGCCAGCCTGCACATTGTGTGCAGCATCATGCAGCCAGTCGTCTGCCGTGCCTGGTGATCTTGGTCCAAGTGCTCCTCATTTGTGGGCCCCCCATTCATCATTCGTGTCTTTTCGGTCCCTTGGACCCTGCAGCGTGGCCGGTCCTTTGCCCATTTCTCTTCCGTTAGTCTGTACACGCCCCCTTTCTCTCTCCTCTTATTAGCGCCGCGGCCAGATTGGCGTGCACTGTAGGTACTGTACCATCTTCTTGGCGGCTGCACGTCTCCGCTGGCTTGGCGAGAGAGGCAACACAATGCACTGTACTGTAGGTACAGACACTCGGCACATTATGCTGCCTCTCTTTAATGGCGTGCATGCTCTCAATCCACCCCGCAGTGCGACGAGATCTGGGCTGCCCTCAGGCAACGTTGATGCCGCAAAACTCTGTCTTGGCCACAAACCGGCTGGTGGAGCTAACAATCTCAAGCTTTGACGGACAATCCAACGGCTCCCTCCAGCTAGCCTGCGCAAATCTTGGCACCAAAGCGAGACAAGAAAGAAAGAAAAAAGATCTCGCTCAGCGCTTCGCTGCCGCTTATTCTGAAACGGTTGGCCATTGCAATCTGCACCCTAATAATCAATCCACACATCCCTCACTCCCCCCCCCCCGGTCCTGGAGCTTCTTCCTCTGGGGCCCAGACCCACCTGTACTCCTCTCGCCTGGGCTCGTCCCATCAGAAGCCCTTCCCATCCATCCTCGACATCTCCTCCCAGCCACGCGCCGCCTAGTCCAAACAACCAAGGCCCGACGTGCTCCCCACGCGCGTCGAGCACCACCGCCCATTCGCATCTCCAACCCGTCGACATCATCGCTACTACTCTCGACTTCGCCCTCGCACCCGCCGCGGCCATGACCAGCCCGCCGCCCCGCCGCCCCAGCTTCGGCATGCTGCTGCGTCGCTCCAAGAGCGGCGACTTTGGCAAGAATGGCAAAAAGGCCCAGGCCATTCGCGACGCCGAGCTGGACCGCCAGCGCCAGAACCCCCCCCGGCTGCCCGAGTTTCGCAACAACACCAGCGACCAGCTGTCCAAGTCGTTTGCGCCCGACCTGCAGTCCAGTCCCTCTTACAGCCTTTCGTCTGGTCCTCCCGCCCGCCCCTCGCGCGACGCCCCTCGCACCACCCACTACCCTCCCGTGCCCCCGATTCCCTTTGATCCCTATGCGAGAACCGAGAGCATGACGCACCGAGGCCGCTACAGCTACGCCAGCAGCGCCGTGAGCACCGTCGCTGGACCTAGGAGGATTCGCAGGAGAAAGGATCCCACTCCGTTCAAGTAAGTCTTCCTCCCTGTCTGGCCCTGGCTCCCACTGACGCGCCCTTTTCACCCGCAGCGTACTCGTCGTCGGAACTCGCAGCGCCGGCAAGACGTCGTTTCTCGAGTTTCTCAAAACGGCACTTGCCCTGCCCGCTCACAAGCGTTCCACCAAGAGGGCCGACGAGGATGACTTCAAGTTTCCCACCCCGGCCACCGGCAATTTCGCCCCCCACTACCTCGAGACCGAAACCGACGGCGAGCGCGTCGGCCTGACTCTCTGGGACTCCGAGGGCCTGGAGAAGAACGTCGTCGACCTTCAGCTCCGAGAGATAACGGCTTTCCTCGAGAGCAAGTTTGAGGAGACGTTTGGCGAAGAGATGAAGGTCATTCGCTCGCCCGGTGTGCAGGACACCCACATTCACGCCGTCTTGTTGATTCTGGACCCCGCGCGCCTCGACCGCAACATCGCTGCCGCTAAGAAACTCTCCTCCAACGGCTACCACAACGGCGCCAGCCCCGCAAACGGTCTGCAGGCCCTCGGAAGCCTCGACGACGATCTCGACCTGCAAGTCCTGCGCACCCTCTACGGCAAGACCACCGTCATCCCCGTCATTGCAAAGGCCGACACCATCACCACCAAGCACATGAACGTGCTGAAGAAAGCCGTCTGGGACTGCATCAGGAAGGCCAATCTTGACCCGCTCGAGGCTCTTGGGCTGGACGATGACAGTGACGGTGAGTCGTACCGCATCGACGAGGACGACGAGAACCAGGCCGACGAGGACCGGCAGGCCAACAAGGATGGCCAGGAGCCGTCTTCCCCTCCGCCGTCGACGCCCAGCTCGAACCGGCAGTTGAGCCCATCAATGGGCCGACCCAAGGCTCAAGAAAGCGCAAAGGAGGAAGAGAAGCCATTCCTCCCCTTCTCCATCATTAGCCCCGACCTGTACGAACCTGGAGTCATTGGTCGACGGTTTCCTTGGGGATTCGCCGACCCGTACAACGAGCAACACTGCGACTTCCAGCGCCTCAAGGAAGCCATCTTCACCGAGTGGCGCGGTGACCTGCGCGAGGCGAGCCGGGACCAGTGGTACGAGGGCTGGCGAACGAACAGGCTGAAGCAGGGCAACCTTCCCTACCGCCCACGATAGGCTGCCTCGGGCGGCGAAGCTTAAAAAACGGACACCAAACACCGAAAAAAAAGGGGGCGCAGTGTTTCTTGAAATTTTCTTGACGGCCACGTCTACGGTCCCTCTGCCGGGATATAGAAGTTTTCTGCTTCAGACCTGGACCGGACTTATCTTATCGCCTCACGCACGTCTATGAATGAGCCCCTTTGCTTTGTCCTCTCGGACTGTCTCATACCCCCCGATTTCTCTTTTCAGAATATAATGCCGGCGCCGGGGAAAGGCGTTCTCTGCACCGCTGCGCCGCTCAATTTCACTATCCCACCCTCTTCTCGTTGGGCCACTGCGGAGCGGAGTTTTGGACTCGGATACCTCCTGGATGCATTGGTCGACTGGTTTTTTTTTGGTCTCGAATGCAGCGCGAGTTTCCCTGAGCCTCTTGATAGCGGGAACATTGCGCTAGTGCTGTACGTCTTCTTTCCAAAAAATCTTTTTTTGCATTGTCGGCGACGGCTTTTGGGCGACGAAGGGGTGGGTTCTCGTAGGGAAGGAAATTGATTTCTTTTCACTTGGACTGGTGCCCGAGCTTGATTCTTGATGACTTCATAACTACGACACTGGTATCCGTAGAGAAGGCAAGATTACCGACTCTGGGCTGGGTGAGCTGGCTGGCTGTGGTTGGCGGACACCAGAGACAGGCGACGAAGCTGTACTTGCTACAAGGCCTCGGGCTACGGTCTGGTGCCGTGAATGCTGAGACATCTTCAAGAGACTAGTTTGATCGTTTCAGTACCTCGACGACTCCAGCTTTACTGGTGAACATCTACCCCGAGCCACAGCTTTGCGTTGGTGGCCAAGTAAAGCGTCGCACATTCCCCCCTAGTAAGACGAGCTGGCCAAGACGGTGCTTCCCAAGGCTTGCCCAGTGCAAGAAAGAAATGTAGAAAGGAGCAGAGAGGCGTCGTCCCATACGACTCATTGAAGCAATACGCAAAGTATGGACCGCATGAGAGCGCGCACTCTTTGTTCCGCGCCATCCCGGCCCCCTTCACTCAAGCCACACGGTATCCGTCGGCCTGCCGGCGGCGTCGACATGCTTCTCCTCGCGATACGGGTTCTTGCCCGCACACTTGAGCTTATGCACCTCCTTGGGCCCCAGCGAGACCCTGTCAAACTCGGGCGGCAGGCGCTCGTCGTTGAGCAGGTAGTCGACCTTGAGGTTGCGCGCCTTGTCGCGATACGCCTGCTGGCCGCGCGGGTACTCAAATTGGTCGCTGTAGCGCCGCTCAATCTCGGCGTAATAGGCCTCGGTCTCGCCGATGAGCTTGATGAGCATGTCCGTGTCCCGGCCGGTCCAGGCCCGGCGCCGCGTGTACGCCGTGCGCACCGGGATGCGGATCAGGTCGTCCGAGGCGCCGGGGCCCTGCGCCGCTGCCTGCTGCGAGGAGCCCAGATAGGCAGGGGCCGAGGACGGGTTTCCCGATGCTTGGGCGAACCGGGACACGATTCCCTTGCCATGGCCATGACCGCGTGTCGTCCAGGGCTCCCGGGCGGAATCTCGGGTGCGTTGGACAACAGCCCGGCGATCCTGCTCGAAGTCGGCCTCCTGTCCCTCTTCATCGTTTGCCGCGTCGTCATGAGCCCTCTTCAATACACGGCGGTCCCTGGTGGCCTCGAGCTCTCGGATCGATGTCTTGTCTTGAAACATTGTTGGTCTGCAGTGTTAGCTCGGGGCACATGGACGGATTTTGAAGGGAGGGAGAGAACCGTTCTGCGCCGTTGGGGTCATACTCACTGAATATCTGCCTCGTCAGGGCGCACAGTCTCCTCAAGCTCGTCATCAGGGCTGGATTCGGACCCATCCGACTTCTCTTGGCCATCAGGGCTGTATTCTTCTTCAATCTCTCGATCGAGCGCGGAATGCATTTCCGCCATCCATCCCTTAAGTTCCTCCAGAAGCTCACTTAGTTGGAACTCTCGCCTTAGAGCTTCCAGCACCAAGTTCTTCTTGGCATTGGCTATGCAGGTCAAAATTCTCGTGATCGTATCCCGGCAAATCTTGTGGTCCTCTTCGTCTTCTCCGCCAAGGCTCCTGTAGGGCCCAGTCTCGCACAGACTCGCGTAGTCAAGATTATCAGTTGTTTCGCAGAAGATGTTTGCCATGGAATCTTGGACAGTTGCTTTACTTTGATGATTGGCCAAAGTCTCGATGAGATAGCAGGTTCGAATCTTCACCATCATCCAAGGGTACTGTTTGTGGAGATTCGGGGTTCGGAATAGAGTTGGAAACGAAGTATCTAGAGTCTGGAGGAAGGCTTGCTTGTCAAGGTGGCTATCGGTTTGAATGCGCCGGATGTAGTCGAGCGTAGCGACCTGGTTGGCCCGTGCCAGAACGATGACGGCCTTCTCGTCGGCTTGGACGAGGTTGTGCAGGGCTCCCGGCTTAGTCCAGTCGATTAGAACCGACGTTGTCTTGGCCTCCTGGTAGTACTTTCGGAGATACATGAAGGCATCCCTCTTCGTTATGAAAACCGCGCGAAGTATTTTGTTCCCGGAATCTCGGTTGTCCAGGCATTCCATTAACTCAGCGATTGCGCGTTCCAGATCAGGCCGAAGCTGTGTCATGATTTGCTGCCTTTCTTTCTCGCCTTCTTCAGCATTGCTGTCGAGTCCTCCCGCCGCCGAGTCCCGAGGCACAGAGGATTTTGATTCGCTGCCGCCGCCGTCGTCCTCATCTTCCTCGTCCTGGCTCTCATGTCCATTCCTCACGGTAATGTTGGTCACACTGAATGCTTTTCCAACCGGTGCGCCGCGTCGAGGGGCGGGATCTCTGACGAGTGAGCCGGGCTTGGTGTCATTTTTCTTCCCGTTCGCAGGCCCACGTCGCGGTGCGGAGCTAGTCCCAAGACCGGCGACCAGCGTGTCTGGAGCTGCTTTCCGACGCGTGCTGCGAGTGGCCTTGCGATCCTCGGGCACAGCCATTACTGACTTGGCTTCGCGCTGCCGGGTGCTTTGCTGGCGAGTCTGCATGGTGTGCGTACGCGGTGGGACGCGGCCGCTGCGATCCAGAATGACACGAGAGCACTTCGATGAGCTCGAAAGCAAAAAAATCAAGACGGCCGCGTTGGACAGGAAGCGAGCAATCCCTGGCGAGAGTGGCGTGTGAGTAGATAGTAGGAAGCCAAGCGAGACCCTAACCCTAAGGTGCTGTATGTTTTTGCTGTCGCAGTAGCGCGGTACGTCGCGTTATCTGCATACTGCTTTTATGAATATCTTGATAAGAATGTTTGAACCTTATCGAGCCTCGAGCTAAGCGACATATATGCAATAAGGAGCTTATCTGTTGCACGAATGAGAAAAGGCATGACGGCGAATCAGCGGAGCAGGCTCTAGAATTACCAACCCAAGTTCCCAAGGCGCCGATTTGGTCATGCTCCCGCTTCCAAGTTCGGCATCTGCACGCCTCACTCAGTGCAACCCAACAAGGGACAACCTAGACCCGCAAGCTGCATCAGACATGTGAAGGACGACTGTCATGGGAAACGGACTGACTCTGCTCGCCCAGATGAATGGACATTGCCAAAGGGAGAAGGATACGAGGAGCAGAGAACAGATGAATGCACGAGAGGTTGTACTCAGATAGACTTCTTCCCGGGCGCCTCGGCCGGCTTATCAGGGCCAAAGAGACCGAGCAAGTAAGCAGAGCGCATCATGAACAAAAACACCTGTCGGGCGCATGAGCAACAGCATGGACGAAAGAGGACCTGGGTCGCGTGAGGCCACGCACCGTCATGGCAATGTTGCCCCAGGCCATGGCATTCCACGCGGACGGATTCATGATTCGCTCAGCTCCGAGGCCGTGGCAGCTGAAGGCGACATGGCCAATGTCGCCGAGCCACAGCGCGACGAGGTAGTTGCGCACCACCTTGATCTCGGACGTGGTGAAGAGGACTGCGAGGCCGACGAGGGCCATGAGCAGGTAGAGATTGCCCAGCTGCAGGGCCAGGACGACGCTGCTTGGTGTGACGGCAAGCGGCATCTTGTCAGGAACCTGCTCCGCAGCAAACCAGGCAGGATCGCTGACGGCGCCGAGGAAGCCCGCCAGGCTGGCCCGTCGAATTAGCCATTGTCGACGCGCGCAGGGGCGGCAGCGCTCGGTGGCTCACAGCGATAGGGGCTCGACAATGGTGAAGACGAGGCGCGGCACGGTCGGCAGCGAGGATGCCATGGCGAGAACTGGCGGGGCGGGGGAGGGAGAGCTCTTCGGAACAGGTGGCACGACGCTATCTCGATGCCTGGGCGGCTCGGCTCGCAGCAAGGGGAAGGAACCGAGTGACAGCGGGCGGGGGAGCTCGTGCGTGTCGATGGCGTCTCCGTGTCTTTCTCTTGTGCCGTCGCATGTGCCTGGCCCGGGCCTGCATGTACGGTGAGGTGCGCTGGCTGTCGAGGAGATAACCCGGGTAGAGCCGAATAATGCATGTCGGCCCGTCGTTAGGTGCTTAGTTGTCGCGGCGGCCCCACCCAGGCAACTCCCTCAACCCAAATCCCCACCCCCCCTGTGACTTGGCCGTTTCACGTGAATTCTCCGGGGCCAGCCGAACTGCATTCCTACCTGACCAGGCATGTACCAAAGGCCGGCCGTCGTCGCTACGCCTCAGGTTGATGCTCAAAGCTATATCCAGGCCACAGGGGTACAACAAGGAGAAATCAACGGCTCCCGAGGACATGTCGAACCGCAGCCGCCGGGTCTCGCTCTCTTCCCCCTCCCCCTTGCTTTCGCCCTCTCTGCCTCCTTGCCGGACCCTTTAACAAGCACCCCGATGCACCAGCCCAAGCGCGTCGCGCAAGATGGCCACCATCGAGCCTCGTCTCATCCATCTGCTCAATGAGTCGACAACGCCCCAGGTCCAGCACGCCGATCTCCCGCCCCTCTATGCTCTGCCGCTGCCCATGTCCTCGGAACGCGCGCTCCCCCCCCTCGAGCCCGACGCAAGCCACCGCAACGACCGCTACGGAGTCGACGGGGTCACCTTTGCCGCCAGCGCCTTTGCCTTCTCCCTCCCCGGCGATGACCCTTCCGCCGCCCATCGCAAGGATGAGGCACGATGGGAAGCAAGGTACCCTACTGGCCCTTCCGCCTACCCTGTGCGACTGCTGCTGGGCGAATCGGATGCAGCAGAGCACTCGTCTCACGCCCACACCCACGCCAAGATCCTCAATGAGCTGCCCGACGCGCCCGACGAAGCCTACAACAAGAAGCGAGCTCGCAACCTTCACGCCAAAGACGACTTTGTCCAGCTGCCCCAGCCGATGAAGAAGCAAAAGGCCGCCCAGCAGACGCTGGCCATGCCGCCCATCATCAACGGCCTGCACGAACCCCCTCCGCATGCCGCCCTCTTCCCACCCATTGCCTCGTCCAATTCCTTCAGCCAGCACGACACGAGCCAGATGAAGCTGCTACCGGACTTTGGCCGCGGAGCCGAAGACAAGAGTAACACCTCGACCTCGTCGGATGCCGACAAAATAGTCTACAGGGGAAGGAAGCGCGCCACGAAGCCGCGGAGGAAGTGGTCCGAGGAAGAGACGAAGCATCTCCTGTTGGGCGTCAACCGCCATGGTGTTGGCAAATGGACCACCATCTTGGAGGATCCCGACTTTACCTTCAACGACCGCACCGCCGGAGATCTCAAGGACCGATTCAGGACCTGTTGCCCCGTGGAGCTTCGCGGACCGGGCGGGGCCGGGCAACCCGACTCGCCACCGCCGCCGCCGCCTCCTAAGCCGCGGGAACCGAGCCAAAAGGCAAAGAAGGGCATCCACTCGGAGAATATCCTCATTGAAGAAGACGAGTCGCCGAAGGAGACATTGCCGAAGGAGAATGCCGTCAGCCATCATCAGGGCTCAGAGGCAGGACCGAGACAAAGGAAGAGCAGGGCACACCGCAAGAAGATGGAGGACCTGGCCGTGTTGGGCATCCATGGGCCGTTCAAGAAGTCCCTACGACGCGAAAGACGCCCGTTCACGAACCTGGATGACCGTGAGATCCTGGATGGCCTCGACATCTATGGCCCTGCCTGGACCAAAATCCAACGCGACCCCCGCTTCCACCTGTCCACCAGGCAGCCAACCGACTTGAGAGATCGGGTGCGCAACAAGTACCCGGGCGTATACCAGCGCATTGAAAAGGGCACGTTCCAGGCCAAAGATGAGGCCTGGGGCAACAATACACTCGAACCTTCAATCGTCATGTCGATAGACGATTCGCTCAAGCGACCCAGGCCCGCTACGGGTGGCACTGAGCTGCCCGTTTGGTCCCTACACACGATAGACTCGTCGAGCTACGTTCATGCGCCACAGAGCTTCGAATTCGGCGAGGCAAGCGCGCCACATGTCATGGGAGGTGAGATGGGCATCTCACGGCTCCTGCTCGACGAATCGAGGCTCGCCCAGGCACATCCGAGGCATGGGGCTGATGGAGCCTCAGGCCCATTGTCACCGCCGGGGCCTGCCTCGGAGCACCGACGGGATCGTCATGGAGTTCATACGGTAAAATGCTGAAGACGAGACGAAGGCGCTGGAGACTTGTGACTTCGAACTCCATCACGCACTTCCGAGCGCCGGTTTTTATATTTTCCTTTTCTTCTAAAAGCGCTATTTAGCAACCGGAGTTGGGAGACTAGCTGGCATCTGGAGGGGCTGGAAGGCGTAGTGAAGGTCTGGCCTATAATGCTGCAACGCTTGTTGCTGGCTTCAGCCGGCTCTTGATGGGGTGTGTCGGGGCCTGGTTTCTGGTCAAAGCCAAGAGCTGGTGCTAATTCGACGGGAAAGGGCCCGACCACGACCGAGAACTGAATTGCGGGCGTTGCTGTTGATTGTCGATACCACGTAATGAGCCGGAACTACACAAATACTAATTCCCCTATCTTGTTGAACTTGCTCGCCGATGCGCTCACATGCCGCTCCCACTGTGATGAGCGTGGTGGGGATGGACAGGGGTGTCACATGTCACTTGGCCGAAGGCGGCATGTGAGGTTTTGGCAGGGACAGTCACCCATCACGTGCTTTATCAGCTGACGAGCCCTGAAAAAAATATGTGCCCAACTTGCTTGTAGGGCACGGCGGCCCTCTGGCATTGGCGCTAAAAAACTGTGGCCTCGGATTTTTGCGACCTTCAGGACGCGGCTCTGACTTTCTCGACTATCCGACTTTTCCTCATCACCGCCAGCACTCCAGCCAGTCGTCACCATGGCCCGAGGAATGTGAGTGCAAGGAGGCATCCGGCAGAAGCCCAGCTTCTCTCAATCCGAAAAGACGCCTGCTAACTCACGACAGCAAGAAGCACCAGAAGCGCCTCAGCGCGCCGTCGCACTGGCTGCTCGACAAGCTGTCCGGTGTCTACGCCCCCAAGCCGTCGGCCGGTCCTCACAAGCTCCGTGACTGCATGCCCCTGATCGTCTTCATCCGCAACCGCCTCAAGTATGCGCTCAACTACCGCGAGACAAAGGCCATCCTCATGCAGCGCCTGGTCAAGGTGGACGGCAAGGTCCGCACCGACATGACCTACCCGGCCGGCTTCATGGACGTCATCACCATCGACAAGACGGGCGAGAACTTTCGCCTCGTCTACGACACCAAGGGCCGCTTCACCGTGCACCGGATCCAGACCGAGGAGGCCGAGTACAAGCTGGGCAAGGTCAAGCGCGTCCAGCTTGGCCGTGGCGGAATCCCATTCTTGGTCACGCACGATGCGAGAACGTGAGTTCTGTCAGCCATCATTCAGCCGTTGGATCAAGCTTTGGTAGATTCCAAGTCCTCTCGGACGATGGGAGCTTTGTTTGACGGCTGTATGTTTTCTCTCGAACGACCCCGTTGCTAACCGGATCGTGTCTGCAGCATTCGCTACCCCGACCCCCTGATCAAAGTCAACGACACCGTCAAGATTGACCTCAGCACGGGCAAGATCACCGACTTCATCAAGTTCGACACGGGCGCCATTGCCATGGTGACGGGTGGGCGCAACATGGGTCGTGTCGGCGTCATCACGCACCGCGAGCGCCACGACGGTGGCTTCAACATTGTGCACATCAAGGACGCCATCGACAACAGCTTCGCCACGCGCGAGAGCAACGTCTTCGTCATTGGCCAGGACAAGCCCTGGATCTCGCTGCCAAAGGGCAAGGGCGTCAAGCTCACGATTGCCGAGGAGCGCGACCGCCGACGTGCCACTCAGTCCCACTAAGTGCAGTGACGTTGTGGGAAAATGGCATGCGGACTGGAGTCTCGGATTTGGTTTCTTTTTCGTTTTGGTCGGGGGACTTAAGAGCCCCGCAGATAGCCAGCCACTGAGGCTAATGAGAAGAGATGAACAATGTGAGCCCAGGCGAATGCCGCCGATGCCGAGCTGCAGAAACCTTTTGCGCGTGACTGCTGGGGAGATGGACTTGCATTGAGGAGGTCGGAATAGGCTGCCGCGGCCGACCCTAGGAGGCGGCTCGGGGAGAGTCATCCAAGATGGATCGCTTTGGAATCATTCGGGTCCCATGTTGTTGCCTCGTCGCGGCGACCGAAGTGCAAGAACGGGCCGAACGGCTGGACTCGGTCACCGAGACGGGTCTTGGCCGCCACAATGCACGTCCGTCGGCATCCGGTTGCTTGAGCGTCAGGCATTGACTGCCTACTTGACGATGAAAGGCGGGCGGGCAGGCATCGGGGATGCGAGGCAAGTCCGGGCAGAGGGGGGGTGGCACCTGGTGGGAGGGTTTAAGCGATCGACCAATCCGATTCTACAACAGCGCCAATATACTATTCAAGACGAAGAGGAAGAAGTGGTTTGCGGGTAAGAATAGCAGCCTTTATGTGTATCTTGAGGAGGGTGTTTTCTACGTGGCCTTTTGCTTGCCATCGGAACGTTCTGACTAACGAAACGGAGCGGGGTGTCTGGGAACTCAGTTTGCTACCAGGTGTTAAGTCAAATTGACCTTGTGTCCTTTGCGCAAGAAGCACTCGTCTTTGCTAAGATCCTCGATCGAAAGCCTCCTATCGGGGTCTCTATCTAGAAGCGCCATTATAAATGGTGTGAAATGAAGCCTGAGTTCCTCTGGTAGCTCATCCATCGACTCATCTTGCCCGCTTGCTAGGTTAGCAAGGCAATAGTCGTACTCTTCTCGGAGCTCCTCGTCATCATACCCAAGATGTCGCCGAAGATGGGCCAGCCATGTACGAGAATGAAGTAGATCCAATCATCGTTAGCACTGAGGAGCTAAGGGTAAAGAGTGACATACTAATCGACCAAGATACCAGCTCTCGGCCTTGAATGGTTGTATTGTCTTGCCCGTCCCGAGAAATTCAGGCGCGGGAGGTGTGCCGGGAGCAAAGATATCCTTACTATAGGCAACGCCATCTATCGGTCGGAACGCATATCCGAAGTCAAGAAGCTTGATATCACCATTACCATAACCAATGTTTTCGGGCTCAGTGACGGGTCGCGGAAGATGGGCTGGTGTTGGCTTTCCATCCTTTCGAACGACCTCGTGTTCAAGGGGCGGCCTGGCTAGGACCTGATCGATATGTTCGCGAGTAGGTGGCGGAAGGGCAACATTCCCGGGATGGAGGTCTAGATAGTCAGTATATAGTCAGTAAGAAAAATCCGTAGTCGCCTTACCTCCATGCACTACGCCAATGCGGTGGAGCTCGGCAACGGCCTGGACGACTTGCTGAATGCAACGCTCCCGCCTATCTATACTTAGAGGAATATCCGAAGATGGCTCCCCGGTCGTAGATTCGCGTCGTAGATCCGTTCCGGTAGTTTCGTAGACGATTGCATTAAAGTTGATGTCTCGGTATTTAGAACCTATTAGCGTAAGGTGATGGGGGATCGTGAAGTAGTCCTTAATAATCGAGACTAATGGGCTACTGCATTGTTGCCTTAAAAAGATACTCATTTTTAGGTCGTTATCCCGTCGTCGAGAAAGGAACTTGACCGTTAAGTAGTTCCTAGCGATATTATTAGTTAAAGTGAAGGTTAAGCGGCAAGGTTAATAGGCCTCCATACTGCGTCTTGGGATCCTGTGTCAGCCAGCACCAATCGCCCAGCCTGCGCAGTAGCTTGTACCCGTAGTAGATATTGTTGCGATAGACAACCGGCTGCACGCACTCGTCCCAGTAGTTAAGACGGTAGTTATCCCGCCAGTAGTTGCCGCCGTGCGTGAATGTTTTATACTGATCCATTAGGTGGAATTTACGTATGGCGGAAGAGGCCTGATTCATGGCTGCGGTGAAGTTTCGTAGTGAACGTCGCGGGGGATTGCTAGAGGTAGAGAATACTGCAAAAGAGGCCATGCGGAAGATGCAAGCTGAGGTGAATTTGGAGATAGGCGAGATGCTAGAAGGGGTTGACACCTCGGCGACTGATAGGTGGGCGCCCGGGCGCGCGCCCACTGACTAATCCCATCAAAGCGCGCTCCCTAATTAATTGGTGCGTCTGAGACGCGCTCTGCAGCATTCCGTTCCGCGCCTTTGAGTCGCTAAATTTCGCTGACCAGTCATGGCCTAGGCAGGATTTGTCGACGACGCCCTCTCGCCGGAAGGCATATACGATTTACGTAAATCTCTTCTCGCAGTTATTAATTTATAGGCGAGGCCTCGCGGATATGCGTTTACGACGGGCAAGTCTATAAAGACCCCGAATAGACGGGTTAAGGTAGTATACGCATACGATCGAAATAAAGAACCGCCGAGCTTAAGTATTAAGCGAGTATATTATACCTTAAGTAGACGGACCGGCTATAAATTTTCGGTTCTCGTTAAATAAACGTAAGATAGGAATATATAGATTATTAGCTATTAGCTAGGTAAGGAATATACTAGGTATAACTACTTTCTAAGCGAGGAGGCATTAATATACCTTATATATTAACGATTTAAAGAGTAAGATACTACTATTATCTTAAATCTTATAGCGTCCTATATTACCTTATAAGATATAAGGACCTATTTTTATATTTCTTTAAAGACCCTTACTACCTAATAAGATATTTATAACTATATCGCGGCGATAAAAAGTAATTTATATTAAGGCTAGAGTAGTATCTAGCTATTATTAAACTACTTATATAAAGATAGCTTTTAGTATAATATTTAGCTAAATTTAAATAATTAAATAATAGCTATCTCCTTTACTATCCTTAGTTTTATTTTATATCTATAATATAACCTAGATATCTTATTACTAAACTATACTTATAAAGTAAATAAGTACTATATACTACTCCTTAATATAATTAAAGTTAACTATTATTAGCAGTCTTTTTATATTATATTTACCTTCCTCTTAAGTAAGTTAAAGGAGGATTACTTATAGGCTTTAAAATACCTTAGGTTACTCTATTAAACTAAGCTTTTTATAGTACTCTTAATAATAGATGCTATTATAGATTATATATACCGCCCTAGCGCCTAGGTATACTAGCGCCTAGGCGTATTTATAATATATATAGTTAATTAATATAGCTATCGCTTAGTTAATTTCCGTTTTCTTTTACCTATATATATACTTTTTAGCCTCTATATAGTAAAGGGGTTCGTAGTATATCTATTACTTTAGCCTACTAGGCTAGACCCTAGTAGATACCTAACTATAATAAATACTATTATTACTTACTTTCCTTCTTTTAAAGTACTACTATACCTTTAATATATTAATAAGGTAGTTCTTAAGTATTACTAGCTATTCTTTATATAAAAGGGCAATTAAGTAATAAACTAAGTAGAATATAAAGTATAAGATAAATTCTATATAGTTTAGTACTTAATTATTCTCGCGTAGAGAGATATAAGAAGTATATAAAAATATATAAAGGTAAAATTAAAAGTAAGGGGTTAGATAGGTAGGGCAGAGATATTTAATTCTTATATAGGCAGTAATTATAGTAGGGGAATAATTATTATATTGCCTTAATTATCCTTCTTTCCTCTATCTAACGCCCCTTTTTATACCTATCTAGCATCTTAATTAATAAAGAAGATCCTACTTAAAGAAGCTACTAATATCCTTTTAACTACTAAGCTTTTTACTAGTTTTTCCCCTCCTTTCTAGCTATTACCGGTATATCCGTCTTATCTCTTACTACCTCTATAGAAAGCTATCGCTACTTTTACTTTTACTCTTACCCTTACCTTCCTCTCTATACCTCCTTTTAGCTCCTTCTTTAAAACCTATTTTTTAGCTTCCTAGGTCCCTTATATTAAGGGATATCTCTAAGAACTACGAAATTAGGCCACGCTTCGCGACATCCCCCCTTAGCTATAGCCTGCCCTTATAGAAAGGGTAAAGCTAAATTAGGCCGGTAAGCGTATAGAGGAAGTCTTAGTTTATACTTATCCCTTACTTAAGAAATCCGGGTTTTAGCCCTAGGCTCTTTTAGACCTATATTAGGAAAAAGGGGCCTAAGGAGGAAATTAAGTCCTATAAGAAAGAGGGGCTTCTTTAAAGATAAGTCCCTAAAAAGGGGGCCTTTAAGAAGAATAAGTCCTAATTAAGCTAGGGGCCCTCCTTTAGGATAAGTCCTAATTCCTCTCTTTAGCTATAGACGTCTCCTTTCTCCTACGTGCTATTAGCTCCTCTCGTAGACTCTTAAGGCGGGCTTCTAAGGATAGCTTCTCTCGAACGTCTTCTAGCCTAATTTACTATAAAAAGACAGCTTGCTTCTACTTTAGTAGGGGCTTTATAAGACCGTTAGCTTTTATCGATACTATTAAAACCTAACGGATAGAAATAAGTCCCCTTTAGACCTCTTAGCGTAACTAATACTAATAGATATTAATATACTATAGCCGGGTTAATAGCTTACTATTTTCCTCTATAAGAATTTATATAGTTTATATATTATCGTATTCTATAGCTAATAGGGTCGGAATTTATAGTTATAGAGATATTAGTAGCCGGCTAAGGAAAATCGCTTCTTTTAACGCTTTTAAAAGAGCTAGTAGCTCTGCCTCTATATTAGAAGTTATAATAGTAGCTTGCTTTAAGGCTCTCTAAGTAATAGTTCCTTTAAAAAGGGATATAATATACCCCTATAAGCTCTTTCTATCTAAGGAATTATCTATAAAGGACGAATCGCTTAAATAAGGGAAGATTTTAGTAGCTAGTTTCCTTCCCTACCCTCCTAAGCGTAGACTATATAATCTCGTTAAATAGAGATAAATAATTACTTAGTCTACTACTTCTTAGTGCCTAGGGCTAGGATTCTAGTTAAGCCTAGCTAGCTAGGAGACCGTAAAAGAGATATCCGGTCTAGTAGAAATAGCTAAAAAAAGCAGGGAGCCTACCTTCTATTAATATTAGTATTTCTCTTACTCCCTAGCTTAAAAGGACGGATTAAGTAAAAGCTCTTTATTTAATATAAGCGTAGATAGAAGCTTCTTATTAAGGGATTTAAGGAGGACTTTATAAGCGACCTTATCGATATAGGCGTCCTAGGTAAGCTAGATAGTCTATTAGGACTTATTCTAAAGGATTCGTATCCCTAGGAACTACTTTAGCTCCCCTAGCCTAGTTATCTTATACCTTTATTATAGGCCTCGTATAGCCTCCCTAGTAGCAGCCTCTTCCTCTTTTAGGTAGGCCTAGATAATATCGTCGACGTAGAAGAAGACTATAGGTTTACCCTTCTATATTATATATAGTTCCTAAGGGACTTTCTTAAAGCCTAGGGCTTTAAGGGAACTAGTTAAATACTATTACTAAAGAAGGGGTAATCTTCGTAGTCTATATAGAGCTTTCCTAAGCTATAGAACCTTTCCTAGCTATTAGAAGCTTAGTAAAAGGCGTATATAAATAACTTCTTCTTCCTTAAGTAGGCAGTTAATAAAGGCATTAACTATATCTATCTAATCGAGCTCGAGGTCGAATTCTACTACTATAGCTATAAGGGTCCGAAAAGATATCCCTACTAGGGTAGTTGCTTTAGTAAGAAGACCCCCCTTTTCTTACTAGTTCCTATAGATAACTAGCTAGGCTTTATACTTTTAAAGGAAGCCGTATTTATTAGTCTTATAGATAAAGACCTACTTATAGCTAAGGACCTATTTTCCTCTTACCTTTTCCTTAAGGACCTCTTCGAAAGACCCTATCTCTTTATATAAGGCTAGGTAATCTTTCTAGGCCTAGAAAAACTAGTCCCTAAAAGGGTGTCTTTCTAGCTACTTTTAGTTTACTAGTAAGTCCGGGAGGTCTCTTTTATATACCTTCCTTGCTAATAGTAGCTTAAAAAGCTAGCCTACTATAAATGCTTTATAGGAACCGTCTTTTATTAGCGTTAGGTAGAAGTTAGAAAAACGATCGAAATAAGGGAGATATTAGTCTTCTTTTATATTAGGCCCTATACCTTCCTTTACTTCTCGAAGTAAGGATAAAAAGGCAGCTAGGTAATCCTTTAAGAGAGGTGCCTTTCCTATCCCCTTAGGGGTCGAGATAGAAAGACTAACCGAAAAAGCTACTTTTAGATCTTCTTTTTATTCTATAAGAGGAGGCGTAGGAAGGTAGGCGTATTCTAGCTCTACCGCTTTCCTATAGTCTCCTTCTTCGTTTAGATTATCTAATCTAGTAGCTTCCTCTTTTCCTTTAAAGTTAGCGTTATCCTTAACTACTTCGACGTTAGTTTCTTCTTTTATTTCCTTATCTAAGACCTCTTCTTAAGACTATTAGGAAGGGGGGATTTAGATCTTTTAAATTAGCTAACGTTATAAGAGTAAGAGGGGTTATTAATCCTTCTTTCTATTAAAGAAGCTAGATTTATCGAAAATTATATCCCTAGTTAAAATAACCTTTTATAAAGAGGAATCTAGATCTAGAAGATATTCGTAGAATTATAATTAACGAGGTAACTAATAAAGGCTCTAGGATTAAGCTTTCTTTTCTTCTTCCTTTTTAGCTATATATTAGTAGTTATTACGTATGCTTTATAGCTATAGGCACGAAGGTAGGCTAGTAAGGCCCTCTTTTTTATAAAGAGCTTAAGGGGGGATTTCTAGTCTATTCCTTAGGTAGTCCCTCTAAGGGTCCGGTTCTATAGGTAATAAGCGGTCTTAACGACTTCCTTCTAAAGGTCGTATAGAAGCTTTATAGTAAGTCTTATTATATAGGCCCTTTTTATTATAGCACCCCTTAATCTTTCTACCCCTCCGTTCTAGGCCTAGGTATTTAGTGCTAATAGGAGGGGTAGAATACCCCCTTTTTATAGCTAATTTAAGATATCTTTTATAAA